TCACTTTCCGCCTTTCGTCACGGTCTCCACTTCTTCTTTGCAACTGGATCGACCGCTAAGTCCATAACGGTCATCACCCCGGGTGCTTATTTACCAAAGGAAGCCAAGTTAGATTACCCGTGACATCATCGCATACTTGGGGCTCATCAAGTGGCCCGCCACCTGAGTCTTGGCAACCTTGATTCATCGAGGATCATCCAAGCGCCTCACCGAGTCATCGATATGTGACGCTAATCTGTGTGGCTTCCCATGGAGCGACGATCTCCTTGCCCTGACGATACCACTGGGCTTCATTTCTCCAACATTTCTCCGACATTTTTTTTTTCTATTTTCCGGCGTTCTATTCTTTTCTTTTCCTCACTGTGACTCCCACGGCGGTTTTTTGCGGGCATGTTACCCTGTATTTTTTTTTCTTCTCTTTTCCTTATTTATCATTGGATGCATAGCACCTCGGGCGTTTCGGGGACTGGGACTAGACTCGATTTATTGAATGAACTGTTACCGGAGCCCGCACAGAAATTTGTTTTCGTCGTCATCTGCATGGTCATGGTCATGGTCAACAACAGGGCATGGAAAGTGGAAAGCATCATAAAGGGTCATCGTCTCGGAACAGTCCATTTCCCATTTGTCCATGCCTTCATTTTTTCCCCCCATTCATCTGATCTTCAACAGCTGATCACTTGTACATCTTGCCCTGACATCACATCACATCATATCCCTTTCTTCACCCCATTTGAATGGACTGGACTGACCCTGCACGACTCTCTTATTTCTTCTTTGATTCCTCTGCATTTTCTTCTTTCGTTGCGGCTCCGCTTTCCTGCTTGTTTCCATGTCATACCCAGGAATGTGTGCATGTCTCAAGTCCCCACTGACTTTTTATCGCCCATCATACCCTGTCTAGCTTGAATAGTTGGTAGCATGGGATCTGTCCATAGCAATGGAAATGTTCAAAATGATTGTACTGTCCCTGTAGATCCGTACTCAAGTGCCCCGTAGTGCCCCATAGTGTTTATTGACTGTAGCCAAATTTAGAACAGAAGCTTATTGACAAACTATTGAATTTCTCTCCCAATATTAGATAGTCAGGGTAGCTCGGATATGGTATATTCCAAAAGTCACTAATTCCAAGGTCCTTGATACAAGAGATATTGCTGATAGCTGAAGTTTGAATCCAATTGATCTTCCAGCTTTGCCAATGATCGACTACCCAATTTTGAATCCATGTGACATCCGTACTTTGGTCACGTCCACGAAGAACTACCGAGGTAGCTCTCTATAAGATAAGAAGTTGACGCGTTTAACCGGTGACCACAAGACGAACAGCGGCAGGCACTTTCTCCTCTCGATTAAATGAAAGACTAGGATTCAGCAAATTCAAACTTCCTATCCATTCACTCCATGCCTGCCCTTAGCGAAGGCATCTGAGCAATCTTAATTGCACGAGGAGGTACTCAATGCAAAACTCACCCCCATTCACGATATCCGAGAAAATCAAGTATTATTTTCCGATCAACCTCCTTGAGAGACTGACTTAATTGGTGTATACATTGTTCTTCTATGAGTACCCACCCGTGGACCGTCTACACATGAATCAATCCCTTGTGTTTCTTCTGTGGAATAAGAATTTCCTCTATGCGAGCATCGTAAGCCCAAGGTTTTGTTGATCTCATATTCAATGTTCACAGTAGCTGTAAAGAGCTGCCTATTGGGCTGCTTTATCACTTTGCTCAGACTGATCGAAATCAACCTCCTTGTCATATTGTCGAACCAATATTTCCACCTTGGCGCAGGATGAGTATTACTTGCAAATCGATCCGGCTCAAGGACAGTCTTCTTTCCTGGACTCGGGTCGACCAAAACTGGCGGGCTCGCAATCTCCATTCAGTCGTGGAGATCTGGCTGAAATGTGGGATCTGGATGGAATCGAGGTGTATATGTGCAAGTAGATTGACTGCGCTATACTTCCTCTACGCTACATCAAGACCAGCCATCCCTAGTAGAAAGTCCAGACCAAGATTGATACTGTCACACAGGGCATCAAGTACGGCAAGAGGTAAACCTCAGTTGATCTTTAAATCTAGCAAGAACCTTGGAATCGAACGCCACACGGCACATAGCACATAGAACATACGAGATAAGAAAGACCCAGGGAATAGGGAAGAAGAGAAAAAAGGCAGGGGGGTCGGTACGAAGCCCTCATTGTGGTCCTGATAAGGAGCTGATTTAAAAAAAATTCTCTGTCCGTGTGTATATGTGAGGGGGTGTTTGGAGAGCGCGCAAAGGGGACTCTTTCAGAGGGGTAAAATAGGAGAGGCAAGTAGACAAAATAACAAGGAGAATGAAAGAAACGAGAAAGAGGACATCGGACAAGGTTCCAAGCAAGACAACACCAGACCAATAACAGGGAGTGCAAAGACAAAAAGATATGAAGGGATTCCCTCAATTACATGGACAAACCCAGGTTTTCGTATGTTAAGGTCCGGAAACCAGAAGAAAACCAAGGTCCAGACCAGTGCATCTTGTGGGCTTCTCCTTCATGTTCCACTTGGTCTTGCTCTGATAAACCTGTCACATAATTCTCACAATCGTTCCATCCGTCCCAGGACGCGAGTCCATCATCAATATCTTTTTAGAGGTTCACCCTTTACTCGGCGGGCTTCTCACCCTCGGCATCGGGGGCGTCCTCGGTCTTCTTCTCAACGGGGGCCTCGCCGGAGCCCTCAGCCTCGGATGAGGTCCAGAGGGTCTATGAGAGGATTAGTGGCAAGCTTCATGCAGAGCAGTCAGAATTAACGTACCAGGTTGTCACGGAGGAGCTGCATGATGAGAGTGGAGTCCTTGTAGCTCTCCTCGCTCAGGGTGTCGAGCTCTGTGTATTAGAAGTTAGTGACTAGGAATGTGGGCAGAAACAAGGCGGGGTACAAACCGGCAATGGCGTCATCAAAGGCCAGCTTGGCGAGGTGGCAAGCCTGGTCGGGGGAGTTCAGGATTTCGTAGTAGAAGACCGAGAAGTTCAGGGCCAATCCGAGACGGATGGGGTGGGTAGGGGCAAGGTCAGTCTGGGCGATCTCAGTGGCGGCCTTGTAGGCCTCCAGGGAGTCGTCGGCAGCACCCTTGCGGCGGTCGCCAGTAGCGAACTCGGCGAGGTAGCGGTGGTAGTCACCCTTCATCTTGTGGTAGAAGACCTTAGACTCGCCACTCTGGGCAGAGCGGATAAGGTGCTTGTCCAGAACCTCGAGGATGTCATCGCAGATCTTGGCAAGCTCGGCCTCGATCTTCTGGCGGTACTCCTTGATCAGAGTAACCTGAGACTCGTTGCCCTTGGACTCCTCCTTCTGCTCGATCGAGGTGACGATTCTCCACGAGGCACGGCGGGCACCAATGACGTTCTTGTAGGCGACAGACAGGAGATTGCGCTCCTCAACGGTAAGCTCAACATCGGCCGAGGCAACGACCTTCATGTTCTCAACCATCTCTGTTTCTAGGGTCAATATCTCATATCTATGACATTGAATATGGGAGGCGAACCTTCATAGCGCTCGGCCTGCTCAGCGAGCTTGGCGAGGTAAACGGCGTCTTCTTGACCCATGGTGAAAAGTTCTAGATCAATCAAATCTGATTAGTATGAAGACCCTACTGATGATTTTCATAGATGGTGTTGTGTTTTTGGAGATGAGTGGGAAGCACGCCATCGACATCATCGCCGACCGGGAGGGGTAGATCAGAGCGCCAGGACCCTCTCCCATAGATTTGGGGGTTCAGCGGTCTTGCCAACTGATTTGATTTCATTTAGGGTATGCCAGTCGACGCCAGTCATTTCCCTTTCCCTGAAGCAGATATCATGACGATGGATATGTTGATGGGCCAGATGTGGGCTTCCCGGAGTGGTGCGGTGTTTGGAATCAGTGAAGCGGTCGCGGCCGTCCCACCACGTAAACATGGGAAGGATGAATGGAAATAAATCATCAAAGAGGCATGGCGATTCTGGATCATTCAAGATGTAGAGGAGAATCCTTCTATAGATTTCTCCTTGGCGGCTCAATGATCCTGTCCCCCATTCTGGAAGGGGAGTTGAATTGAGGGGGAAGTTGTGTGTGGTCTGGTTGTAGAGCGGGGGAACTAGGAAAGGGGTACGAAGTATGAAATTGGATATCCCAAACACTTACCTGGATTGAGGAAAGAAAATTAGAGACGGACTGTGAATGAAAGAGAAAGGGGGGAGGATCCGAGATGGAGGGAAGAGAGAATGGGAGAAGAGGGGGAGGGAATCAACAGGGCGGTGTCGTTGGGATTTAACACACAAGGGAGTTTTAACAAACAGCCTATCGATTATCTAAAGTTTTCTAACTTGTTCACATGCTCATATTCCAAAATCTTACATTATATTTCATTTTTCTATATCTTTTACTCTTCCCCTCGTCTTGAATTGTTCGTGGCTTCAATCCATCTTCTGTGTGGTTCGGTGGGCCGCTCAGCGTCATCCCCATCCCGCGCCCACCAATCGCCCTTGGGGTTCCCTACTTTACGCCTCACTTTTTGGAACACATTGTTCTTGGATATATTATAATAATCCGTAACCTGGATTATGCCTTGTATGTCCGAAACAGCCCTAAGCCCCTTGTATCAATATCAAATCTTATGAACCGTCAGAGGCTCAGCTGGTCTAGACTATCAACACCAAAAATAAAATCAATTTTTATACATATCGATCAGCCGAGAAGAAATCATTGACTGCGTAGTCACAGTCAAGAACCTGTACTCTGTAGACACGAATGATCTTCAACCCCTCATGATCTCTTACAGAGCCGAATGAGAGCACGTTGACTTATCGCAGAGATTTACCGGAACCAAGACCGGCTGACATAATACATTATCTAATGCACCCCGGAATCACATGATGTGTCGTCATGTCATTGCCAGCTTAGTAGCTTCCAGGCTTCCTTGATTACTTCCGAACTTCTTCCTCTTCTCAAATCTTAACTTCACAAATCATCATCATGCTCCGTCAAACTATCATCCGACCTGCTGCCACCGCCAGCCGTGCCCTCCAGTGCCGTTCCTTCTCGGTTGCTGTGCCTCGTCTCGGCGAAGGTGACACCGGCGCCCCAAGGTCAACTGGCGGCTCAGTCTCTGGGTACGTGAGATCTCGTTCCCCCTGCATCTGATCACACTTGTTCCCCGCCGTGCCCCGACCACCAGTGGTCAATGAGGCGCAGCGGGCACAGCATGTCCAGTGTCTGCCCTGTCGTATGACATCATCCGTTGCTGACATGGCTGCAGTGACGCATTCACCAAGCGTGAGGCTGCCCAGGAGGCCCTGTACATTCGCGAGAAAGAGATCGAGAAGTAAGTTGCGCCTGTGAGGGTGTGGATACAAGTTGCTGACAAGCGGACAGGCTACAGAAGCTTAAGAAGCAGATCTCCGAGCAGCGTAAGCACCTCGATGAACTCGAGGGCCACATGTATGTGCTACATACCCTGTCCCCGTGGATTTTTAGGTTGCCATACTAACTCTTCCCAGTGACAGCTTGACCAAGGACCAGAAGCGTTAAAGCGGATCTATACTTTCTATGCCCCATTCAAGCCCTTCCCATTTTTGTACTATCATCTCCGCTCCAATCATATGTGATCAGTGGGGGCTTTTTGCAATTAGCATGTGACCTAGAATAGGCGAGAGCATATCAGGAGTTCACTCCATTTTGACCCTATCAAAGCACTTCAACAGTAAGCAGCCACTCGTTATAGAAATACACAGGTAGCCAAGTAGTAGAGGAGGATCATACGGATATGTCACAGTCACACTTCAAGTATGTGACATCTCGACACACTAACCAACATTGGAATGAACCACATGGTGTCGATAATGGCGAGTTTCTGACGGTATCAAGCCTGCTTCCTGGTGTCGAGATTAAGCAGGAAATGTACACAGAAGGAACCCCAGGCTGTGATTCAGACACCTGCAGGGATACTGTAAAACAACAAGTCAAAACTACGTGGAAGTCATGTGAGGTATTACTACAAAAACAGATCCTCTCCATTGGGTCACGGTATATTTCGATAACCTGAATTAAAATCATAAGACGTATCCATCACCTCTACCGCCGTCCCATGTACGAGCGGTAAAAATCATCCGCGGCATGACCTCCACCCATACCAGGGCTAGCATAACCGTAGCCAAGCCGAGAAGAGATCGACTGGCCAGCCTTTTGAGCTGCAGCAACCTTGGCCTGCAGCTCGGATGTACCTTGATCGATGACCTGCAGTTGAGACAGGTGGGAGTTGAGAATGCGCACAATTTGGGAGATCTGTAAGAGGATCAGTAAGAGATTCGTTAATAAATAGTGTTGGTTGACATACGGGCTCGTCTGCTCGGTTGGTCTTGGTTAGGGTTGCCGAGGCAGCGTTCACCTCCTCGATCATGCTGGTCAGATCCTTGCCCATCTCGTCCAGACGTTCGGAGAGCTTCTCGGCCAATTTGTATCTAAGGAAGTTAGTGTCATTGTCAATTCATTTTTGGAGAGTCAGCACTCACGTTCTCTCGCGTTCCTGATCCGGGCCTGAAATGCTATCGCCGGGGGATCCCTGCTTCGAAACCATCTCGTCGACCTCTCGTTCGTATCGATCCAGCCACGAGCTTAGCTCATCTTGCTGGCCTTCCACGGAGGCCAATTGACGTTCAACCTCCTGGGTAGCGCGCTCTGCATCGACAGTACTGCCATACAGCTTCTGCACTTTGGTTCCATTCTCCACTAGCATCCGATCCCACTCAGCAACCTTCTCCGCCTGCTCACGGAACTCCTTTTGATATTTGGTCAAATCTGTCGCCCAGCGGGTGATGATCTCATCCATGGTCTTATTCTTGAGCCGTGATTGGGCTGGTGGGGCTGGCCCTGTGGTTGACTGCCCAAGAGCTGCGGTGCCTGTACCGGCTGTACCAGCTGTGGTAGTTGTGGACGGAGCTGTCGCGGTAGTGGTTTTATCGGCAGCTGCTGTCGTCGTAGCTGCGGCAGGCTGCGAAGCCGGGGTGGAAGTGGCCGGCTTACCGAACATACCTCCAAGCGGAGCCGGGGCGGCGGGAGTGGCGGCGGGAGCGGATGTGGTGGCAGCAGTCGCAGGAGTGGATGTGGAGGGTTTTGGAGCGAACAGTCCTGTAGGAGCTGCAGCAGGTGTGGATGATTGGGCAGCAGAGGATGTGGTACCCCCAAGGCCGGTGAAGAGAGACTTTTGGGGAGTAGCAGTCGAGGCCGCGGGAGCGCCCAACGATGGCAGGGAGGCACCAGTGCTAGCAGCAGGGGCACCAAGAGAGAATGCAGGCTTAGCAGCGGAGTCACCTCCAGCAGATGGCATCTTGAAAAGGGAAGGTGTAGATCCTTGTGTACTTGGCGCACTGGCGGCAGGAGCGGCATTTCCGAACATGCTGGGCTTCGGGGTGCTGTCCGCAGTTGTGGCCGGGGTTGTGGTGGACTCGGCCGGCTTGGAACCGAACAGACCTCCACTGCCAGTGGTAGGGGTAGATCCAAATGCTAATTTGGGAGCAGCCGGTGTAGTGCTGGCTCCGCCACCAAAGAGGCTACCAGTTGTCTGCGGCTGGGTAGTAGCTGGAGTTGTAGAGAAAGGTGCGGCCGAGGACGGGGTTGTCGACGCAGCGGGTGTCGTTCCAAAAAGAGGTGTCTTTGATGCTGGTGGAGGACCGGCGGGAGTGGTTGAATTGTTGCCAAACAAAGATCCTCCTGATGGACCGGGTGTGGTTGATGTTCCGAATGTGCCGCCACCTCCTCCAAAAATGTTTCCGCCAGCTGTAGGGGTAGGTGTAGCTGCTTCTGTCTTTGCCGGAGTCGAGTTTCCACCAAACAAGCTACCCGATTGACCGGCGGGTTTCTGAGCTTGACCGAATGAGAAGGTGCCGCCTGAAGTCGCAGTGTTCGAACCGAATGAGCCACTGCTAGTGGTGTTGCTGGTGGTACCGCTTCCGAACAAAGAGGGTTGGGTGCCCGAGTTGCCTCCAAAGGGTGAAGCAGATGCGCCTCCGGCAGGTGTAGCTCCTACATTTCCGAACAGGCTAGGACCAGTAGAACCGGCATTTGAAGTATTCTGGTTAGAGCCAAAGGCGCTGCCAGTGCCAGCAGCTGATCCAAAGAGGGGCTTGTTGCCGCCTGAGTTGTTGTTGCCGAACATGGCGATGTGTTGTCGCAGGCGAGGGAATCAAGCTATGGGAAAAAGTGGAAGAGAGCAGGAACGACCAGTGAAAGGTCGGGGGATCCTGTAGAGACAAATCACAAGATCAAACAGACAATGCGATTGTACTGATTGAATGAGAATTGAGCCCAATAGAAAAGTGAAGTAAAGTTACGAAGTGAGAGGTTAAAGCTCGGAATAATAATCGAGGAGTTTGAGTTACGCGCTGATTGGTGCCTTAATGCCTTAACTGGCCCAAACATCAAGATTCACTGCCTGAGGATGAAGGCAAGTGGGTTCATGCCTCAGGCATTCAGGCACATATGTTCTGGACTCGAATCGATTGCGGCACGCCGTCACTCCACGCTACACAGCTCGACTTGCATGCTTAATTTCCTGGATTTCTCTTTATACCCTCTTATTCCCATGCTCCAGCCTTAATTTAACCTACAATAATGTCGGAGGCATCACCCGATCCCACTCATCTAGAACCTCCCACCAAGACAACTGAGCTGGAGGACTCAGGAGCTCAGGATATTGGTAAAGTTGGCTCCTAGGACGTCATAAATGACCAAAATCTAACTTGATTTTTTTTTTCATTAAAGCTTCCAGCAGCGACGATGACCACTTCTCAGATGCTAGTGAAGGCCATGAACAGTCCAAAACAATTTCACAGCCTGGCAGCGCTTCCCCTGTCCCGTTTACACGAGTAGAGCGGGTCGACAGCAGTGCTCAGCATGGTGAAATTCCCGGCACAGAAGCATTCGACAAACGAACACAAGATGCTGTTCCCGACGAGATTCAAATTATCCCAGAAGATACAGTCAGCGTGGACCCTGCGTCGGGGTCCGAGGACCGACCTATAACTCCCAGCTTACCAGTTCCCCACACAGTCGTGGAAAAGGTAGACGATGAGCCGAGCTACGGCGAGGTACCAGGAACTGAAGCGCATGAAAAGCGCCAGGCTGACGCAGTACCTGATGTTGTCATAAAAGTATCCGACTCTGAGAGCAATGAAGCTTCTCTGGATGATACTTCCGACACCGATGCGACAACCCAGCCAATTCCTGAAACGCGCGTTTCTGAAGTCGACACAATGCCAATAGAAGAATCACCTGGGCCACGCGCTCATCAAAGATCACCCAGTGATGCGGAGCCTGACACTGTGGAACAAATACCCGACCCAGGACCTACATCACTAGATGGCGCTGAAGACGAGGCCATGGAAGCGGATACGGGCGACGACTTCGGTGACGACTTCGGCGACGATTTTGACGAATTCGTTGACGAGCACGAAGATATGGGAGACGATGATTTCGGAGACTTTGACGATGGCTTCCAAGAACCTGTGGCACCTGGTGGTGCAACCACCCCTCCACAACCTCCCGCACCATCTGTTGTATGTCTCCATCCCACCCACACAACCATAACAACAATACTAACAAACTCCAGCCCCCTCTCACAGAATTCAACTTCAAATCTACATCCGAACTCCTCGCCTCCCTCCAAGGTACCCTCGACAGCCTCCTCCCCGCCTCCCAAGACCTCGCCTCCCTCCCCCCCCGTCGAACCCATCGCCGACCAAACCGCCATCTTCAGCACAGAGCGCTCCCTCTCCCTCTGGTCCCAGCTCGTAGCCCCACCACCACTCCAACCACAAAACTGGGTGAAATCCCGCATTCGTCGACTTTTCCTCGTCTCCCTCGGCGTCCCCGTCGATCTAGACGAGATCCTCCCTGCCTCAAAACAGAAAAAGCTCATTCTCCCCTCCATCGACTTTGAGTCCGGCACAAATACCCCCGCCGCACGCTCGCGCAGCCAAGTCCGCAAAGATGGCGACGGCGAGGGTGAAGGAGACTCTAATACCGATCCTAATGGCCAGACGGCGGGGCAGGCCCCTTCTCGTGGCAAGACTACGCGACGTGGAGCGGTGCCGCCACCGCAGTTGGATCTATCGGCTGTGCGGCGGTTGTGTGATACTACTGATGCTGCATTGGATGGATTGACGGACGCAGAACTTAAAGAACATGCCAAGGAATTAGAGGCTGTTACGTTAAGAGCGAGTGAGGTATTGGAGTACTGGCTCAAGAGAAGGGACGGTCTTATTGGAGAGAAAGAGGCCTTTGAAGGGGTTATTGAGAACCTCGTTAGTCATGTTCGGAGAGTGAGGAAATAAATTCAACCTCTCGGGATGTGGCGATATACCAACTATATTACCCTATGTATAATTTAATGTCGAACGTGGAGAGATCCGCTAAATGAGCATACATGATTTGTTTATCGGAACATTCAAGATTCAAGTACATAATCGTAGTGGCCACCAGATGGATATTAAAAAGTAGTAAACGTTGAAGTTCGTTTCTGGTTCTCCAAACCGGTTTACACTGAAATCTAGGCATTTCCGGTGTAAAGGCCCAGGCCCATTCAAAGCGAGAGAGAGCATGTGTACTCGAACCACTGTAGGCACGAAAGATCCATGAATCAGGGAAAGAATTGAAGGCCAAAAGGCCAAAAAGAATGAAACCAAACGCCAATCAGAGAGATGCCTCTGGCGCACAATTTTAAAAACACAAAGCAGGGGGTATCTTTCTTGGAATGCGGGCAAAAAAACAGAGTTCAGGCACAAAAGACAATGAAGTAACAGAGAAGATGATTAGGAAGGAGATCACGTCTAGAAATGACAAAGGCCAGGGTGTACAATGGCACCTTAATCAATTTCGATGACGACCCGCTCCTGGTTTTTGGGAATTTCAGGGGAAGAGGGATTTTCATATTTTAGGCGTGAAGTCACATTCCCTGACAGTGCCGGATCCTCTGCTTTGCGCTTAGCGAGGACAGAACGCTTCGTTTTCTGTGGAGAAGGGGTAGCTTCATCTCCAGTGGCTTTCACAGTCCATGAGCCATCAGACTGGATTGTGATGGCCTGGGCACCTTCCAGTTTGTTCGTTTGAATAAGCTGGGCGCGAACGTCCTCGAGGAATCGATCTAGTACCAGGAGCTGTGGACGAGCATCAGAATTACAGATAGGACATCTCCAGTTATCGTTCATCGCGGTCAGACCGCTGACAGACTTTCGTGTCTTGATGAAAGTTTCAAGATCAAAACACTCTTGGTGTTCACAGAGACTGGAGCGGGCGGGCGTGCGGAAGACTTGTGCAGTAAAAGGATCGATCAGACTGACAGTCAGGTTATTGGAAACGACAGCTACATCGTCATCTTCAGCGGACGGGCTCAGACGCTTGCTGATTTTTTGACGCACAAGCTCCGCAGGGATGGCCTTTACGAGGCTGCGTACCAAGTCAAATCGAGAGACATCCATTGCTTCAACCCCGAAGTAATACCGTATATCTTTGCATTCGTCTGGCCCCAGAAGCAAGTCAATCTGTAGCTTATTATCGCCCTGGTGAACATCCGAAGTAATGTCTAACGGCAGATCCTTCCCATTGTGAGCCTTGCGGCGCGGAGTCAGCTCCCTTCCGTTGAGATGGATATAAAACACGCTGGGCCAGCTTGTTGGCGCAGTGTGCCACAGGGTCTTTGCGTTTTCAGCTGCCGAAGCTGGAAGTGCGACACACCGCAAGCGCAGGGTGCGGCAGCCGGATTGATATGTTATAATGGGACGATGTCCCTCCTGGATAGGCGATTCTAACCGAGGACGCCTGGTTATGTCTTCGGCAGACATAGGGAAAACCCAAACATAATTGTAACCGTTGGGGTCGGTAAGAGTAGGCTCCAGCGCGAAATCGCTAACATAGTGATACAGTTCGGCCTCGCGCATTTCGCCCCCTGGCCCTTTCTTGACACATTTTTTGACCGGGTCACGCAGATCGGCCTGGTGTAGCCCTGTGCGCATAGGATTTGGATGAGAGGTTTGTGGAATTCGATAACCATGGTCTGGCAACAGAGCGCTGGCAGACGAGACAAGAGGAACATTGGATTGACTTGGCGCGGGAGCTTGGCGCGGGGAACCAATCGGTTGGTTTCTCAAATAAGTCTGATAGGTTTGTATTGTCCCTTGGTTACAATTTTGCGATGGCCCTTGGATCCCTCGGCGTTGATCACCAGAAGCGACTGATTGGATACCATTTTGCCGAGTCGGGTTGAGCGGGGAGGGAGATGTGTACGCCGATGGATATGTGTACGTTGATGGAGATGACACGACTGGTCGAGCACCATTCTGAGCCGAATTGAGCGGGGTGGAGACTGAGTACGCCGATGGAGGTACGCAGGATCCAGAAAATTCCTGAAAGTTGGGAGGGTTCCAAGGGTTCCCAGGAACATGACCAGGCATCGGTGACATTTGTGCGTGATTGCTTATTGGCCAGGCTTGCATTTGCTGTGGTGCCATTGCCATCCCCTGGTGGGCCATCATATGACTATGCTGTGATTGCTGCGGATGCGGAGGTTTCTGTGGTTGCTGTGGTGGCTGTGGTGGCTGCGGATGCTGCGGTTGCTGCCTCTGCATCTGTGGCATCTGCTGCCTCTGCAGCATCTCCGAGGGATAAATATAGGGAATTTGATAAGTTGGGGCGGTTATCATCGGCGGAGGCTGCCTGGCGAGATCTTGGGCGAGCTGCTGAGCGGGAGGTTGGCTAACAGAGGATTGCCTGGCTGGACCGTTTGATGATTGCAATCCATTAGATGCCACTGTACCATCTTGATTGACTACACGAGCTATCATCGGGCTCTCAGAGGGTTGGGTGTTGGCCCGAGTGACTTTCGGTCGAGATTGGACCTGAGAGAGGGCCAGAGCGTGGGGACTGGGCAATGGCGTTTGCTGCGAGTTCGGTGCTTTCATAGGGATACTTCGGTATTCATCAATTAACTTATGAAGAGATTCCTTGTCCGAAATCATCAGGTTCCTCCGGAATAAGGTATTCAACGCCTCAAGATTCCACGTATCATATAGTTGGCGAGCCATGGAGGCATAAATCACACTCATGAAAACCGGGGAGTTGAGTTCAAATTCCGTCTTCATCTCGTGCACCAGCGGCATGAAGCGTCGAGAAGACACTGTAGAGTAAAACGGGCAATTTTGGCTCGGGAAGCGGGTTGCCAGAAGTGGGAGGAAAGCGACGACTTGGAGGAGCACGAGTTGATACCAGCCATGTTCCTTCACATCATCCGGCATGACCGGGAACTGAGCAAAGGCGACAACCATCTCCTTTGGGAGATTTGCATTGCTTTGTAACAGTTCAGCGACGCGATTCAGTCCCCGGCGACATCCTTCCGAGTTTAGTTCGGGCAGATCCAAGAATACTTTGCCTCCTACAGATATCCGGCAGAACACCTGGTGTAGGGCCAGATAAAAAAGGTCTTGAGACACGCAGGCGTCATAGAGTAGTTGTACTCGAGGGATGGCGATAATTGAGGGCGCAGCAGCCGCATGGGTTTTCACTTGATCTACCCATGCCATCCATTTCTTCCACATGTATCTATCTGGCACGAGATCGTCCGAAGCAGCCAACTGGGTCCCATTGGCTCCTTGCATGGGCCGGGGCGGCACTTCTGTCCTTCCCGGCGTGGTTGAACATGCGCTCGTGGTCCCTGCAGAGTCTTGTGGGACTCTGCTCATCCCAGATGGCAGGGGAGAAGCAGTTTCATTTGTTACGGAAGTCGGGGTGGGGATTTGCGTATGGAGTTGAGGAATGGCAGGAATGGCGGGACTGGTAATGGCGGGACTAGCAACGGCTGACAGATTGCTAATAACTGGACTTAAATGAGAATCTGCACTTGGGACGGGAGAAGGAAGGGCGGCGGTTGGTGGGTCTGTTTGCTTGGGTGCAGTGACAGTCGAAGTCACTGGTACACTTGATAGGACTGATTGTAGCATATCCCCCGGTGTGACGGGGGACATGAGTGAAGCTTCTGGTCGATCGGAGCCCGAAGGCTTAATAGAATTAACATTAGAAGCAGGAGAAGGAGCATGAGCAATCTGACGAGCATTGGTGGTAGTTGATCGGGAAGCGGACATCCAGTTCCTCCGCACGCCCCCCAGAAAGAGGCTCGCTGTGGAGTTGGATTGTCCGACATGATCAGCCTTCAATTTTTGACTTTCAGGAGACTTCATGCCGAATACAAGATCACAGACATCCCCAGGGTATGTGGAGCGCTTGATCCAGTTTCAGTGACCAAGGACAAAGGTTGGGAAAGAGGGGGCAACCAAGGTTGTTTGTTTCTGTTCGAGAACCAACTGACAAACGAAACAACCTGATAGGAAGGAAAGAAGAAAATTAAACCTCTAATTTCCCTCAAATATACGGGAATCAAGGGCATTAGAGATGAAGATATAAAAAGCAAAAGGAACAAAGAACGATATAACAAAGGGACTGAAATGACTAAAACGTGCCCATCGTGACCGGATATGATAGCGCGCGCCTATAACATGCAGGTTTGGAAATCCTTGTATACTACTTGAGATATAATGTACAGATAATATGTACAGATAAACAATGCAGGATATCATGATATTAAGTGATGGGGTTTAAATAGATATTATAGGAAATATCATCCATAGTATGCTGATAATGCTGACTCAATGTACATCTGGAGTAGTTAAGACTTGCTCAGGAATGACCGGATTCATCTAGACGCTTTCATCTCTACCATCCGGAACTTGAGCTTTCGTTGAATTGAAATGAAATCATTGCATTTCCTGTGCAATATTTGAACATTGAACATCTTGACTTTCCAATCAATCCGTGGGACCAGAACCCTTGGCCACCACGTCACTCTTGGCCGAAGACCCATTTTTTACCTCTACATCTCTCGGTTCATATTTGTGGACCTTCAGCCTCCATTCCACGATTCCTGTCAGATTCTAGGATTCTCAGCTCAGATTCGATTCCTGGAATTTTCCACTTTTGTCAAACTTTTATGTTGGCATGATAGATCGATCTCTGGCACACGCCACCATTTCCTAACGAACTTCCAATTGTTAGGTCTTCAATAGTTCTGCGCACGAAGCACTGCGAGGTGCGTGCTCGAACCCCCCCCCGCGAGATCCATTAACAAGACCTGATAGCCGATGTCCTTCCAGATTCCCGACCCTTCTACATTCTTATTCTCTCCCCCCTACGAATTTCACATTTCTCTCTGAAATTACCTGCCCGGTGGTTGATCTGTTTGCTCTTCCCCGAAAGGGCTGCCGGGCCCCTATGTCCTGCGTCTAAGCTACTCCAACCGACTCCCCCTCCCGTCTGGCCTTCCGATCTTCCTATCTCAATCCTTGCGCGACCGGAGGAATTGCGCCCCCATCGTCTGCAATTATGGCCGACGCGCAGCTGGCGCCACCGCCACCACCACACAATGTTATTCCTGGTGATTATCTCCTCGTTGTCCGTAAGTCGATCCCGCGCAAAGTACAGCGCATTGCGCTATCCGAGAATGATGTGCCTAACCCAATCCAGATGCCCACACCGGTGGCGAAGATGAATTAACCATGCATCGCAACGATATCATTCAGCTGGTCGAGCTGGACGAAGAGTTCGGAGACGGTTGGTGGCTTGGCGAATATCCTGGCACCGACCAGAAAGGCCTCTTCCCCGCAGGTACGCGCACATGAAATCGGCATCGGTAGAACCGAAACTAATGGCTCAAGCAGGCTTCACTAGGAAAGCCGAACGATACGAGTACTCCAGACTTCAGAATCCCCTTCGTATCGACCCATCCCAGGGGGTAATCACTTCAGAAAGGACCGAGTCGCCTGCCCAGATCGAACCAACCACACCAAAGGACACATCGTTTGCGACCGTCGGAAGCCAACAAACCACTCCGCAGGCATCCCGGCAGCACAGTTTTCATGGGCCCCAAACCATGGATTCTCCGCAGCGATCTGCCTCGTCTCCCCTACCGTACTCAAGTCTCGCAGCCGATATCCAAAACGCATTGCGCCCATCCGCAGAACAGCACGCAAACGGTCAGGACAGTCCCGTCATGAATGAAACGTTGAGTGTGATCGACGAACACATCACCGATATGAATACGCCCCGTCACAGCGTGTCAACGCAGGATGCCAAGACTATCAACGACTCCGGCAGTGAATATAGCAGCCATATCAGCCATCGATTGTCATACATCAATGGAAACGAGACCGACGAGGAAGAGGGTACAACGTTGACCGAGGAGGAGGTGCGGAGATGGAATCAAACCCAGACTGCAAATCACCTGCGAAGCCTCGGCGTGGATTCCAAACACTGCGACATCTTCGAGAATGAGGAGATCACAGGTGATGTGCTACTTGAGATGAACCAGGACTTTGTGTTTATGAAGGAGTTTGACTTTGGTGTCATGGGCAAGCGACTCAAGACATGGCACAAAATTAAAGCTTTGCAGGAGGAGGTCAATATGTCCAAGGTGCAACCGCAACCATCGCAGCCTCCCAGAGGCTCTGTCGCCGGGTACCCCAGTCCTCATGAAGAACGGACTGTGTCTCGTGCCGGCCATACAAGTGGTTTCCTTCCCCGCATTCCCACCGTGTCAGAGAAGACCGGTGCAGGCTATGCCCCACGATCATCCATGGGTGGGCAACATCCACGACTAGCTAGCAACGGGAGCTCCCCGGTCACCCCCATGACCCCTCCTCGCTATGGCAATGACTCGAGGAGAATGTCCGCGGCGTCCATTCGGGAATTCAACCACAATCGCCGACACTCTTCCATCGACGCGACACAACGTGGCTACCCTGATTTCCACAGCCACCCCAAGAAGGCCTCTTTCGACCGAACCTGGACGCTCAATGGAGGGTCTACAACAGGACCTTACGTACTTCCTCCTCGCCCAGGAACGTCAGTTGGTGCCCCTACAGAGGGATTTCGGGCTTTCCGTGGGGCGACTGAATCTGAGCCTAACACCCCGGAAGCCACCGATGACTTGGACCGCGGTTATTTCTCCAGCACAGAGGTTGATTCACGTCGGAATCGTCGCGTTCTGCAGAAACGCACCTCAAACACCGGCAGCAACAGCCATTCTCGAAAGTCGAGCTACCAAGACGAGCCCATGTTGGTGAGACCCCCCAAGCGCCAATCCCGAATTGCAAGTGTCGATTCTCTTCGCGATGCCGATAAACATGTTTCCGTTGCTTCGAAGAACTACAATAACTCTCCGGCCAAATCACGACTGCGGAGCATGAGCCAACGTAATTCTTCGACCCAGAGTGGTCGTACCTCGGAGTCGTCTGATACTAAGCCTGGCTTTTTCGCGAGCTTCGGACCTTTGATGACGAAGAAGGCGGCCGATTCTGCTGAAACTTCTTCACGCTCCTCGCACTTCCAGCCTCTAAAGAATGTTGGCCCTAAGATGCGACGAGCTGTAGGCATGCGCGCCATCTCAGATGCTACCAAGGACACCTCTGAACCTGCCTCCCCCAAGGAATTTGATTCTAGCTTTGCTCGAACTGGGTCCACCACTCCATCGGCCACCTCCAAGAGCTCGGAGCGACACAGCACGGACGGTTCTGGCAAAGCTGGCGAGCCTCCGGGATACGTCGTTCGCCCCCGAACTATCAAGTCTAAAAAGGAAACCAGTGCCTATACACGTGGCCTAGAGAAAAAGGCGCCCCGGGAGCAGATGGACGGCTGTGAATATAGTGGGTGGATGAAGAAGAGATCATCAAACTTGATGACAACTTGGAAGCCCCGACTATTCGTTCTGCGTGGTCGCCGTCTCTCATACTACTATGCTGAAGATGACACTGAAGAGAGGGGCCTGATCGATATCACAGCCCACCGTGTGCTGCGGGCAGATAACGATCCTATTATCACCCTGCATGCAGTGGTCACTGGTTCCACTGCGCTTCCAGCCAATGCCAGCTCCACAGATCCGAACTTCAAGCCCGTCTCTCCTGACCTTGGAATGAAGAGCAAAGACGTGAGCGGCCCATTCTTCTTCAAGCTGGTTCCCCCCAAGATGGGCAATTCGCGCACTGTGCAGTTCACCAAGCCTACGACTCACTACTTCCAAGTTGATAGCGTCCAGGAGGGTCGCTTGTGGATGGCCGCTCTGATGAAGGCAACCATCGAGCGTGACCTGGATCAGGTAGTGTCATCAACGAACAAACAAAAAACCATCAGTCTCAAACAAGCTCGCCTGATGAACCAACGACCACCGGCACTCATGAATAACCCTCTCCCAGAGAACGAGAAATTAGTTGAAGAGGAAGAAGAAGATGATGGACTACGGATCGAGGGTCTCAACTTGACCAAATCAGGATCCTCGGCGGGTAACTCCTACGTCGATGCCAAAGGCGAGCTGAATGAATCCGACTCAAATACCAAAGATTTATCCAATCCCCTTGGAGAGATCAACGTCGGTCCTACTTTCCTTCTTCCCAGTCCCCTAGCGAAGACAGATTCGCAATGATCTTGCTCCGATCTAACTTCGATATTGCTATCACATCTGACCTACCAGGCATATACCGATTCCCATCTACATTTCTTGCTACCTACCCCTGCATATTTCTACTTTTCTATTCTTTTGCTATTTTGCTCGCCTTTCCCCTTCCCCTTCCCAATCTATTCCCCATTTTTTAACAATTATTTTCAATTTTGTTTCATTTTCTTCCCCGCGACCATTTCCCCTGATACCTATTGGCGTTTGATGTGATATACCCCTCGCTCCGACTTTCTGTTCCCTTCGCTCTTCCAATTTCTGTTTCAGTTACCTGGATATGAAGGGATTTTATGCGGGCAGTTTATGTGGCCTGGCTTATTCTATGGGGACGTTTTGATGATGCATGCAGATGTGGCTTAATCCCGGATTTCTTCTTTACACATTATATGTGGATTCAAACCTTTTGATTATTCCAGTATTTTAATGGCTTTACTTATCAAAACTAGTATATTCACTTAACTAAAGTTTATCAGCGGCAGTAAGACGATGTGGGGGGCAAATTTTTATATTATACATCACTTAATTTTTCCCCCAACCGAAATAAACGAAGAAAATGAAGACAGCATTGAAGAAACCTGTCGTAGAAAAGTTACATTTATATAACACATGTGCATGTACAGGATATTGAAAATTGTAGGGATGTAGAGTGGCATATCATTATGAGCATGTGAGTTCCAAGGTTAGCGCGGCCGCGGAGCTTTCACTGTTTACCTCCTTTGTACCTCGACCTGCGCTCTCCAACCACACCCACACTCATTTTTACGTTCAATATGCTGTATATTATTATCTAATATCTTTTCTAATACCTATACCATCCTCATGTCCTTCCGCACGCTGCTTGCCCGCATTCTCGCGATACTACTCCCTCTCAGCGCCACAGCCACCCTCTACCTATATCTATACCCCGTCCTCAACGGCTGCGCATTCCCTCTTCCTCGCTCCCAAGTGACAAGAGCCGAAAGCTCTTCAATACTAGAGAAAGTACAACAAAATGCCTTTACCAATACCATCCTACAACATCTCGCACCAGCCACTACAACGGACAACCAGCCCGCCATTTTCAGACTCCTAGTCCTCGCAGACCCCCAATTAGAAGGCGATACATCCCTCCCATTCCCGGAATTTGAACTCGTCCCCCGCATACGAACACACTGGCGCGCCGTCCATGAAGCAATTGGCAATACCGCAACAACCCCCGCCGTCTTCGGCCTGACCCCCGACGTTCGCTCCAACATTACAACTAGTCTCTGGACACTAGCAACCGAAGATATTCCGCGCTCGCTAAGCGCAACACAAAAACGTATCGATCTCCTCGGAAACGACTTCTACCTCGCGCACATCTACCGCACCCTCTTCTGGTGGACACGTCCTACACACACCACCGTCCTCGGCGACCTCCTCGGCAGCCAATGGATCACAGATGAGGAATTCTCAGACCGGAGCGACCGCTACTGGAACCGAGTCTTCAAAGGTGGCTTACGCGTCGACGATGAAATCACCTGGACAGGCGCCGTGGCCAGTCACGCTGCAGACCAGGACAAATCAGACAAACATCTCGAGCCCCTGGGTCCAGATTCGGACCCGTCCTGGCCTCGACGCATTATCAATATCGCCGGAAACCACGATATTGGATACGCGGGAGATGTAAGCGAAGCACGGATGGACCGCTTCGAACGCGAATTCGGGCGCGCGAATTGGGATATCAGGTTCCAGCATCCTCCGCTCGTTGATGACTCGCACGATCACTCTGGATCAGTACCCACGCTACATGTTATCAACCTTAATACGCTAATCATGGATACGCCTGCGTTGTCTTCTGAGCTCCAGTCGCAGAGCTACCTCTACCTCAACGACCTGATCAGTCACCGACTGTATCCCGTCGAGGATAAATCTGTTTTCACGCTGTTGCTTACGCATCTTCCTCTTCACAAGAAAGATGGTATCTGCACCGATGGACCGTTATTTACTTTCCATGAGGAAGATGACGATGAAGGTGTGGATGGAGTCCCGCGCTTCAAGGCGGGTGGTTTACGCGAGCAGAACCACCTCAGTGATTTTGTTAGTGACACAGGTATTCTACGTGGAATTTTCGGTATGAGCGGAGATGTTGATGCTCCTGTGGGTGGGCGTGGACGGAAAGGATTAATCCTCACGGGCCACGACCATGTAGGCTGTGATGTGGTCCACTACGTCGAGCCTGTTGAAGAATCGGAGAAGGAAGAAAGTGAGGCAGATCTTCATTGGAAATGGGCTGCGAGACGGTATGAGGAGAATGGTGATTCGGAATCCCCCTCTATCCGTGAAGTGACGCTTCGTTCTATGATGGGCGAGTTTGGTGGTAATGCCGGACTTCTTTCGGTGTGGTTTGATGCTGATCTTGGGGAATGGGATTATGAGATTACCATGTGTCCTGCTGGAGTGCAGCATATTTGGTGGGCAGTTCATGTTGCTATTTTGGTAACCATCGCTGTTGGGTTACTTTGGGCTTTGACTGCGTTGGTTGGAGGTGGTTCTGGGAAGAGGAGGGGTGTATATGTGCCAAAGATGGGGAAAGTGAGTCAGCCCTTGAGGGTTAAAGAGAAGGCCTCAACACAAGGAGCGGAGCCTCGAAAGCAGTGAGGCTCTGTTGTATGTTTAGAATGTATAGTATCATATAACCCTGAACATTGTCCTCGCTAAAAAAAGATCAATATCTCTACGGTGCCCGAGGGTGAGTTACAATCACATGCTATTCGTGGTGGGGTATATATCCACGCCTTTCACTGCGGAAGATTACCCCCCTTCATTCAACAATGACATGCAGTTATGGACGGTATAGTCATCTTCCATGCTGTTTTCATCACTGACTGACGAGGAATTCGCTATACTCACGTATTCTCGGAGAGTCGACAAAAATGCAACCCGATAATCTCCCTTCAATGATATTTTTCGATATCTTGGGAACAATAGTGGAATGGAGATTCTGCATCGCAAAGGAACTGAAAGCCACAGCACAAAGGGCTCTACAAGATCAAGCCCGAAATCTGAGTGCCAATATACAAGCACGTATCTCCGATATGTCCACTTCAAGCTGGCAAGAGATCGCCGAAGAGTGGCATGGCTCATATATGAACTTCGGAAATACCTACGATTCATCAAAGCCCTTCATCTCAGTAGATGAGTACAACCGCATTTCGTTAGAAAATATTCTCATCGAACGAAATCTCCGAGATCTATTTAGCGAAGACGATCTCAACCACTTGACACTCGCTTGGCATCGGCTTGACTCGTACTCTGATAGTGTGCCAGGTCTTGAATTGCTGAATACTAAGTTTCCGACATCTACGTTATCCAATGGTAATGTGAAACTCTTGGAGGATCTACAAGGTCAAAATTCTTTGCCTTTCACGCATATCACCAGTGCAGAGCATTTCGGTGCTTATAAGCCGGCGCCGGAGGTTTATCATGGTGCTGCGCGCAGATTCGGTTTAGGGGATTCGCAATGTTGTTTCGTCGCGGCTCATCTGGAGGACTTGTACGCTGCTAAGAAATGTGGATTTCAGACAATTTATCTTGAGAGGGAGTTGGAAAAGGCTTGGGATTGTGGAGATGTTGCACGAGCTAGAGAAGAGGGGTTTGTCGATCTTTGGGTTGAAGTTGGAGGCTCAGGTCTGATTGAAGTTGCTCGATATTTTGGGATAGAATGGATTATTACTAACGATTAGCTCTAAACCCTTCGTCTGCTCTTCTCTTTCTAAATAGGATCTTAGGCAGTTCCTCTTTAAAAAAATTTTATCCAAAATTGAATCACTCGATATAAAGAACTCGATAGGGTAGGGCTTACACTGTAGGTATTTCTTATAGAGTTGGATTATAACGACCTTTAGGTGAGGATAATTAACAATTGACATCCGCATGGTCCAGTGTATAACACTCCCATCTGGGCGTTACGTTGCACGCCATTTAACAAGTTGCCTGGGACTTGTCGGATGATGTCAATTGTTGTGTACTGGAGAACCCTAAGCACAGGGGTATCCCCCCCAAAATGCCTATCAAGGCACAGAGGAGGGGTACCTCTGGTTTAGTGTTTTTTTTTTTTTAACATTTCCACTTGTGAATACTATATACTCGCTGTGTCAGATTGTCACTTCAGATTCATAATTAATCTATTGTGAGGTGTGGTATTGTGGTGAGTGATTTATGCGTGATATTCTAGTTGATGCAGATGAAGCTATTCACAAAGTACTTTCGAAGTACTCGGTGAGAAGAGGCAATATGGGAGATTCTACGTACGATTCCCGGTTATGCCAATAATCTTCTGTGCGATAATAAGTAAAATAGTAAGCATCTGGTCATTGCAAGACGATACGCACCCTCTGGTCTTTCCGCCGGGGGGCTTTAACGGGCGCTTTGACGGGAGCTTTAACGGTAGCGCACACCTAGCGACCAGGGACGTCGCAGGGGAACTGACCAATTGTGGCCGGTGGGTGTTTGGCGCGGGGCAAAAGGCCAGGGGTGCGTGCAACGGTAGGTCTTTTAATGTTCCTTTGCACCAGGAAATGTGAACAGCTCTCCATACAAGCTAATGTGGCTGATTTCTAAAAACAACGTTCAAAGAAAGAAAAGCTTGCCTCATCCATCAGCTTCTAATTACACCAAAAAGTGCGGCGCCAAGCATTGAATACAAAGCTATTTGAGAAACTGACCAACAGGATTCGTACGTATGAGAACATCATTTAAACACGTTCATTATGTGCAGCTCAATATGTGGCTGTGTAATGATCATAAAGATAGTTCATATCATCATACTAATTGCTCTTCATTATTTTGTAGTTTGACTATCTCAAAGCCGTCATCAAATCGTTCTTGACCGCTTCGATCTCCTTAGATAGATGCGTCACCAGTCGGTCGTGCGCGATGTCCGGGAGCCCTAAAAATGGTACATAGGAACCAGAATCGACATTCAACCCCATTGGATGCGAGCTGACAGTCTGTTGAATCCGGATCGAGATAGTATCAACGAGACGCTGCAGATGTCCAAGCTCCCCTAGGATCACCTGAGCCTGAATGTTCCATCCCAACGCCGGATTGTCGACAGTGTGATCACCAATCGTGACAGCCTCATTGACTACTTTTTCGGGCAAAGCTGATTCTTCGGTGAAGTTCTGTCCACCTGGTTTGCTGTAAGGGTGGCGGGAGAAGCATGCGCGAATCATCGCTCGATACCACGCCACGAGTCGGGAGCAGATCACAGCTAGTATAAGCTGGTTCTGTGGACGTAGGGCGCACGCACATTGTAGCATGCGGCAAACTGACATGCCGGCTTCCTTGGTGCCCTTTAAAACCGAACCAGACATGCGTGGTGGTTCAGACCCATCGATCTCTTGGCATGTAGAGCTTTGACGGTTGCCATGAGAGAGACAATTTGTTTGGCGGATGTGGAGTGTGCGAAGGTACTGTGTCGCAGTGACAATGCATGGAGTGCGGCTTTCAGCCAGACAGGAAGGTGTCAAAGTTGATAGTGTTAAGAAAGGAATCGGTTGTGGGTTTTCGAAACAGAGAGATGGGGTAGAAAGAGAATCCAACTCATGCTGGTTGTTGGAGAAGTAGTCTAGTATAGAGCTATCCAGCATTGGTCCGTCAAAGTTTTCCGATCCAAGAGAAAAGTCCATAGGATATCCAGAGGCTGCACTGTTTTGAAATGGAGGTGTCACAACGAGCGGATCCAAGTAGAAATTAGGGTTGAATCTGTTCAGATCAACGTCCCCGGTCTCAAATGAGGGGTCTATTAACAGATCGTCACCTCCGTGCCCCACAGGTGGATGGCCGGGCTCGGTAGGTGCCATGGAGTGAGGTATTGAATTCCATTCTTCATTGCGGATGAGAGTCGTTGGGAAAGACCCCCACTCATTACTGAATCGCGTATCATAAGGATCCGTGGTCATGGATGGAAAGGGCTGGGGACTATTGCAACCCGCTTTCTGGGATTGAAGAGTGCCAGTATTCATCATTCGTCTTCTCTCCAACCATGTGCTGTGAAAGCCCTGAAGTCAAGAATTCTGGTCACTGATTTACCTCGTCACGGGGTTGCTCTAACCGCTCTCCTGCTGCATTTCGCCCCACCAGCGATTACGCCAGTTTCAATCTAATTTTGTCTCAATCACTTTGCCCAATGGCTTCTTTTAGCGATTGCGGAACAATGAGGGTTTTGCCCTATGACTTCCCTGCATACTGCATGCCTCAGCTATGTATTCCCTTTGCGACCGATAAGCTATGGAAGTCTCATCTAGGGTAGCGTCGCTTAGCTTACACGTTAGCGCTGACCTGGGCAATGTCTTCAATTTCTTTCCTATCTGACTCTTTCTCCATTTGAGCTCCGATTCACTCCATTTTTAGATCCATGCTGGTCTTTTTTAACCGATATTGCAACGCCAAGCCAGTGAGAATATGGAGTCCCAGACCTTATCTGCAGCACCTCCAACTCAAAGACTCAAGGATTCGTGTGACAAGTGCTCTACATCTAAAGTACGCTGCACTAAAGAAAAGCCATCATGTGCGCGATGTGACAAACTGGGGTATACATGTTTCTACAGTCCTGCGCGACGAGTGGGACGACCACACCGATCAAAGGAATCCTCATCTAAGGGAAATAATAGCGAAGAATCCGAAAATCTTCCCGCGAGGATAATACAGCCGACAACATTTACAGATGAGGGAGATAAGCTCCTCTCTGAACTTGACCTATCATCTACCCGACTGGATCAACATGATGTATTCCCGGTGCAACAGGAAAATATCATTTCCAACCAACAGCACATCAGCGATCAAGACTGCATGTTGGTCATGATGGAACTTTTCTCTGAATTGGAGGTCCCAGCCACACAGCTCAGGTACTCCTCATCAGTAGACTCCAATCTACTTGAAATGACAACGCAGACCATCACCGCCACCCTCCGCCGTCTCTCTGCCATTTTGATCTGCCCATGTTCAGAGCGCGCCGAGACCGCGATGTTAATATCTGCTGTGTGCATGACCATCCTCGATATACATGCTATGATGATCGTTAAATTTCACGAAACGCTAGAACCTGAAGCTGCGGCCATGCGAGTATTAGGTGAACTTTCCAATGTGGCCCAGTCGGTTTTTCAATTCTCCGAGCGATATAATGGAGACTTCGGTGATGGAGTTGGAGTACCTGCAGGCAATGATGTCCCAGTAGACTTTTTGCCATCGCTGGGCAACTTGATGCGAGAAAGATTGCAGCAAATTACAAATGATGTGACCTGTTGGTGAACATAGCACGGAGCTGAATTTAAATGACGAGTCACTGATGACTATGTTATTGGTATTATTGCTATATTGTTAACCAGGAAGTATACGGCGGCAGATAAGGCTTGAATAACTCTAGCCAGAGAACTCTCCGAATATGCTCTCCGAATATGTAAAATAAATAAGCCATTCAAAGCAAATAATAATCAATATTCATGATATAGCAAAGTCAATCAACTTTTTGGGAATTTCCAATTCGGGGTCACGGGGAAGCCGAAAACGGTTGGAATGTTGCAACATAAAGTCCCGAACAGATCACCAAGGCCGTGATCTTCAATGACATGCAGAAATAACAATGCTACCATAATTGACTCTAACTTCTCTCTTCCCAACCTTATGCTCAGAAACCATGCCTTCACAACCCAGCATGGACGATCTCATTGCTCCTCTAGACGCATCCTCCCATCTCGACGAGGTCAACAGACTACGCCTACAAGATGGCTTATACGAAGCTGCAGAGGCTCTGGAGACGCCCAACGACATGCTATACCGCCTCCTCAATGCTGTCCGTCCCTCCATTCCACATCAACAATACCAAATTTCCAGAATAAAAACAAGCTAATTCAACCCAGGGCCGACAAATGGCAATGATTAAGATTGGATACGATCTAGATATCTTCTCAACCCTCACCAGCCGCGCAGAATCATACTCCACAAAAGATCTGGCCGCACCCAAAGGCGCCGACCCCCTCCTCGTGTCTCGCTTGCTACGCTTCCTTGCAGCCAACCGCATGATCACAGAAACGAGCCAGGATCTCTTTACTGGAAACAGGTACACCAAGAGCCTCTGCGATCCTCGAATTCGAGGCGGATTGCTTCATGGGTACTTCTCTCCATATCCCTTTCAGTAGAAGTCTACTAACCGCTGGCCTGTCCTGAGTAGTTTCCACATCAGCAATCCAACTTATCAAGCCCTTCCTGAATATTTGCAGGAAAATGGCTATCAGAACGTTACTGGAGGGCACTGTGCCTGGCACAAGGCTGCCAATACGGATTTGGATTTCTTTCCGTGGGCGAAACAGAACCCGGAAATTTTGAGTTATTTTCAGCAACTCATGAGTGTTATGGTTCTTCCTCGGGATGGCAGTTGGATCGATGTTATCCCAGTCGGGGATCGGGTGCAGTCTCTTGGAGGGGATAAGGAGAGGAAGGTATTTGTTGATATCGCGGGGAGTGTTGGTCACCAGTGTGTGCGTCTCCTTGCTAGGTACCCAGATCTGGGTGGTCGAGTCGTCCTCCAGGATCTTGAGGAGACGTTTAAACGTGCGCCGAAGATTGAAGGGGTGGACTTTATGGTGCATGATTTCTTTACTGAGCAGCCAGTTAAAGGTATCTTTTGTTCGTGATGTTGCAGGGGATTAATTGCTGATTATTTCTCTAGGTGCCAAATTCTACTACTTCCGTATGATCATTCATGACTGGGAGGATGATAAGGCAGTGGAGATCCTAAAGAATATTGTACCGGCCATGGCGGAGGACTCTCGGATTTTGATTGATGATATAGTTCTTCCTAATACTGGTACACATTGGTGGAGCACATGTATGGATATGCAGATGTATATCATGCACGGCGCGATGGAGAGGACGGTTGATCAGTGGTATGGGCTTTTGGACAAAGCTGGTTTGAAGGTGCTGGAGATCAAGACTTATGGCCATGTCATGCGGAACTCGGTTATTGTAGCTGTGCCGAAGTAGGTATAGAGCATTTGAAGCCCTGAACATCAAAATTTCTCCACCAGCATGGCATTCACTATAGCGGGGAGATACAGCCTTGGCAGCATTAGGACTCCGGGGTCAATTGTGGGGACAAATCACATCTCTAAAGCGAGCTAAGTAGAGCAAGGGTTCAGTTTAGCGGGGAGGTAATGACATCCAGAGGTCGGGAAGGCTGGTAACAAGACAATACCTGTCGACATGGGTGCTTATCTACTCCATGACGAAGGTAGTCTACATAGGTCTACGTCGCTAGAGAAGCTCGAGCCATAGGTCATCAGATTCATGAACCTGCCTGAATCCTCATAAGGGGCAAAGACATCGAAATCGAGAGCAACACCTAGTGCTATGCACGATATCCTCACAAGAATCGGATCATCATGAAAAAGGGTTGTAATTTTTTTCAAAAATACTTCCGAGTCGCCAGTGTTCAAAGGGGAAAAAACACGAATTTGGGAAGGAAAACCGGCTCGAAATAACACAAGTGGATTCGTCAAATGGACCTCCGCATTTCCCTCCACAAGATGCCTCGTCTGCGCTCCGTTTCCCAGGTCCCAAGGAGTTCAGGTTTGGATGGTATCGTTCATTTTTGGTTGTTTTATTCGGTTCAATCTCTTTACATGACAACACCGGCGTTGGAGGCAATACGGGGCCAAAGCTCAGCAGCCTCCTTACCGACGGGACCAGTGATGGCGGAACCCTTCATCTCACCCTTGTTGTTGACGATCTGTGAGGGAGCATCATGTTAGTAAATGTAATCGACAAAGACTAGGCTTGGCTTTGCAGTATGGAATGAGGCATAGCGGGTCAGAGGTTCAAAATTGATCCCAGATACTGCCACCCCAGCCATATGCACATTTTTCCCGAAACACGATGGAGCATCAACTTACAACACCAGCGTTGTCCTCGAAGTAGAGGTAGATGCCGTCAGCCCGGCGCCAGGGCTTGCTCTGGCGGACGACAACGGCGGGCATAACCTTCTTACGGAGCTCGGGCTTTCCCTTCTTGACGGTGGCCATAACCATGTCACCGACACCGGCAGCCGGGAGACGGTTCAGACGAGCACCGGTACCGGCGACGGCAATGATGTACAGGTTGCGAGCACCGGAGTTGTCGCAGCAGTTCATCACGGCGCCACTGTTCGACAAAAATGAGGACCGTTAGCTTTCCATTTTCCTTGAACCCATATTCGAAAATTCTTTCCAGTCGTGCACCCCGCTCAATAAATTCGTTGGTCCCGCCGCCAAGTCTGCTCGTGATATTTCCGAATAGGTTGCATTGGTGTCGAGGATCCGGTGATTCGGGGCAGATAATAAGTCGAGTTTGGCGATTGGCATTGGACGTTGTAGAAATGCATTGGGCGTGGTGCGTGACTGGGAAGAAAATTCTGGGGAGTTCTTCAAACGTACACAGGCAGACCGAGGGTCATCTTCAGCTTGTTGCCGGCGGCACCGCCACGACTGTAAGGGAAACGTTAGCACTCCCAATCTTCATTCGGTTGTCATATTCGTCGTCTTGTCCGCCCGGTTCCCTCTCTCAAGATCGACATGGTTGAATGTTTCAAGGTGCATGTTCGATTGTCGAGATCGTTCACAATTGAGTTCCGGTTGGATTTGACGATGTTTGCGAAGGTAGGGAAGTCAGACTTACCCTCTCTTAGACATGATGGGTGAGTATCACGGGGGTTGTCGGATAGTCGAAAAGGGTTGGCGACTGAAGGTCAAGTCGAGTCGAAGAATCGTCCACAGTGGTTTCTCGCTTGTGCGTTGAATGTGGAATATCTTGGCGCGGGTCTATTGGTGGAACTGGTTGCCCTAGCGCTAAACCATTTTGGAGCTAGCATGCTGACTGTACAATCCAACTATGCATTATCACGTGATGGAGATCAAGTCGACATCCTTACTCTCCATTTCGTCAAGGATTGAAGTACGGAGTACTTCCATGATTAATTGTTCAGATTCAATATTGAGGAAACGAATATAATTCTCAAAATATATGTAGGCTATTTGAGTTACTCTTGTCCGAAAAAGATACTACAAAGCTGAGAGCATTATTTGGACCTGGATAGATCGAACCTTAGTTTTCTTCAAGAAAGAGTTCTGCAAATGGAATAAATTTGATTCAAGAGATATGAGGGTATTCGCCTCTTGAACGGGTGAAGAATCCATCCTGCCCGTTCCATTGCAAAGAGAGACACGACGCCCCCCATGTTCGTACTATTTCGCTGTCAAACCGATAACACCTTTCTGCCCATTGTCCGTTGCGCCAGATCTAATATTGATTGTCTCGTGTCACAGTTGTTCACCCTTCTTGCTTTGAAGGTTGCTCAATAGACTCCGTAGCTGGTGCATGGGTCCCTGAACCTCCGGCAGTCGCACGCTCTTCCGTTGATGCGCCAGTACCCTGCTCTGCTGTAGGCAAAGATGACTCTTTCGGGGGTGACTGTGCCTGGGATGGCAACAAGGGTGTCTGAGAAACATCTGTGGCAACCGGGGATACTTCAGGCTTGGTCTCCTGTGCATCAGTGGCGGGCTCAGACGGTTGTTTCAGGGCAGGTTCGGCGTCCTCCATCATTGTATCCGTATCGTGCGGAGCAGGGGAAGGTTGGTGGGACGCCGCAGCGGACAGACCATTCTCCTCGCTCTCCACAACCATTTGATCGGTACCGGCGGGGGTATCCTGGTCATTGGAATTGGCAACCGTGGTCAATGTCTCGGGCTCTGTCCGTGGGATGTCGGGCATGTTTGTGTCCATGGCAGCGTCCAGCTCGCCGTCGCCGACTGAAGATGCCTCTGCAGGAGTAGCAATACCACTGTCGAGACCAGAGTCATCCAGATTTCTGTAATTGGCCTGGTTTCGGCGGCGCATAGCACCAGGTTGGCGTCGGATACCGTTGGCGGCATTCTCCTCCTCGTCTTCACTGTCACTCAGCAGTTCACCAGGTTTCTCTACATACTGGTCGAAGCGTCGTTGAGTAAAGCGCTTGTCCTTGTTCTCGTCTTCATCCAAGTCGTCCATAACATCATCGGCCTCGTCGTCAATGCCATCAATAAGGGGGTTGCGCGGCACATCCGTCATCTGAACGGAAGGCGCAAAAGCTGTGCGCTTCAGGTTTTCAATAACTTGAACAAGAATCTTGTCCAAGTAGTCCTTAGTATTGGCGTTGTCCATGTTAGAGGGACGGACATCAAGCTCGTAGTCGGGAGCGAAGTACTACAACACTTGTTAGTTTGTAGCCCAGCGCCAAGTACTTGAAGGGGACTTACCTCGTAGTAATCATTGTATGGCAGCTCTGATTCCAGGTGGTCTCCGACAAGGATACCAGTCTCATAGGCCCAGGTACGTGCGACGTTGCGCATTGTGTAGCCACCGCCACCGAGAATCAAGGTTGGGAGATCAAAGCTCTTAATAAAGTTGACACAATTCGCGTGTCCACGCATACTCAGGTTGAAACATCCCAAGCGATCGCCAGACAAACTATCACCACCACACTGCAATACCACAGCCTCCGGGCGGTACCACTCCATCACGTTTTTGATGACAGGCTCAAAGATGCTCTGGTATGATTCATCATTGATACCATCCCGGAGAGGGAAGTTTACAGCGTAGTTCTTTCCTGCGCCAACACCGATATCGCGGAGTTCACCGGTACCAGGGAAGTACTCGCCGTACTTGTGGAAAGACACGGTCATCACACGATCAGTGGTGTAGAAAGCCTCCTCGACACCGTCACCGTGATGGACATCAATATCGACATAAAGCACACGCTGCTTGAATCGTAGCAGCTCTAGAATACCGAGCACAATATCTGGCGATGACATTAGCATTCAAGGACCATCCGGGTAGGGTACTGATCGCGCCCTACCGTTGACGTAACAGAAACCACTAGCTTCACTCTTTTTCGCGTGGTGCAGACCACCTGCCCAATTCACCGCGACCTCACACTTGCCGCGATTCAAGCGCGCGGCGCCTTCCATACTGCCACCAGCGCTAATTCCGCAGAACTCGAAAAGACCGTCGAATACCGGGCAATCGTCACCGACATTGTATCGGCTCTGCTCCTTGGAGAACTGGTCCATATTGTCGGGGGTGACTTTCCCAAGGAAATCGATGTACTCGTCTGTGTGGAATTGGGTCATTTCGTATTTCGATGCTGGTTTCGCACGCTATATGGATTTGCGCATTAGATTAATCTCCACAATCGCTAGCTCAGGATTTGTAGCAAAGAAAACTCACGTAGATTTCCATCTTTTTGTACAAGCCATAGTTCATAACCAAGCTGTGGGTCATGCGAATGCGATGAGGCTTCATCGGGTGACCCGAGACGTAGGCGTAATTTCCCACATCGGAGTCGTAGAAGTAGGCGACCTTCTTGTGGTTGGGGCCCGAAGTGGCCACGGGCTCAGCCGCCATATTGAATGGTGGTGAAGCGGGCGTCCTGGTCAAGGATTCCAGGTAGTGGAGGGTATCAATCAAGAGGATGGGATGTAGCAAGTATGCGGGTTAGGGGAGACAATGGATATCTCTCAGAGCCCGCAGACAACTAATTTGTGACAAGATCCACAGTAATCAAGCCAAAAACAATTATGCACAGCAGTATGTCAGGTCAGACAAGTGCATGGCGCTGCGGACAAGAGACGAAGAGAGGCTTGGGAGGATCGATAGCCGCGTGGGAAGGAGCGAAATTTGGCAGAACTTGTAGACCGCCTTCGTCGGTTGATGTGCCCGGGTCCGAGCTGCATCACTCGGTCAAGGCATTCACTTCAATACAACGGTGCCAAAGGGTTGATAGAATATTTCATCGTGACCTTTTGTGATATTTGCTTTGCCGTTCGATCACCCATTCCACTCACAAATCGCTATATCGTCGACTCGCTCACACCTTCGTCGCCGCATCGGAGCTTCTAGCTAGGAAGCTATCATTCACAACCTTCATTCTTCACATTCCATTTGATTCTCTATAATCATGGACCGTCTTAACCGGATGCTCCAGGCTGCCCAAGGCATGGGCATGGGTAGCGCTGCTCCAGGTGGTGTAAGTCGACCAGTGTGGCCTCTTCAGTGTCCTCATGGTGTCCATTGATGCGGATTGCGATACGTACATCTTGTGAAGCTTCGGATTGCTAACAATATATATTGTAGGACACTCCCAACCTGATTGATAACTCCGAGACCGTTCACATCTCTTCCTTGGCTCTGTTGAAGATGTTGCGCCACGGCCGCGCCGGTGTGCCCATGGAAGTCATGGGTCTGATGCTGGGAGAGTTCGTCGATGAATACACAGTCCGCGTGGTGGATGTATTTGCCATGCCCCAGAGCGGTACTGGTGTTAGCGTTGAGGCTGTAGATCCTGTGTTCCAGACCAAGATGATGGAGATGCTGCGTCAGACAGGACGGTAAGCTACCCCACCGAGACCGAGGACAGATTGAACGCTATACTGACCCTTGTTCTTCTCCTAGACCCGAGACTGTTGTCGGCTGGTACCACTCTCACCCTGGATTCGGCTGCTGGCTCTCTTCTGTTGATATCAATACTCAGCAATCATTCGAGCAGCTGACCCCCCGTGCTGTTGCTGTTGTTGTTGACCCTATTCAGTCTGTGAAAGGCAAGGTTGTCATCGATGCATTCCGTCTCATTCAGCCTCAGACAGTTGTCATGGGCCAAGAGCCCCGGCAAACAACCTCCAACTTGGGTCACCTGAACAAGCCCTCCATTCAAGCCTTGATCCACGGTCTCAATCGCCACTACTACAGCATTGCGATCGACTACCGTAAGACTGGATTGGAGGAGAACATGCTGATGAACCTGCACAAGCAGGTGTGGACTGAGGCACTGCAAATGAACGACTTCCACGAGGAAGGTCACCACAATGTGGACCAGATGAAGCAGCTCGTGCATCTCGCTGAGGGCTATGAGAAGCGGGTGAAGGAAGAGACCGAGTTGACCAAGGAGCAGCTGAAGACACGATACGTCGGCAAGGTCGACCCTAAGAAACGTAAGTCTGTTCTTTTCAGGCATTCAGGCCGTCGACATGCTAACCTTCTATAGATATCGAGGATGTCAGCCAGCAATTGATCGAAGATAACATCGTTGCTGTCTCTAGACAGATGATTGATAAGGAAGCATCAGTAGCCCGACAGTCGACAACGAAAGATGGTCACAACGACGCTTCTATGGATGTCGACGAGGAGCTGTGAATTTAGAACCTAGAAGCACGGTGCATCCATACCTTGAATCCTACTGAAACGCTCTAATCACGAAATTTCACGTTTCTCTCTATATCATTAACATGAAACCCACTGCTTATCTCGAGAATTTTAAACCCGTACCTACAAGGTAGTAGTTCTAATCCTTGCTTTAAGTCTATATGCTTCGCGGATATAGTATTTCTACCTCAACGGGTGAAAATTTGTCAGCCCCGCGTGCGTGCTTGGAATGAATAATAGGTAAGTTGCTCCTGCAGACAATGTCAATTATATACTGTACTGTACATCGATATGTATGTACATATATCTTGGTCTACAGTATATATATGTTTGTATATACCTTCTAATGTTGGCACTACATACTGTACACAGGCCGTTCAAAAGACACTCGGAACATTTATTTATATATTCGAGAATTCCAACACTGGGTTTAAGCACTTGAGCACTTGGGCACTGCGGGTTAAAGAGCCTTCAAGCCCTTACATCCCTAGAATATCAAAATTAGCGTCGTCGTGCATGTACGTAAAATGCATCCATCGAAGTAGGTATATAACGTGCATTCAATGTTATTTAGTAATATGTATGTATATCAATACGGCCATTCAAGGTTCTTTATTTTGAATTGCTGCAGACAATCTAACCTTGCACATTTGGAAGTACAGTTCATAAATACTGATCTATATATATATATATATATATATATTTGCTCCTCTATCTTCCTTTCAACCTACACATTGTATTTACATAAAAGTCATGGCGCATCTAACGTTAATTCAAAAGCTTGGAGAAGACCCTTAAGATCTTACTTCGATAGCGATATCGAGATCCTGAACCCGGCGAGCCAACTCATCAATGGGTTCAGGTTCATAAGAGTGCAGCGGCTCGAAAGCCTCAACAGGTATCGGATCTTCATGATAGACATAGCCGATCTCGTCATCGTCTGTCCATCCTCTCTCAGGACCCCAAGTGATTTTCTTGTTGGCCGCCCGAACCTCTTTCATCAAGCGACTCATCAGGGAACCGTCCCTCTTGACAGACGTATATGCATCGAATTCCACGCATTTCAAAGCAGGCAGTCGTTCCAGTATCTCCTTCAGCAATCTGCCAGAAAACTCGGTGTAGTATTCCTTGGAAACACGGAAGCCCTCGAAGTGAGGCTGTGAGGGATCACATTCGACAAACACCCTTAACGTGTGCAGGAGAGACATCTCCTCCAACCCCATTGCGTTATCAACAGCCCATGATTTCGGCGGTGCTGTCCAGCTATTTCCCAAAATTAATTCAACGGTTGTGATCAACGGACGGTAGCAGCGGGGTATGCCTCGGAGGGTCGGTCGTCGCGAAAAGTCTTGGATGTAGAAAATTCGGAAAATCTGAGACGAGTAGAAAAAGTGACTGGCTTCTTCATGGACGCGCTTCGATACTCGGAATAGAGCGATGCGTTGTGTGGCCGGCGCCACAAGTTTGGCCTTTTTCGCGGAGGCGCCAACGGCGCCTGCGTTCCTTTTCGCGGTTTTTTTCGTCGGCGTAAAAAGTACAAAATGGTAGACTTGTAGCCGAATTTCGGATGGCAGGTCGAAGAAGCGGAATGAAGTTGGTAGAGACACCGGCTCTACAAAATCTGTGCCATCGTCGTAGGCGTCGTAGGCTGCTTTGGCCTGCTTCGCGGCTTTTTTGGCGGCTCTCGAGGTCATGTTGGGGAAAAAGAAAATGAGATCGAAAGATCTAAGTACGGACAGGTCTAAGGATTGAGAATGCTTTCCATTTTTCGAAATTCGATTTTTTTTTTCAAGAGGTTCCTTAACGGTGGCGGAACAGAATCAAAGATCTAGGAAAATATAAGGAATGTGTCCACACATACGGAGCTGCAACATCAAAGGTTACCCTATGCTGCGGCTCTTGGAAGTGGGATCAGAAGAGAAACTCCCTTGGTCTCCCCAGCTATTTCAACCAAGCATGCATATAAAAAGAGCGTACTCGGTCAAATTAATGACTGGGTGAACTTTCATGGGGAGGAAAAGAAAAGGAAGGAAGAAAAACGAAGAGGAAAGATAATAAATGAGAATTGCGTCATTGGATTCTGTGGGTCACCGGACCATCACGCGCTCCGACTTTTCTACCCGGGAAACTCGTCCCAGTGATCTACTTAGAGAGATGAGTGCATCTGTCTCTCATTAATTTTCCAATCATGTTGAGTCGCGCCGTCTTACCTCTAACGAGGCCTAATGTCCTCGCCTCTGCCTCCCGGGCTTCACGGGTTCCACGAGTTTCCGCCCTGTCTCTTCAGCAACCCCGGTGGTACGCCAAGGGCAAGGGTACACCATATGAACTTCCCAAATCGCAGGAGCCCGAGTCGAGAATAACCAAGTCGACCTCGAAGAATCAGTCTGAATCAGAGCAGTCCGATCTTGACAACAAGTCTAAGCCGGAGATTGACGCGGCCGAGTCAAACACCGTGAGATCCATACTTGCCATGTAGGAATCATGAATATCCATCTGACCGCAGTTTCTTTTAGCCCGAAACCGAACAGATTCCCAACAAACCTCTCCCTGACTTGACCCAAGGTATTCCGTCGACGTTATTTGCCGAGCTGGAAGGCCGCAAGAAAGGCACATCACACCTGAACATCACAGAGGACCACACCCAATCCGAGGAATACAGTGAAGATGGCCGGGGTGGTGGTGATATCCCCAAGGGTGGATACGAGACCTCTCTGGACCGCCGGAAGGCCCGCATGGCCAACATCATGTACGCAGTGATGCTGGCTGCCGGTATTGCCGGTTTGGGCTACTTGGGTCGCAACTGGGAAACCGAGGAAGAACAGCGTGCTCACGCCGACCAGCCATCGGGCTGGGCCCCAGGTCTCTGGTGGAGCCGCACCAAGGCCCGCATGGGAGACCTTACCAGCTACTACAAAGACCCGGCGTTCCCCCAACTGCTTCCCGATGAGGACCCTACCATGCGCCAACCTTACACACTTGTCCTCAGTATGGAGGATCTGCTCGTTCACAGCGAGTGGAGCCGTGAACACGGATGGCGTGTGGCTAAGCGTCCTGGCGTGGACTACTTCCTTCGCTACCTCAACCAGTACTACGAGCTTGTTCTGTTCACCACCGTGCCCAGCATGATGGCCGACCAGGTTCTCCGCAAACTCGACCCCTACCGTATTATTCGCTGGCCCCTCTTCCGTGAGGCCACCCGCTACAAGGACGGAGAGTACATCAAGGTATGGCTTGAACCAGGCTTTTTGTTCTGACTGCATGCTCACAAATACTAGGATCTTTCTTACTTGAACCGTGACCTATCCAAGGTTATCCTCATCGACACCAAGGAGGAGCATGCTCGCCTGCAACCTGAGAACGCTGTTATTTTGGACAAGTGGACCGGTGACCCCAAGGACAAGACGCTGGTCGCCCTGATTCCGTTCCTGGAGTACATGGCCGGTATGGGTGTGGAGGATGTGCGCCCTGTGCTGAAGTCATTCGAGGGTAGCCAGATCCCCATCGAGTTCGCCAAGCGTGAGAAGGCCATGCGTGAGCGCTTTGAGAAGGAGCTTAGCGAGGAGAAGAAGAAGAAGCCCTCCATTAGCATGGGCAGCGTTGCTTCCGCTCTTGGACTGAAGTCTACTCGTACCATGGACGGCGAGGTCTCGGCTTCCGAGGGTCTGGCCCAGGGTAAGATGCTGTGGGATCAGATCCGCGAGCGTGGTCAAAAGAACTACGAGCTCATCGATCGTGAGATCCGTGAGAACGGCGAGAAGTGGCTTGCTGAGATGGCCGCTGAAGAAGAGAAGGCTCGCCAAGAGCAAATGCAGAACATGAAGGGCTCTTTGACTGGCATGTTCGGTGCTGGCAAGCAGTAATTTGCTGTCATTCTATCATGCCCTCATATAAGGCGGAGAAAGCCTTCCTTTTGCTTTATTTAACCTGATTTATCTCTCCCAACTCATCGTCCACGGGGTTTGTGTTTTTTGTCATTTATGGGCAAGGAGCGGGTCATTAGATGATTTGGTTTCGTTCTGAGCATTCATTTCCGGAACGACTGTAAAATAGCGTTTGGTGTCCGATCTACTTGTTTGATTCTCAATGTACATTTTAAAAATTGGTCAGATGCTTTAATATGAAGAAACTGAGACTGATGGAAAGTGTTTTCCTGCACAGGTTGGGGTAGTGCTGGACCCTGGGTATATACATTGTGTTGAAATAAAGTACACGTCCGATTACCAACCAAAAAGACACCAAAAATCAACCATAGAATGCAGATGGAAAGGAATCTTGAAAACAATATGCCAACTAAGACAGGTTGACATCTTGGAAAACAGACACATCCCAGATACCTGTCATATCAAAGGGGAAGCCATCCATTGTGCCAAACGTATTGGATATAGACATCATATCATCGACGATATCGTTGTTTGTTTGTGTCTCCGGTAGTGAGATTGCAGCTGGGTTGACCAGTCCGTTATCAGCCATGGAGGCACTCAATGGCTGGTCCATCGTGGAGCTAGTACCAGGAAGACGATGCATGATTCGTTCGCAGTGGTCAAGGCACATATCAGCCACATCCCAGTCTTCTTCTTCCCGGACTCGACGAAGAACGGCACGCAGAGTCTCGACGTTGGCGAGACAGGAACGGGCAACCTCAGCGTCATTGGTTTCGAGAGCACATCGGACAAGGAGAGTGGCGGTGGAAGTTAGGTGAAAGGCGCTATCTGTAGGGATTGTAAGTATTGTACGCATGTCAATAATGGTGAATTTGCACGTACATGGTAGCCAAAATTCCTTGAAGTTCTCTTTTCGGAGAGATGTGATGAAGCGTACGATCTCCTCTGCTGATCGTCGGCATTCGGTTTTAAAGTAGCGACGAGCTTCCGGGTTATCTATTTCTGCATTGTTGACCTCCTAAATCCATGTTAGCAGACTCCAAGAAATCAAGGTAGGGCAAGTCTTACATTCAACTCCACACGGCTCACAAGCATCTTGACTGCCAAAAATGCTAGCTGTAGACTGCTTGATGCAGAAACTTGTTCACCACGGGCGTTATTGTCTGGCGATCTCAGCCAGTCGGGAAGGGAATCTTCCCATAAATCCAACTCCGTTCGAATTTGTCTGATCTGTTTGGAGGTCTCACGCGCCAACTTGGCTTTGAGTCCATATACAAGGGGTAAAAGCTCGCCCAAGATCTCCGTCAATTTACACAAGGCAATGTGACAATGTGCCGCTCTCACACGCTCTGTAGTGCGAATGCTTGCGGGCACTAAACTGTCAACAGTGGGAAGAGGAACATCGTATTGAGTCTTGGAGATCTGCGGAGGCACACCATGACCAAAACTACCCCAACGATCGTGGATCACTACTCCCCACCAGAGTCGAATTCGTTGATTCTTTTCCTGCTCGGAGAGCTTCCACAAACATGGATCTCGATTCAAACCAAGGCAATTGGCCAGAGAAAGCATACGACCACAGCTAATGGCATTCCCTGTCATTGAGAAGATTGGTCGTCCCGTCAAATCAATCAGTGCGGCACTAATCGTGGACAATCCAGGCGCAGAAAACTCCTCGTGCAAGGCCGCAACGGTCATGTTCACGGCGTATCGTACGTCTGGCTTCGGATGGCACGCTAGCTTCGGTGTATGCTTCCAATAAACAAGGGACATTGAATAAACCTGGCATATAAGCGAGGCTGGGGGGTCCTCCATATCTTCGGTGATATAAGACTCCCAAAAGGCTTCACCATCGAAGATAGGAAATGCGGTGTTGAATCGGTCGATAAATCTATAAAGATCAAAAAATGATTAGCCCTCACTGGACACCGCTGTAGGGTTGCACTAAATCTTACAGTCTCACAAGGTCATGTTTAAACGGACCAAGGATTTGTTCTAGAATCTCTTTTTGATTCTCACCCGGTGGAACCCCCATACGCATACCCATTCTCCGCCTTGAGATAGTAGTGTAGAGCACGGGCTTCCTAGGATCACTCGAATAAATATTGTATGGGTGGCTCTTAGGTTCTTCGGAAAGACTCGATCGTTCAGGAGGCATGTGCTTCTCAATGACCTGCGCATCTTCTGCTATCATTGGTCCGACAATAAGGACTGATTCGTTGTGCCGATCATCGTTATATCCTTTGCGTCGCGATTCACTTCCGCGATGTCCAGAGGTGGAACTGGTATCCTGGGGGCTTGGCCCATTGGTAGACTGGCGTGTCAGAATATGAGGGCCGGAGGTGGGCGAACTGTCGGGGCTTCGCTTGCGCTTGTGCCCGGACACGGGTTCGACCGGCTGGGCTCCCGACCACGACGGTTTCGATTCCGAGGGGCCCAGCACTGAGTTATCCGCGGAGGTTTCTTCTTGATAGTGACAATCGGCACCCTGCACACGACATAGAAGACAAGATTGTCCGGGAATGTCAACAGTACATCGGGACTTGCGCTTGCGACAGAGATCACAGGCGCGGACTTTGTGGGAGCGGTAGGGTCGCGCACCGGCATTGAAACCGGGCGACGGTAACTTGGAGGAGGGATTGACTTGAATGGCTGCGGGCGACATGATGCGCGAGCCCTAGAGATTGCAGGAGAGAGGGTAATGATTTGAGGAAAAAATCTGGGGAAAACGATCCGGGGACGTTTCGGAGGCGGCCGATCTTAGTAGCTCAGAATGAGGGGTACGACCCGGCCGAATGCGACAAGCATTGAGTATCGATTGGTTGAAGGAGCGCAGCCTTGACTCAAGAAGATTAGTTATGCTTTCATAGTTTTGCTGATCATCTACATCTGGTTTCCAAATTGTAGTTTTAGTCTGATAAAGCAAAGATAAGGCAATACACCAAAACGAGACAGAAAAAAAAATCAAGCTAAACTGGATGCGGGGCGCTGAGTCATCACCACGTGCCCACTCTATTTATATCCAATGATCGACGACAACATGGAGGAGGTTGGGATGCACCGCCACTGTTGCAGGGTAACTCCATCTTGGGCGCCCGCGCCAATTCCGCAGGTCGGAAGTCGTTGGCTATCATGGAGGATGTCTCCTCCCCAAAAGCGCGCGCCTTTGACCGGTTGCCCCCATCTGTAATTGAGCAGTACGTGTTTCTTTTTGAGGTTCGCCTATGTGGCCAGACGAACCCCATTTTGGCTGACGCTCCCTGTCTAGCATTCTTTATGCCACAGATGCCAACACCTTTGCATCATTGGCCCTTCTGAACCATCAATGGAGGCAAATATCAGAGTCTTCTGCACTCTATGCACATCACTTATCTAAATGCCCTTCATTTCTTTGGTCACGCGGGGCTCTTTCCCCGCCGAGCGAGACCGACAGCTTACATGACCTCAAACGTCAATTTATCGAAGAAATCCGTCGGAATGCCTTCGACGTATTTCTCCGTCCTCGTAAAACCTTGGTGCGCTTGATCTCGAGTTCTATGAGCTCTTCCACCGCCTTTCCCCAGGGCGAAGTCTTTCGTTTTTCATTCTCGGCCAATGGCCACATGGTGCTCTGTATCAGTTCATCTCGGATTATTGTGCTAGAACTGAATGGTGACCCAGTCTCTGTTAAACATGAGCTGCAAACCCCCCGGCGACCACTCGGTGCCACCATCTTGGATGATGGGTCACTGCTTGCAGTCTTATCTGAGTCCTACCGAGTGAATATCTACAGGCTCTCTAATGGTCAAGCTAAACGGGTCCAGTCGATCATTGTAAATGATGCCCCGCGTGACTTGGCATTTTCACCAACAGGCAGCGTACTGGCCCTATCATTTGAAGACAACATTGAAGTCCATGCAGTGGGAGAAGAAACTTTGACCACCGAGCGTCGCGCAGCACGATGTCTGCGTGTGGATGCGCTTTCTTTCACCCCGGATGGATCCATGTTGCTTGGATCTTCAATGGATCACGAGCTGGATGGCATTGTGGCTATCACGGCTCCTTTCTATACCGAAACTGGGACCGATGCAGCACCAGAGGAAGTTGAAATGCGAATGTGGACAACACAAATTCTCTTTCCTGAGACGGTTCGTGGACTCACTCATGCTTGTCTCATTCCAGAGCATGATGAAGGGGATGATAGCTGGATTCTCGGATATGATATTCAATTGGCAGCATTCCGAGCAATCAGAGCCAACAACGTGGAGGCAGGTGGGGTATACTTTTCCAGTCCATTTTTGGTGGAAGAAACAAGAGAAATGTTGCCCGCGATGCTTCCCACTATTGATAGTGCTGGTGAACTAGCAGCTTTAGGATACCAGGACTCTGAAGTATGGCTGTATGCAATCCCCAAGCGTCTTGACATTCCTCTTACAGATACAACTCCCGATGGAACACCGAGAATTATTACCCGTATGGGGGGTCTCCATCATTATTCCAGCTCTGAAATACCTCGTGATAACTTGGTGCAACTGGAGAAACTAGTTCAACAATCGAAAGCCTTGATTCGTGGCCGCCGTGTGACTGAAATGCATGGTATCACATCAACTCGTTGGGTACATTCGGCATCATCTGTAAAGCCTAGGCGCCGTCTTGTTTGTGTGGCCCCTGGTGGTGTGCGCCCTCAATCATTTGGCGAGGAGGATGTTCCCGTGGACGGCGGAAGGATCCTTCTTTTAGACTTTCAAAGATCGACCACCGACGGCGAGGAAATGGAGATTGACATCGAAGTTGGAGAAACGGAATCAATGATGCTACTTGAGCCAGACTTTTCCCTAGATACAGAAGTCGAGTTGCAAAGAAGACGCACACGATTAGTCCGTCATGATACAGATGCGACAGCCACTGGTCTCCGCCCTCGGCCATCAACGAGAACGATCCCGGTCCTTGACCCCCAACGGCGAAACAGCCTAGCAGTACCCCTCGTACTAAACGGGGCGAGTTCAAATGGCGTTGTTGATGTTCCATATGATAATCAACAACCTCGTTCTGAAGATACACTTCATCGGGCCGCCACAGCCGCGGCATCAACGCGAGGGCGGTATGATCCACGCTATCGCAATACACCCAACCATCGCTATGTTCCTCATGAAAGTGATGCAGACAACTGGGTTCCGCCACCCCCACCTTATAAGCGCGAGCCTGATGCACCGTTGCCAAATCACTTGCAGGAGACTCTTATGCCGAGACTGTCTATACCTCAACATCATCGCGATCTATCTACTCCAAACTCTTGGAATCCATCCAGCAACCAGGTCCAAAGGGCGCACACAGCTCGGATTCCACGACAAAGCCTATCAGACCGTCCACGACCCCAATCCGCTATCATTCAGCGATTAGGAACGCTTACCGGCAACATTCGGTCGGGGAGAAGCAGAAGGGGCTCTTCAGGCGCCGCAGAGGCGATGAACACAGAACAACAACCCACTGTTCCACCTGTTCCAGCTATACCCCCACTGCCAGCTCATTTGTCCGCTGCTCGTCCAAGCACAGCAGTGTCCCCAGTTATTCCAATCACCACAGGTCAAATGCCGTCACTGCAACCGCTTCCAACACTAGCCGTTCATACTGCAGAACAACTGAGGGATCCTGACCTGCCAATACCACCCTTGGGGGCAACGATGCTTGGAGAGAACTATTTCTCATATGCCGTGTCATCTCCAAATCTTCTGCACATTCCGCAGCCCCATGGGAATGGGCTGGATCTTGACGCAGAGGATGAGGACCAGATACCCGCAAGACAGAGGTCTTTCCGGCGAAGGGTCTCTACCGAGCCTACGAGCTTGCCGCCGCCAGAGAATGAAGAGTGGCGGAGGCGCATCCAGGATTGGAACGAACACACCATTCGAGAACGAGGTCGAAAGCGAAGAAATAAGTGCATGGTCATGTAGCGTTGTCTTTCCCTTTCTGTCCTTTAAGAGACTACAATACCCCCGCTCAAAAAATCTGAATGTGGCCATCTGCTGTCCATTCGCCCATTCAAAGTCATTCGGGTATGATTCAATCTACATATCGTATTTATAGATTTCTCAACACTGGTTTAAATATTATGGAAGATTAATTCATGTTGAGTTTCAAAACCATATGGTATAACGCAATCTATTGCAATAAAACAAAGCAGGCTAATCAGGTCGTGAAAGCTGTACAGCAACAAGGAGATCCTCGGGGTCAATATGTCATAATAATCATTATCAAGGTGCTTTAAATCAGCCACCACCACCACCTCCTCCACAGCCTCCTCCTCCCCCTCCTCCGCAACCACCCCCGCCGCCTCCACAGCCGCCGCCACCAATACCACCTGAGCGAATATTAGCATTATCACATCAAAAGGGGCTTCATAAGACATACCACAAGCAGCACCGCCCCCAGCACAACCTCCTCCATTACCAATACCACCGCAAGCTCCAGCGGCAACCCCACCACCACAAGTTCCCGAGCAACAATTCCCCGTAGCACCTGCCGCAGTACTCATACAGCTAGGATTGCAAGCATAGGAATTCGAACTGATCCCAGGATCACACATGTAAGGCCCATAGTAGGGTAAGATCATGGGATAACCATAATAATAAGCCGGATAGTACATACCCCCATACCCATCGGCAGTAGTTCTCGAGTCCGAACGCGGACGACCGTGCTTCTCAGCTCTCCGAGCAGCCTTCTCATAGTTCCGCATTAACCGCATTCGCTGCAGATATCCAACGCGGGCTTCACGATCGCCCTGAATGGGACGGACGGCATTATGCGCTGAGATATGTGGGTTTTTATCCGGGTCGGAGGAGATATCCGCTCTGTTATGTAGGGAGTCCGCTGTATCGCGGGCGCGGGACGAAGAGCCAATATTGAAGATGCGGCTGTAGAGATCTGGGGCTCGGGTTGCTTCGCAGTACCAGCATGTGCATTCGCTGTAGATACCGCCATCTGTCTCGCGGCGGTACATTTTACTAGTCCACTCGAAGGCCTCGGAGAGTTTGTTTTCATCGACTTTGTCGTCGTGGTCGATGAAGCGGCGGACCGCTCCGACTGAGAGGCTGGTTGTGTATTTGTAGTATCTGTTTGGTTGGAGTTGGTGCGTGTGCCAGGCTAGATCGACGTCTAGAGTTGGAACTGCCATGTGCCTTGGGTTGCGTAGCATAATCCCCAGGAACACGTTGTATTTCTTGATGAGACGGCGGGCTGTGTCCATGACGGTTGGTGAGTGGAGCCAGTCGATGTTGTCCATCTTTTGAACAAATGTGCCTTGGCGGATTACGGCGCCGACGAGGTCGAGTGCGAATGGGCTGAAGTTCTCCCAGTATCGAGACATCATCCGTCGGAAATGAACCTTCTCGCCTGGTTGGACGGTGGTCCCATGGCGAAGTTTTGTTGCTGCCAAGGCCTTTGGGTCGCGGAGCTTGAGTTCCATTTGGGTGCGAAGGTCGTCGACATTTTTGCACCAGTTTGTTCTGGCATCGGTGTAAGCTGCCAGGTCATTTCCGCAGGTCCTCATTAGCTTGCTGGGGAACATCATACTCTGGTGAGTATGATATGGTCGTTTCACTGGGGCGCTTTCTGGAATTCCATTTAGGTTTAACAGGGTCCCTGGCATGGGCCGATCGTGCTCAATCAACTCAAGCAAATCGTTTCGGAACTTAGCAACTTTGAGTCGGCCGTGATCGATTATGAGGAGACAGTGCTTGCAGGTGGTCGCAAAACTCTTGTCAGCAAAGCCGGTATAATCAGCGAATGCATCTTCGAGGGATGACGATATTTCACCACTGGTCCACGGCACTGGCGATATCTTTTTGCAGGAAGGGCATTCGATATCTTTGGATGGGGGGTCATGCAGGGCATCCCATTTGATCTTGATCTGTTTCTCGAACTTCTGTTGGCCAGCCTCACCTGGGGCGTACTCCAGAGTCCGGTCATTGATGCATTGGTTAACAGCTTCAAATGGGAACCCTGTTCTCCATGTACTCATCCTACCATAGCGAATACAATCCTCCAAAAAATTCCTTGGATTAAGCATATGAGAATGCCAGACCATCAAAATATCTAGATCTATATTAGATTGTGATCTGGGCTTCACGTTCATTACTCACCGATCGGAGGCAAATTATCCGTATCCCACAAGATCTTCATCTCACAGTCTGTAATGTGTTCATAGTTCGCGCTCTCTTGATCGGTCATTGTCGCATGTGGCCGAGACATAGGCAAGGCAGCAAACCACCACTTCTCATACCGATCGACTGCACGGGCCACATAAACGGCCCAGCGTTTCTCACGAATGCGGGCCTTGGCTTGGTCCACATCATCAGGAAATTTATTTGCCTGAGAATCACTGAGACCAAATAGACCGTCTTGGTTCGAAATGTAGTCACGTAGATCTGCTAAAACAGCGAGGAATTTGAGGTGCGCAACGCACTGGTCACCAGTGACTGTTTGACCGGTGACTGTTTGCACGATAGAATCCATATTATTAGTCTTTGTGTCGCAAAGGTTGAGCTTTGGCAACTCGAGCAGTACTTGCTGCTCGTCATTATGGTATGAAGGGGGTCGCTGATCGGTCTTATCAAGATCCGAGTCTATAGGTGTCTTTTGAGACATGTCGTCCTTAGAAATAGTCATCGTTATCAATGAACGGGAGGTGGAGTTGTAAGCTTGAGAGTGGGGTTTAACAAGTTGAGGGGGATGTTCATCTTTATATCTGATGGAGGGTTTTCCGGATCCCCCAATCAAGGACGTCAGCAGGACGATCAAATGAAGGTGCCATGGAACGCCCAAGTAAGCCTTGCGGCCAAGGCAGGTTTGACCGATTAGGATATTGCATCCTCAGTCGGACGCTTGGAACCGTGAAATGTGGAGAAATACGGGGTACGGAGATGACGGGGCACAATAAACTCTTCTGATTGATTCGATTCAAAGCACTGCCTTGCGGCTCAGCGCCCGATCGGCATGACCTCATTGTGATGGTCATACAATGAACTGTACTTTATTCCAACATTATTATAATGGCAATTTTTCTCATTATCAACCCCTTTATTACTTAGATACACTGCGGGCTTTTGGACACAGGTTAGAAACCTCTAGCCACGGACTTTTCTTTACCCTCATATTCCGCTATATGAAAATGGAGAGCCCTTTGACTATTCAATTAATTTGGTGGCAAAGAAGGTAGAATACGGGATAGGAGACCAAGTAAGAGACGGGGTAGGATACCAAGTAGGAGACATAGTGTCCATAACACCTAAGTAGCCGCGGCGCGAAAAGCGCGGCGGAAAGCCTCTAGCATCTAGGTACTCGATAGTCTAATTGGCTTGGATTTTCCAAGTTTGCACACGGTATCGAGTTCGCATCCAAGGTTTTATACATCATTATATTTGATAAAAGTAAAAGGTTATTCACGAAATACAGTTACAATTTAATTACATAGGTCTTTTCAGTATCGAGCTCTTTCCTTGATCAACCTAACTACGAGCTAAAACATGACGAAGTTCAAGGTTACTCCCTACGGATATTTGTACATACCAGTTAATTTGAGGGTATCTTCACTTATATGTGCACATATATGGTCAGGGTTTAACCAGATCAATATTACATGTAAAAAATCTAATGATTTTCGTGTCCTTCGGTTCCTTTACAATTGAATGCAGCTTTGTCGTGGTCAATTGAGAAATCCCTCTGACGTGATAGAGTACCGTTGGCTCCCTATAGGTTTGTACATGGACAGATAATAAATGATGTACATTCTCCAAAATTTTTTTACCGTGGAAAAGCGAGGACCGGCTAAGACTTTCCATGCATACTTCATGGGGACATAGATCTAGCCCACGGTCAAAACGTTTATCCACCTGGTATGTTGTGCCATTGCCGATCACCGTGGGAAGCACGCGACCACCTGGGCAGTGATGAAAGTCATATCTCTGCTTGATACTATGATCATGCCTTTTGAACTATTATTCAATAGTTTTTCAGTTTGAAAAAAAGTCCATCCCAAATTGTCCAATTGGCTGTGCTTAGCTCAGCGATTTTCCACCAGTCACCTGACCACCCCCGCGCTGAGTCATTCACCGGCGCATTTGAATTGTCTGCATCACACAGCTTGTGCGGAGATTGTCACTGAATTGGTCTGGAGAAAAGGTCATTGCTGCAATTTGACCGGCTTACTGGAATATCACCCATCTGGTTTGCATTTAACCTTCTCAAACTTTTCCATCCAGTCCTGATTCTCCACAAACGTCATCAGGCTGGCTTCTCGAGCAAGCGCATTCAGAGGGTCACCGACCCAAGCTTTCAACTTGAGTGTGGGAGCTGATAATGCTCCAGCGGTCATAAATCCCGTAATGGCGGGTGTCAATCATGCGCCGCTCCCTTTGTCCGCGGCCGATGGCTTGCAGGGTCGCAAACGGAATGTCACCATTGCGGGGATTGACAGCTCCCCGGGGAGTATTGAGGATGCGGAGGATAACGACCGAGATGATAAGAGACGACAGCCAGTAAAACGGGCTTGTAATGAATGTCGACAGCAGAAGGTAGGGGAGCACCTATTTCTTATTAATACGACATCGAAGCTGTGGCGACACTAACAGCGCCGAGCAAATCATTTTGGGAAAATGCAGTCGGCTAACCAGTCATATAATTATGTAGCTTCGATGCGATGTCAGCCAAGATCCCTGGGTCGATTGTTCCCGATGTCGTCGACTAAAACTCAGTTGCAAAATCGAAACCACTTTCAAGCGAGTTGGGAAGCGCAGTCGCAATGCCGAGATGGAACGAGAGATCATCGAATTGAGGAAACAAATTGCCGGCGTCAATTCTGGCCCTGTCATGCACCAGCAACAACCAATTCAGGTGGGCCAATTAACACCGAAACAGGAATCTAGTCAGGTCAGCCCTGCGGGTGTCTATCAGACCCAGACCCCATCAGCCATATCAACAGACCAATACATGGGCTCGCAGGAAGCAGTCGCATCGCTGCTGGATCTTCGCTCGGGCTACGATGGCTCCAGCTTTATGAGAAATGGGAACCAGCAGTTCAAACGCATCGAGGATGTCATGGTCATCCCGGAGAAAGTGACGGAGCTCTTTAATCTGTAAGGCCCCAACATGATTCGCCATGTTTCTCAAATATTCTTACACTGGAATAGGTTCTTCACGTACTACCATCCGTTTCTCCCGTTCTTGGATCGGCAACAACCGCCTGACGAATATTACAATAACTCGCCTTTACTATTCTGGACGATGATCAGCGTTGGTGCCAGACGCTATCAGGGTGATTCAAGTCTGTTGACTTCTCTGTCAGGGCCAGTCACGCGTCTCGTGTGGAGTACCTTGGCGGATATACCACAAAGCTACCATGTTGTTAAAGCGCTTTGCCTACTTTGTTCATGGCCATTTCCCACCAGCAGCACATCGACAGATCCAACCTTCATGCTCTGCGGAATGATGGTCCAGGTAGCCATGCAGCTTGGTCTCCATCGACCATCTCATAGCCAGGATTTCAGCAAGTTCCGTGTGGAGCTTATTGAGGAGGAATTGAAAGACAAAGTGCGGACCTGGGCTATTTGTAACATTGTGGCACAACGGTACGGAACTTCTCCCTTCACTCTAGACCTAATTTCTGACTTTCTGCAGAGTTTCCACTGGTTATGGTCAACCTCCTTCTACACTTTATGACTGGACTTTGTCATCGAGTGATTCGTTAGATCCCAACTTTAAATTGTCCGGTGATATGAAGTCGAGATTAGAGGTTGAGAAATTCTGCGACAGAATCACTCGAGCTCTTTACACCAATCGACGAGACCCTGTTGGGTTGACTAGTGACCAAGAGCGAAATACGATGATCTCATTTCTTTCGCGTGATTTTGACGAGCTGGATGAACAATTCAAACCGCAAAATGATTGTAAGATTGCACCATCGGTGTCGTTCTCTCATACTAATTTATTACAGGCATTACCAATCTGTATCTCCGCGCTGCAAACCTCCATCTGCATCTGTCGGCCTTCTTTGACGATCCTGCTACAAAGGACTATCGTGAACGTCTGCTCTCCTTATACGTTGCCACCACTTCTTTCCTCGAGACCGCCATGAACCTCGAGACGGACGTCGGTCCCGTCCTCTCATATACTCCTAACTACGTTTACCAGATGATGGTTGCAGCAGGCTGTACCCTTCTTAAAATGAGTAAGAGTTTTTTTGCTGCTCACATCGACATGGAATATACCAAAAGTTTGTTCAACCGGACTATCTGGGCCATCCGCAGCGTATCCGCTTCGAGCAACGACCTTCCTGAACGTCTAGCAGAAGTGCTTGCTCAGATGTGGCGGCTTGGAGCTCAGCGATCCGCAGCGAGCAATCCCGACGTTGATGACTCTCTACGACTGAAAGTTCGGTGCCGTATGAGCATGTCTCTCCTCTTCGATTCAGTATGGAGATGGCGGGAGGATGCGCGGACCAGGGGACGAAACATTGAAGCCTACCTCAAGAACCCGACCAACCCGGATTCTGCGGCCGATTCATCAGTTGCGTCATCCGTAGGCCTTCCCCGCACTTCATCATCCACACCTGGTCTTGCTGGAGGGGATCCGAGTCTCGCGCCAGCGCCAATCCTCTCCCAAGCCGACATCGGGGTTCAACCAAACAATGGCGTCGGTGGACTCCCAAGTGGCTTCATGGAACCGAACTACGAAGTCTTCGATCCTTTGAACTGGCTTCTTGACGGTCTAGTGGACCTACCATATTCATATTCGACCATGGGAGGGATGGAAACGCCGGGAATTGCATGATACGAAGTCCCGCGCGCTAACATCCTCTCCTTTATTTCCGATTCTCTATGCGGGCGTATTTTGTGGGCTACTTGTACCATTATACCACACGGATCCAGTCGCCGATAACTGGAGTACCTGTTCTGTTTTTTCATTGTCTAGTCTGTCCGGCCTCTGGCCTCTTTCACGAGTCCCTGTACGAAATTTACCCTTACCTATTCTGATGTGTCATGGAGTCGTGAGCAAATATATGAGCCTTTTTATCCCTGGCGTTCCCCTCATCACTCGCTCATGCATATAAGCCGGCCTCACAGCACTGGTTTAGTCCCATTATTAAGATATATTAACGCCACTACCGTAATATCTCCTCCTGATTTGGGAACTTACTGCATTGCATGCCTAGAGGTATCTGGGAGACGATATCACAATTACATTCATACAGTGCTTTTACTGGCATTGGCTATATAGATGGTCCCATTTTTATTTGATCGCTAGGTTGACAGTAGTTCGGTCCAGACTATTACAGGGGGAACCCTATGCGTAACATCCTAGACTCTCATATTCTTATAGTACAGATGTCCCTTGCTGCGGCTCTCGCCGTTCCTAGATACATTCCTGGTAGTCTTGCCTTACTAGGTAACAGTCGAGTGCCAACGTAGGAATACTTCCACGCGACCTTCGGATTCTCTTCTATAAAACGATCTCTCACTTACGCTGAACAATATTGCAAATCATCCTCTTTACTTCCTCTCGGTTCCAAAGATGATCCTCTCACTCGCCTACTGGCCCATCGGGCAATCTGACCTCCACCACCTCGGAGCCATCATCATTGTAGCAGGAACAGCAATTATCCTGATCACTGCCTTCGCACTAGTAATAACATCCCGCCGATGGGCCAATGTAAGTCCCTTTCAGCTCATCTCATTACCCCCGATAACTCATACTCCCAGACCGGCGTCCCTTTCGTCACGGGAAAAGGCCCCTTGTCAATCCTCTACCAGCACTACCGCTTCATAATCGACGGACCAGGCCTAATCAAAGAAGGCTGCATCCGTTTCTCAGACGGGCTTTTCGAAATTCCTCGTACCTTTCGTCCTGGTCAGGTAATACTTTGCAAACCCGAATTAATCGAGGAATTGAAAAATGCCTGCCGTACGGAAGCATCTCCGGAGCCGTGGATCGATCAATTACTCCAGATCTCGCATGTGATGCCTGGCTATTTCCCCAAGGGTGGTGGTTGGCCTGCTATTGCGAAGACTACGCCTGGTGTTATTCGGGGAACCCTTTATAAGCAGTTGGATAGGTATGTGCCCTCTATGAATGCGGCTGTTATTTCTCAATTGGGGATGTTGGAATTTACGGATGGTGGTAAGTTTATTCAATATTTTGTGTGAATTGTTATTGATGGCCCTAGAATGCTCGCTTTCTTGCTTCGACTTTGCATATTCTGTTGTTGCTCGCAGTGGGAGTTTTTCGTTGGTTGGAGAACAACTCGCTGGAAATGAGGAATATTTGAAGGCTGTGAAGGAGCATATCCTTGGGATGATCATGACTACTCGCTTGCAATTTCTGATTCCGGATGCTTTGAAGGGGTGAGATGGGGTTCAAACTAGTGCTTACGGCATGCTAATATCAAAACAGGTACTTTGGTGGGTTTTTTAGTCGGCTTGCTGTTATGTGCACGAAGTGGAATATGCATGCCTCGCGCAAGATTCTGCTGAAGCACTTTGATGCAAGGGCAGCAGAGTACAAGATTGATATGTCGAGAAATTCAACGGATAGGGAGAATCAAGAACCCTCTGAGAAGCCGGTATGCTCTCCTGTTCAGCTGCTTCAAAGCCAGTCTGAGCCCATACTAATCCTAGCGCATGCAGGTTGAGATTTTCCATTGGCTCTACGAGATCTCTATTCTTCGTCAAAGATGGACTTATTCCGAGGTGATTGGAGAGATGCTGCTCCTCCAATTCGCATTCATCTATACAACAGCCTACGTAAGTGTGATCAATGTATACATTGTTGAAATACTCGCATACTAATCTCTTTCCAGGGTCTATATGGAGCATTAGCTGAACTCGCTCAGCACCCAGAATACATCCCTGCGCTCCGCGAAGAAGTCGAAACTACCGTCTCGGAGATGGGAAGCAACGTCGTCGCCTGTGATAAAATGGTCTTGATGGACAGCTTTCTCAAGGAGTGCCAGCGAATCCACCCCCCTGCAGCAGGTATATATGTCACCACCCGTCTACCATCCAGCTAACAATACTGCAGTGTCCGCTCATCGGGTTTGCGTTACAGAGGTTCATCTCTCAAACGGTAAGTCTATTGTATACCATACCTCGCATTTCCTACCTAATACCGACGCTCCGGGTAGGTGTCGTGCTCAAACCCGGAACGCACATCGGAGTCCCGAGTGGCTGGATTCAGCGTTCTAGTAAGACATACATGAATCCGGAAGTCTTCGATGGGTTTCGATTTGCGAAACGTGCAACAGCGGGTGCATCGGGGACCAAGCTCGTAGACGTGAGTCCTGATTATCTGGTCTTTGGGATGGGCGTGCATGCCTGGTACGTTGATACCCCACTCTTTCCCTCTTTCCTTTCTTGGATAGTGTGATATTTCGTTGCGGGTATTCCCGGTCTATCAGGTTTCTTAGCGTGTTATTCCCTGTCGTGTTTTCATCCCAACTGCTTGCACGTCGGCTGACTTGTGCATTGTAGTCCTGGCCGGTGGATGGCAAGTGTGCTGATGAAATTAGCGCTTGCGCATCTAGTGTTGCATTTTGATATCCTTCCTGATGGAATTCACGGGCCGTTGACAGGATCGTTGTCATTTGAGGAGTTTTATGTGCCCAATTTTGGGCTGAAGTTGCGGTTGCGGCGCAGAAGTACAAAGTAGGAAGGGAATGAAAGTCCACTATCTACATCGTGAATCCTTGAAATTATGTATCGTTATGTACCAATATATACATGATGTTCTGAGATAATCACAAGCCCGTGGACTATTGTAGCCATACAGTGTTGGCGGAGTAAGTCCCGAGTCCAGGCAAACTACCTTAGGTTCGGGGCCGAAGATTAGTTCGTCAACAACTCTTCACCTCCCAAGTCCACACAATAATACAGTCAGAGCATAAATCAGTCTAACAGTCAATGGACCACTTTAATCCTACATCCCCTTAACTATCGAACAACTTAAGTCGTTCTATGGTAAACTGGTGAGATGCTCTATACTGTCAACATACAGAACCTCTGAGGTCATAGAGTGGATCCGGGGAGATAAGATCATCCCTCCAAGACGTCAAACCCTCTCCCAACTCCCGCCAAAATGACTACGCGCCCTCTTCTCATCCCACACAAGCGCCCGCTACTGAGTTCAAATAGCCAAAATGATAAAGAGAATCCCAAAAAGACAAAATCGGTCCCCAAAGTCCTCAATCCAAGCGCAGTCGCAGCGGATACACGCATGAAGAAACCCTTCCCCTGCGCCCTTGATAAATACACAGAGGCGCAGGAACCCGAAGAAAACCAACCAGAACCTATAAAAGTATCCTTCGCAACACCCCCACAGCCCTTCCTCGATCCACCGGTCTGGCAAGCAATGCTAAAACGGGCTCGAGAGGCAACGAATACAAATGCTCCTGGGAATGGGAATGAACAATCCGGACCATCAGAGACGGCGGATCAGCGCAGACAAAGACAAGACAGGGAAGCGGAGTATGGATCTATGGCTATTCGAGGACGGTCGAATATTAGTGGACGAGGGAAGCGGAGAGAGGCAAGGAGATATTGAAGTGGACTACATGAATTCAATGGTCTTGATGGCAATCATGTACAACATCGATCAGCATTGGCGTTCGCATTGGCATCAGCATCAGAATCAGCATCACGTGTGGAATATACACAGAATACGAGATCCTGGAACAGTTCAAGTAACACAGAAAAAGATGTATTCAATCCCAGGCTAAATGAATGCGCGCATCCAATGTAACGCAAAGAACTTAAGGTACATTGTTGCCTCCAGGCGCAACTGGCATAAGTCATCGAGTCATCTTGTCGTAAGTATCATGGATCTCGTATCAAGCAAACGCCGAATAATATCAAAATAAATCCAGATTCAAGACCAAAACAAAAGCTTTCGTCACGCAAGGTACATGTCATTAATGTCGTTTGTCTCTGTCATTGTCGTTTGAACTTGTCCAGTCATAAAGCGTTGATCATCATGCATAAAGGGCATCAGCGTGTAATTCCATGGGTAGCACTAGAAACCACGTGGACAGGGGCGCCAATGCTCTGTTTGAGGTTCTCCCTACGCGCAACTCGTTTCCTCTCATCACGTCGTTGGCGCATACGTCGGAGACGATTGCGCACATTTCGCAGGTTCATTGAGCGGAACCGGATTCCCCATCTGGAAAGCGCTTGGTAGCGATTCTGGTATAGGGGTGTTCCGGCGCGAAACATTCCTCGATCCACCAGGCTGGCGTTGCTGGCATTGTATTGTGTCGCAGAAGGCATGCCGTTGAATAAGCGTCTCATTTCTGGGCTACGGCGAGCCAGGGATGGTGGGCCTTCGATAACAACTCGGTACTGAGGGAGGCCCAGGGAGTTGTTGATAAAGGGAGCCTCGGGGCTGGCGAGGTTGCGTGCGGTCGAGTTGCCTTTCTTTGGAGATCCAGATATGTCGTCCCAGAATCCACGTGGACGCCACATGGGATGAAGACGACTGTCCATTTCCAGTCCTGCTTTGCGGTTCTTTGCTGATTTGATGGAAAGAGAGCGCACTAGCGTGTTGAAGGAGTTTGATCGAGGGCGTGCAACCCAAGGGCGGCGCACCGAGCCTTGTCGACCCATCTCGCCAGAATCTACATTTCCCTGGTTCTGGGTAGGAAGTGGAGGAAGAGGCTTGGAAATGGGCGGTTTGGAGATGGGAGGCTTGGGTGGTGGACGGGGATTCTTCAATGGAGAATCCACATCCAACATCGCAGGTTTGATGGGGTTATCTGGAGTCTGAGGGTTTACCATATCGTGTCTGATATCATGGAATACCGGTAGGTTGCGAGTCTCCTGGCCTGGCAGTCGCTGGTCAACCAGAAGTAAAGAACGGTTATTGTGTGCAAAAAGGCTAACCGCAGTGGCTTCCCGAATCTCTATGGGCCCCGGAGAAGAAGACGGAATTGACCACTGAGTATATGGCAGGGAAGGAGGTCGCAGGGTTGAAGTGTCTTCCTCGGCGCTGACCAACACCTTTGGTAAACTGGGCTGTAAAAGACCTAGATTCTGATGACCATTAGGGCCCAAGATATTGTGTCGGGGCGGTGAAACCGGCTGCTGGTCCCGGCGCTTTTGCATCTCCAAATCCATCGCCAGGGTGTGACTGCGCAAGCTTTCGGAGGTGAGGGATGCAGCACGGGAATTGTTTCGACTCGTCGGTGCAGAGAGCGAGGAACTGCGAGGCGGAATGATCGGCCGACCAAAGGGGCGGCCCCTCGATTCCAACTCTCGGGATTGTGCAGAAACTGAATCAGACATAGTTCGCTTTTTCTGGCGGGTGTTCACTGAACCCGAGCCCTCTGATACCGGTGGACGTCGACTAGACCGTTGAGAACCGTATTTGGAAGATATCTGACTGTTGGGTCCCGATCGGAGTGACGATCGTCTCTCTGGTATCACGACAACAGGAATGATGTCGGTCGACGCACGGGGTACGTTGGAAATGGTCTTGGTTGAAAAAGACACATCGGAAGAGATGCTCCGGCGATTTTCTTCCGAGATACGAGCAGCCTTGTGGACTAAGCGACGCTGGGAGTCAGGATTGGATGCAGTGGAAGCGTGCTCGGACCTCGTGATGGGGGAACTAATCGATCGGAGAGAACTACGCTTTTCGGTGTGTCGCAAGAGTCGTTGAGCTCGCTTGGGAGAGTCGATGATCATCGCCTCTACGGTTGACGTGGAGGACAGGGCTGATAACCGAAGAGACTCTGGGTCGCCTGGCTGCGAAGCATAGGATGGCCAGCCAATCTCTTCGCGGAAACGTTCCATCGATGGAGTTGGGGTGATTTCATGTGTTTCATGGGTATTGCGTACTCGGTCACGTAGGTTCATTTCACGCGCCAAAGAAGCGTCCAGACGGAGCACGTCCAGTGTGTCGTTATCGCCCGGTGAAACGTTCATTTGCGAGGGCTTACATTTTCCCTTAAAAGGTGTCGGCGATCCATCGGTCTGGTGGGTCCATTCCCCGTCGAATGATTCGAACCCTGTTTCATATTCTGTCTCACTGTGCGGCTGAGAGGCGGATGGAATATCTTCGGTATAGGTGAATTTCGTACGAACTCCATTCGGCGCATTTTGTCGCGAAGTAACTCTGCGGCTCCTTTGCGATTGAACGGGTGTTTCCATGTCCCCATCTGAGGAGATATCCTCACAGGCAGTCTGAAAGGATTCGGCTCGTGATGAAGAGGAAGGATGGATAAATTGGCTGAGCAGCGGACGCTTGGAGAGCGTTTGAGGAGGTGTCACGTCAGGCGTCGGAGGCTTGGAGGGCCGGCGAGGTGTCACCATTCCCGTCGGAATCTCGGGGCGCGCGTTAGGCTTTTGGGGTATGTGGTCGTCCATGGCTTCATCATGAATCGCACCGGGCGGTGTCAATGGAGGAGCCGGCGCGGCCGTACCAGTTGCCTCCGGAGAGGCCGGTTGGGTGTCCTTGAGAACCTTGATACCCCTCCGCGGAAGTGCTTTGTGGGACTTGAAAAGCGGTCGCTCTGAATCCACCGGGCTCACCTCCAGGCCCGGCATATCGTAAATTCAGAACTCAAAAGAAAAGATTCGATGAATGGTCACTGTGGTCTTATGATGACTTGGATGAATGGATGTGAATACAATCAGAATAACAGGGGGGTCATGATAAAGAAAAAGACAAGGCCTGGATAGATCAGAAAGGCTAGGGATAGATGGGTCGCATATCGGGATCAACCCGTCAAGGGAGATCAAGACGATAAGGATGCAGGATGTGCCTGAGCACCTGACAAGGAGGTTGGGAGAAGTCAAAAGGAACAAATAGAACAAAAAGAACAAAATCACGTTGGAGTTACAGATCGACAAGTGGATTTCCTCCACTTTTGACAGAAACAGAGAAAAAGAAGCAGATGACTCTGATTGGATTAATTCTATACTATACTTAGAACATGTACTAGTTGCGGAGTACGGAGTTTCTGTTTAGTAGTGTTTATAGTAGGCGCTTAAATAGGCAGATTTATGGAGCAGTTGACTCTACGGAGTGGACTCGATGCACATTAAGACGTTTTATTACTTGCGCATAAACTGTTGAAACAGTTTCATCTCCTTGCATCCCGGAATGTTTGCTTAGCAATCATAGTAAGCCACACATTCCACATCTCAGGTTGAGACTCCACGAATCACACAACGCCACTAACAACTAGTTTCAATACACGCATTCGGGTATGTGGCGACGATGACGATATTACAGCTCCACCTGGACATAGCTTGATTGATTATAAGGGCTTGATTGATTATAAGGAATCAGCTGTGTGACCCCGGATTCAATTGTAGTCTAGCCTTAGGTTCATGTTCAAGGTAGGTGATAGGTAAGATATGAAGGTTATATCGTCATAGCAATTGGATCATAGCGCTGTGAACTGGTGAGCTACTAGTGACGTTTATCCGCGGGGTAACATAGAACAACTCAATAACTCTTGGAACTTTTGAAGTCAAGGACAATCAATTCATTAACAAGGAAAAAGACCTACTTTAATCTAACAGTGGAGAAGTGGCGGGACATGACGCCAGAACCATAAGGGGGTTTGTATGTAGACGATGACATCGACCGTAGATCCCACGTCGTCATAGGCTTTTTTTCCAACTTTCTTCCCCCTAACCAATCTGACCTTTTTCTACCATTACCCCCTTATTCATTTTGAGAAGCTTTTGTTTTTCTTTCTTTCTCTTGAATCATCCGGAGGTGTGTTTCAAATCACAAAAAATTACTACGTTGGGCATATTTCTTAAAAATCATCGCAAACCCAACCTGTTCTTCTCGAACACCCCCCACCCTCCTCAACCCCTCCATTTTCTTCATCTCGGTCGCGATCAGCCACAACGACCACTAGCCTTATTCTGGATCGTTATTGCTTGACTCGGTCCATTTGCCTATCATGAGCACCATTCAAAACATCAAGAACTTTATCCGTCACGGGAAACAAGCTCGTCTGGTGACCCCCCACTCGGAACCAACCACTGACGTGTCCACCATTCACGCCGAACAGCAACCACACCAAGGCCAATTCTCCCCTGCACTTGGTTCTTTAGATCCTGATCTCAGGGGAAATGGTCCTGCTGGATCCCAGAAAAAGTCAGAATCTGAAGTCCGTCGTGAACGCTCCTTGGAGATCGAACGGTTGGTACAAGAGGAAAACGTAAGCCGGTCGAAGATGCCAAACTACCCAGGTCTGGAACGATGGATTCTCGTGGAGAAGATGGGCGATGGAGCCTTCAGCAATGTCTTTCGCGCCAAGGATACTACAACAGAATACGGAGAGGTGGCGATCAAGGTGGTGCGGAAATTTGAAATGAACAGCAATCAGGTAGGTGATCAATTGTGGTCTTGGTTTCCTTCGTCTCGTCTTTACTGCCTTTGCTTTTCTGGATGAGGAAGGAAAGAACATCACCAATATCTTCTTCGTAGTCAAATCTTCATCCCAGCGTCAAAAGTCCCCCGAGGGCTGCAGAGGTGCGCGGATCGGAATTGTTATCTGTTCTACCATCGCATCTGTTCGTTCATGTCATTGACTTCTATCTCTCTTACAGCGTGCGAATATCCTCAAGGAAGTCCAGATTATGCGCAACCTCGATCACCCCAACATCACCAAGTTGATCGATTTCTCCGAATCCCGACAATATTACTACATCATCCTGGAGCTCTGCCCCGGAGGCGAGCTCTTCCACCAAATCGTGCGATTGACCTATTTCAGCGAGGATCTTAGCCGACACGTAATTACCCAAGTCGCCGAAGCCATTGAATACCTTCACGAGACATCTGGCGTTGTTCATCGGTTAGTTCCCAACCCCTCCCCCCCCACCTTTTTTGGTCGCGCTAACGAGTGATCTACAGTGACATCAAACCAGAGAACTTGCTTTTCTATCCGACCCCATTCGTCCCCAGCAAAGGCCAGAAGCCCCAGCAACCCGGTGACGAAGAAAAGGAGGATGAAGGAGAATTTATTCCAGGAGTTGGGTCAGGTGGCATTGGTAAGATCAAGCTTGCCGACTTTGGTTTGTCCAAGGTGATCTGGGACAGCCAGACCATGACACCTTGTGGAACGGTTGGTTACACTGCGCCAGAAATTGTGAAGGATGAGCGGTACTCGAAGAGTGTCGATATGTGGGCTATGGGCTGTGTTCTCTACACCTTGCTGTGTGGTTTCCCTCCTTTCTATGACGAGAGCATCCAGGTTCTCACCGAGAAGGTTGCAAGAGGCCAATACACTTTCCTATCGCCCTGGTGGGATGATATTTCCAAGTCGGCGCAAGATCTGATCTCACACTTGTTGACCGTGGACCCTGAGAAGCGTTATACTATCAAGGAATTCCTCGCACACCCATGGATCCGCCAAACCGACGAAGAAACAACTGCCGCCGCCGACGCTCCCCCTCTGGCGACTCCAATGGGCCCTGTCCGCGCCAATGTCGATCATCTCGGTCCCATGGGCGCCGACCAAGCACCTTACCAGCCCGCCAGCTCCAGACTACTGGATATCCCTTCCGTTGCTTCAGAGCGTCGCATGGACTTCCGCTCCCCCGGTGCATTCAACTTGCGTGAGGTCTTTGATGTTGGATATGCTGTCCACCGCCAGGAGGAGGAAACCAAGCGCCGCCGGAATGTCCGCCAGGCTGCCCGCAACAACCCCACCGCTGGATTCCAGTCCGCTCTGGGTTCGCTGAACGAAGGTTACGACGAAGAGATTGATTACCGTCAACAAGACACAACTGGTCCTCCACCCTCTAAGATCGTCAAGGCTACCGCCCAGTCTGGTGATATGGCAGGCATGGAAGCCAAACTCCGATCTACAAACCTGGGCCAGAGTAGTGCGGCTCAAGCCCGACAGGCCCACCGCCAGCCCCGGCAACAACCCCAAGCCCAAGGTTACGGCCAACACGATGCAAAGGTCGCCGCCGCTGCCAAGTCTGCTATCGGCCGTAATTCCCATCAGCCGTTCGAGCTTAGCTTGAACGGTGCCACATTGCTAGAGAAACGTGGTCGTCGCAACCAGCCGCCAGTGATCGAAGCATAAGAACTGAGAAAACGAAATGTTCTGATGTTTTAGCGTCCCTGTCTGGTTTCGAGCGGTTTTTCGCGCAATTCTTTACGCGCGATACGTTGCATGATCTCTTTAAATTCTCTTCCCACCTGTTTATTCTTACCCATTTCTTCCAATTGTGTTCTCACTCTTAACCTCACCTCATATCCTTATATTCCCTCCAACTTTCCCCCTTTCATCCTCTTTTCCTTCACTTTTACTCCCTTTTTTCTGATATGTTTATGCGTTGTTATTCGGATATCATGGCGAAGAACAAACATACTTCATTTAACTGGTTCTGGTGCTGGTGCTGGTATCTAGGAAAGGCAAGGGGCCAGGCTCATGCTTCATCGGCGAGTTGTTTTTTCTGTCTTTTAAAGGTTTCGTGTTTTTATTTCACAGTGGAGCTTTGTTTCTGGCCTGGAGTTGTTGATTTATCTGTTTCTATCTTAGCTTAGGGATTTACATACATAAGGATTCCGTTTTATCTTCGTCAATGTTTTTTTGCATGGGTATTCCTGCCAATTGTATTTTTGGTATCTTGCTGATTAAATTCTTGGTTTTGGCCTGGTTTGGAATAAATCTGAATTTGAATCTGAAGGAAATGGTATCATGCACATATATTCATAGAAGGCGACGTCCACACGCAAGTATGTACTCGGCAAGGAAATCCGGCATTGTCTCTTTTCTTTACAACCCACTTCTTTACCAGTATAATATAACGCTTATAAAATGACAAATGCTTTATAGAGTCTGCCTTCCCCGCGTCTCAATAGGAAGCAGAACCATTGCCACGAAAGCAGCAAGCATCAGACCACCAGAAGCGTAGATTGGCGCATTCGCATTCGAGCTGCTGGCAAAAATCGCAACTAGCGGTGCACAGAGACCGGCGATGCGGTTCAGACAGCTAGAGATGCCAGATCCAGTACCGCGGTTTGGGGCGGGGAATACCTCGGGTGTGTATGCGTACAATACGCCGTACATGATGTTCTGGAAGAAAGCTTCAAGACAAGTACAGACTAGCTGGACGTTTGAAGTGGAAGAGAGGGTGAAGCAGAATAGCAAGACGCCAGTGATGACGGTGGCAATTGCCATTGTTCCCCTTCGGCCGATATACTTGATCTCGACGGTGTAGCAAGCCAGGAAGGAGCCGGGGACACCGACGATCGAGGTAATGGCGTAGTTGCGGTAGGTGATGTAGGAGGAGTTTGTTTCGCCGCCGGTTTGGGAGAGGTATTGGGGAAGGAAGGCGTTGAAGAGAGGGTATCCCATGCCAATGGTAGCCCAGCAGAACCAGAGAAGAGCGGTGGTGAATCCCATGCGCTTGTTAGAGAAGAGGGGGGCGATGCGTTCCATTGAGAACTTGGAAAAGAACCGTTTGATGATCTCGCCGACTGAGAGCTTCTCGTGTTCTTTTGTCTCGCTGATACCCCCGATCTCGTTGAGGATCTCGTTGGTTAGCCATGTCTTGGCCTTGTTCTCGTAGGCGATTCCATGAACCGAAGCAACAGCCTCCTCCTGACGACCGCGGGAAAGTAGAAACTTCGGCGACTCATATAGGTGGAAGAAGAAGAAACGGGCAATCCACATGCACATAGTGATAGCACCGAGAGTCAGGACCAGATAGCGCCAGCCCATATTTTGCTCCTTGGTACAGCCCTCTGCGCTAGCGCAGCTGTAAGTCGGGATGAAAGCCCAAGCGAGCAAACTGGAAATAAGCTGGCCGATGGGCCACCAGATACTCAGCATTGTCAACATGTTTCCGGAGACGCAGGGCAGAAACTCCAGGAAAAGAGCGCCGTCGACGGGCAGGTTTCCGCCAACACCAAGACCTAGGCAAGCGTACAAAGCAGAGGTGCCGATCCAGGTTGGACCACCACCTGCAGCGAGACCGAAAGCACCGGCCAAGAAAAGGGTGGTGTTGAATGCCAGACGACGACCAACAATATCGGAAACAACACCCCAAAATGAGGCACCGATGCACAGACCTAGGAAAAGGGCACAGGTACTGAAACGCACCCATGAGTCGTCGATGCCAAACTCATACGCGATAGGAGTTAAAGTTAAGGCGACCCCCTATCATTCAGATCAGCTTTCAATACGATACAATTCATACTTTTAAAGTTCATTAATTTCTCACCTGAAGCCAGAGGCTAAAAAAATGTTAGCCAATCCTCTCTATTCGATATGAAGAGGGAGTTCCTGCTTACTTGTCTGCCATCCATCCAAAGCCACAAAGGAAGAACAATTTCCACTGATATCGGCCCATGCCAATATCTTGAAGAGCCCGGTTAATCACCTTGGCCTTGCCTAGATTTGCCGTATTAGATTACCATAGCAAAGAAAGGATGGCGCTTTCGACACGTACGATCATACACAGAGTCATGGCCAGAAGTAGAAGTCTCAGCATCGATCTCTGCACGAAGAAGCTCAATAGTCAAATAACTGGTATCTGGTAAAGAGCCAGCAGATCCATTCTCCGAGGAGGAAGCACGCTCCAAAGATTTGGCAGCATCGGGGCCACCATTTTTATCCTCTTTCTCAGGAAGAGGGGCTCCATTGGGGTAAGCTGGTGATTCGGATAAGGGAATGACAATTCCGGGGAAGTTCTGACGGTCCTTCTTGAACGGGTTAAACTTTTCGAGTCCCATGGCGGTAATGGGTTAGTCGCTTGAGGGAGATCTTAAATCAAGTTTCGGTAGAATCTGGGCAAGACTACAAATTGGCGCACTCGAAGATTAATGGCGTGGGACAAGGCTGGGCTAGGGTTGGGATGATGCGATCGAAGGGAGTTTTTGCACAGGGGAAGTAAATGCTGCAAGGGTCAAAATGGATTCGCGCGTGGTGGTACGTTGCAATCGCTTGTCGGAAGTGGAGGGTCGTGGTTGGCGCTTGCTACTGGAGCAAGTATGTAAAAATAGGAATATGAGGTGATTTGGCTCTTTGAAACCAATTCTTTTCTTTCTTGTAGGTTCTTTAAGTCCAATCAAATATAATTGATCTGGAGGGTGAGATAGCTGAAAGCTGTCTCAGACTCGGAGAAGTGGAGAGGAAGATGGATATTGGGGAAAGACGAAAAGAGCAAAATCGGTGGGATCCACGAGGCCTCTATATACCACAATCTTATGAGCAATATCTTTCTTTTGCCAAGTTTTTTTCGTCTTTTTATCTTTTCAATTTACCAAAACTCTGGTAACATGCGAATAAGTCTGTATTGGTTAGGTCGTACGTGAAGCGGGTCTATATCCTTGTCCGAAAGAGGAAAAGCGTATAATGTATGGCCTATTCGGCTTCAGCCGCCACCCGGTATCAAAATTACCATACAATACATTCCCCAGAATCGAGGGGTGAGAGAATATCCTAGTACAGTTTTTGCGAGCTCAGTATCGACTAAGATGCTCAAGAGAAGAAATTTGATTCTAACATTTGAACATGCGATGGGCTACCGCACTGGGAATAGCATGGCGATCAGAAATCGTGTGGCGCCGAGTGGCTGTTGAAGCCCGGCCGCATTAAGCCATTCAGGGTTTACTGTTGAAAGCCATTCAGCTCTGAAATATTGCATCATGCCCATAATGAATTTATGTAATAGAAATATATAACGTTTACCCAGGTTTTACGATTAATGTGTAAAGCCTGCCATTGTTATAGGCATAGACTCGGTCCCAACAGCCGATTGCCTCAGATCGGCCGAACCGCTGAGAAAGACTTGCCTGCAACTGAAAATTCTGCAAGTAATTTCCACGTGCACATCTCTATTTTCTGACTTTTCATCCCTCTTTGCCATTTCCCCAGTCCTTCCTGCGCAATTATCACATATTCTTGAGTAATTGTCTCTATCAGTTTTATTCATATGCTTAACACACTCCTTCTTTACCCGAGCGATCAAGAAAAACCTGCACTTACGGCCCTCCCAAGAGTCTTGGCATGGGCATATCCCTTCCGCATTCAGGTGTCCTTTTTGGACCCATGGACGCGCTACTAACTCAACAAATCAACGATCACGAAAGACCCCTACAATACCGTCTACACTACGCCCTGACCATGCGGCGTTTGGAGGCGCCGCGCCACAGACGTTTGTCACAACTACATTACTAGTGATTTATTAAAAATTCCAATATTTATCCGCTTGAATTCGCTTCAACTTAGTCTGGGCGAACAAGTATTCCAGCGCTGTTTCCCTGCTTGGTGTGGCTCGAGCTGAAATGCACCTTTGGTCTACTACTTTATCAATTGGCTCAGGTCTTATTTTGGTCAACGTGCATCTGCATAATACGGCATCTTGTTATTGGAATACACCTAGATTGTTTCTTAGCTTAGGGGATTGAACGAACTGCGTAAAATCTCGCATTGCATCACCTTATTTGGAAATAATGGGCTTCACACTAAATTGTTCGCAGGGAGCTAGTAATGCCCAGGTATCGGTAGGTGGCTGCTGCACATTCTCCACATACTCAACAATAGCGGACTTTTGTTACAATTCATCTTCAAGATATCATTTAACCACAACGGATTGTTTTCACAGATTAATTCTTAACATGATACAACCTGTGGACAACCCGATATAAAGCTTAGTGATAATTCATACACCTGAGATTCAGGGTCTATGACCCACATTCAACATCAACATCATTGGCAATGATTAAAGATAAGGATAGATAGACCGCGCAGTTTACGTTAACTTAGTCATGGATAATTATTTATATGATAATGGACGGGAATGGTTGCAAAAGTACATTTCGACCTCCAATCTGTGCATCCCTGAAACAGGTCAGGTAATCCACCCTTGCAGTAATCACTTACTCAAATTGGCAAGGCAGTCCCGGCTTATGTGATATCAGTCGCGAAATCCGTTGATAGGATATTTCATATTCATCTGACTAGGTGGCCATCAAGAGGTCAAAGTTTCCCGCGGGAAAATGCGATAATGAGTCTGTGGGTGAGGTCAGAGCTTGACGTGAGGCTGCCACATGGATGTAAGGGTGATCGTGCTCCTAACCTCAGGTGACATCTGAATGTAAAGAATGCTTAAAATTGCGGTGAGCTTCGACCTTGTCATCATAAGTATTCATTATATTGATATTGACAAAATTTGCCACTATGTATATACGATCTTTATATCCATTTTCACATTTCTACATGTCCACATCTCACTCCCACGCTTTTACCGGAAAAGGTTCTTCTAGATCTCCTCGGTACGTTTAAGCAGCCACTGGAGGTGACGGTAAGATGAACGCGGCTGGTACTGAGGTTCCATATGTCCAGACTGATAGGTCTCGACCCACATCAATCCACGCTCATAGTGCTGAATACCCATGATACCCTGGGCACCATCAAGACCGGTCAAACCGTTCTCTGCGAAAACACTGGCATACTGTAGATCAGTGAGTCCAATGTTGACCGGGGTCTCGGGCTTCTTCTGGAATCCGAGGTGGCCGTTCCAGGTCATGTTCTGAATAGCGAGGAGAGTGCCGTTGGTGATGATAACCATGTCGAAGTCACCGTTGGCGATGAGGACGCGATTAGTCGCCTCAATAACCTGCGGCAAGACCTTCTCGATCGGGTTCGCGGAGATATCTCCCTCCTGCTCAGGGCCGGCGCTACCCCCAGTGAAGACAGATTCATCGGAGCACTCTGACCAGGTAATGTTGGGGGCGTGTAGGGCTTCCTTGACATCGTTGCGGTCGAAGTATATCTCTGCTCCTTCGGGGAGGTATCCCAGGGAGCCGGGGAAGGCTAACACGTCCCACAGGAGGGGGCACATGGTTGGGATCTCATACAGGTCGAAGCATGGGTTAATACTGAAAGCTTCTTCGTAGACTAGGTCGAAGAGATCGCAATCGGAATCGGTGGTGTAGTTGAATATTTTGACCGGCTGGTGCTCGGGTGGAGGAAAGGTCAAGTAGTGGTCGATGAACTCCGCATATCCACACTTCTTGTGCAGCCTGTCAAGCTCGGCCATGAAGGATTCGTTAAAGCCGAATAGGTTTGCGTTTTGTTGCACGAGGGGCACGACCGGAGCTTCCTGTTGAACCCAGTCAAATTGACCAATGCAGGGGTCATATGCCAATGCACCTGGGCAAGTCAGATGTGGTCATTTATCCATGGTACAAGACACTTACCGTGCAGGTCAAAGTGTTCCTTATTCTGCTCGTCCAGGATAGCGGCCGAAATGTAGGGCACATATCGCCCAGCATAGCTCTCCCCGGTGACATAAATCTTATAGTTCTTAATTCCAAAGATCTCTTGCCAGTTCTTGAAGAATTTGACAAAGTCCTGGGCAATCTCCTCTTCTGACTTGGCAGTCGGTGTGCCAATAGAGAAACCAGTTCCGACTGGTTGGTCAACCCTGATAATAAGACTAACATCAACCCTGTCCCTGAATCTCAATTGGATTTGAATTAAATACTTACCACAACATATTGGTCAGGTTCACCCAGGAGTACTCGTTTTCCACTGGGGCATAGGTACCGGGCGGCCAGATGAAACGACCATTCTCCTGCAAAAAGCCTTCCATGGAACTGCAGCCAGGACCGCCATTGAGCCAGATCGTGATCTCATCAACAGGTTTGCCGATAGTGGGTTGGAAAACGAAGAACAGTGCGCGTGAGGGATCATCCTTCTCAATTGGCACCAAACCCGAGTACATCTCACCAAGGTCAAAGTTAATCTCGGGCAAGGAGTCAACCTTGTAGGCTAAAGGATGGTCAACTTCATGGAGAGACGATTCCTCACAAATCATACTCACCCTTGGACTTGCTGTTCAGAAAGCGGAAGTTGGTAGTGGCTCGCGTCACACGCTCCATGCTTACTTGAACAGCTCTCTTGGCCTTTTCCATTGGGATGCGAGACAGCTCTGCGAACCGGCCATGTTTGGATGCGGCAACGGTATCCGCGCCTAATGAAAAGGCTATAAGAGCCGACGCCAGGAACGGTTTGATTTGCATGCTGTGCTAAGAACTAGCAAGGATAGGAGAACCGATAGCTGCACACTTGAAATCAAGCTCAGGTGGAGCGAGAATGCCGAGTTAAATAGTAAGAGGCAACTCAGGAACTCAATCATCCCGGGGCGGGCAATCTGGTCCATAGATAATCTAGCAAATGCATGCTACAGTCTCCACATTCATGCCCGCCTCTCCTAGAATGGGAAAACCAGCTGCAGATCTCCCGGCTTCAGCGTTTCCTGGTTTCCTTCTTTTGTGTGTTCCATTCTACTCAACATGGCTGGGTGGTGAAATGAGACTCATTTGCCATACATGAAAAGACAGTTATTCCGTACATTTTTCCATGTTGATTACTTGTTGACTCAATTTACATTCTCGATGCGTATAGGGCTTTCGGGACAGCGGCGGGATTCCGGCAAAATAAATCGTCATTCGCCGGATGATGAAGCCCATAAATTAGAAAATTCCGAAGTGAGCTTCAATTGGCTTGTATTATCTCTTCCCCTGTGCACTGACATCAGCTAGCAGCTCTTTTGCCCTAAAATCCCGACCCCGCTCTGTAGGTCAGTAAGTGGCGGTGGCGTGAGGAAATTCCAGCTTGTTTTACAGACGGCCCAGCTATCACTGTAAGCGAGGTTTTAGATTATGAATGGGCGCAAATGTTGGCCCGTATGTGATCTGACCCGCCGGGTTTGAAATGCGGGGATACAAAGCTGCTCAGATGGATGCAGATGTAGCGATGGTACCTGAACCTTACGTTGCACGAACCGGCTCAAGGATTAATATGAACTAACGGCTCAGGATCTAAACTTCGCAAGGTTTTCTTATCTCAAGAGATGCGATCGTAGCACCCTGCAAGGTATGAGGTGATTGTCATAGCTGCGATAGCGAGATAAGGGGCTCTTGTATGCTATTGGGTGGGGCGGAGTGTTGCACGGCTAAAGGCCGATGGGCGAGAAAAACAGCCGATAAGCTTGTATGCTGTGGAGAGCACACTCTGGAGCTCTCACATACGTAGGAAAGAAGAAAAAACGTTTGCAAGGGATAAGATAAGATATTCTCTCTGTAGGGCATGGTGAGAAGAAAGAAGAGAGTGTGAAGCAGTACTCCGTAGACTGTGCTAGTCCCGATTAGAACGAATATTTGGTTATATAAAAACTAATTAGCTAATCAGGGCGCTTCTGTAAATGACTAAAAGTGCGAAATATAGGTAAAAACCCATTATCCGCACTTTCATCTAAACTTTCTTCAGATAAAACCCTCTCTTTCTCTATACCCCTACTCTCTCTCTCTCTTACTCTCTCTCTTACAGAATCAAGATACTCCTTATCAGTCTCATGATAATATCCAAATATCATATACAGTTCTGTATAAAGCTGTTATCCGCAGCATTATAGTCATCTTCCTCCACTTAGCAGCCTAGTAGCGCGAAACAGATTTAGGGAGTAAGTAGGTCCTATATATTAGTCAGTACTATACGGAGATAAAGGTGCTCAAATACTCATCACGTGATGCGGAACTTCAATCTCGGTCCATCCATTGATGCCTAAGTAGGTTTAGCGTGCAACTAACCGTAATCTAGATCCAGATTATGAGGAAGCAAGAAAACCCAGAAGGGTCCGAAGACCCGTCGTCGTAGTCGTCGTTGTTTACGTTGCCCTCCACACCAATTTGTATCGCGGCTTTGTGGATTTAGATTTTCCAAGGGCCGCACTGTAGAGGCTATGATTTCTAATTTCCTATTATTCCAACGGGTCTTGTCGGATGTATAAGTTTACCGTAGTGAAAACGGAAATGGTCACGGCGGTGCGTAAAATCTTCACGCCAATAATATGGCATCAAAATGTTCCTGCAACTTCCAACGGCATGATTGTATCGGCTGGTAAGGACCGTCGGAGTTTCTGCACCTGAAAGTTGACGTCGAAGACGAAGGATCCTCCATAGGTCATGTGCGCACTACAGCGAAAGCCTTCGCAAGAATCGGCTATGTGCTAAAAATATTGGAACTAGTGGAGACCAAAAGCCAATTATCGAACAAGACGATCGAACGTAATAAAATGAAAGACTACTAGTAGATTTGATTACTTAGTCTATAATGCGCTATAATGGTAGCGCGAGGGCGGGATATTGGCGTCGCGCCCACGATGGGCATTAGATTAGCTCTTAAGCTTTTGATTATCAAGCTTGAAGTAAGTTTTGCTAATGTCCCTAATCACTCAAATGATAGGCGGTGATTTTACATCTTTTAGTTGGATAGGCAACCTATATGCTTTGCCGAACATAAATTTATTAGCGGCTATTTCAGGCCAAAGCTAGTCCTCAAGATCTAGCTTCATATGTCTTCATTACAATGACCGGCTACTCAAAGGGTTCTTCTTGCTTCTCTCGACTGGTGTTAGATAGCAGGAGCCCTAGGAAAGCTAGCATATTCAATGCTTGAAGCCACGAAGATTTTCGACAGCACATACTAGCCGAGAGCTTCGGAATGACCAAATCCCTGATGCGTCCGCCGAGAAGATGGAAACTTTGCTTGACTCTCGAATGCGTAACCCCAAGCAAACATCCGCGCCGCACATTTCGCTACGTTCTTGCGACTTTGTTTCTAAATTCATCTTTCGTCAGTCTCTTTTCTATCGGATTGTATTTTATTCCGCCTTAATAGTCGTACGCGAAAATTATTGGCCATTGTACGGTTAAAGTAGAAATGAATCGCTCGAATGAATTGGAGGTGGTTGATATGCTCGGTTATTTGCATTCATAGATGGTGAATTATGAACCTGTTTAAAATGAGAAAAAGAGAAAGTGTACCTTTTGATTTTCAGAGGATCACGGTTTCGCCTAAGAGACCACGACTTTGGCTTCGGCAGAGGTTTAGAGAACAAAACAGTATTTCCATTGTGTAGTTGAGAGAGATACCCAAGTATGCCAGAATGTGAGCCGAAGAAGCGGATTAACACCGCCCCTAGTGTTGCTCACCTAGGGTGAAGCAAGCCAGTCGGCTCTTGACCGATGTGGCAATGAAGCCTGCGACGCATTTTTCGACCACCCAACGCTTTTCATTCAGCCATCAAATTTGGGCATTGCGGCATACGGACGGAAAATAGGAAACGGTGTCGCGGGCCGAGTTTTTTTCAAGTGGGTCGTGACCCACAGAACTAACTCCACAACAATACGGAGGTTGGCTTGGCAGATCATGCTAGATGTATGTGACAGTGTGGAAGCTCCGTTTCCACATCCGTTGGCTCCTTACTGGCATCCGCGTAGAACGGCACCCTAGACGCCATGCTAATATATCTAATGGAAATTGTTCCTGCTGCTGAAATTTGCAGAGATTTTGTCCTCATCATTGTTTGGCTGAACATTCTTTTGCCATGGAGCCATCCAAAAAACCGGACGAAACCTTTTATGGTATCGGCTCCCAAGGCACGCCTCAGGAAAGCGCTACTACTATCATCGACAATTCCTTCATTGAGCATCCCTTGGACGAGAAAACTATGCCAGATTCGGACAGCGAAGTGAAGAAGTCCCAAGCTGACTGGGTGCATGCCCCCAAGGTGCAACGCTTGCGTGAGCGAGAAATCGAAGCTGGGCTGAAGAATCGCGCCCTAGGAGTCACCTGGCAGGATCTGAGTGTCGAGGTTCCTGCAGCTGATTCGGCCATCAACCACAATGCTTTTTCTCAATTCGACTTTATGCACCACGTGCGAGCCCTCCGCCACAAGCCCCCTCAGAAAAATATTATTGTCAACAGCCACGGATGCGTCAAACCTGGTGAAATGCTGTTAGTTCTGGGACGCCCCGGATCCGGTTGCACAACGTTGTTGAAACTTCTCGCCAACCGCCGCGGGGGCTACACTGTCAATGGAGATGTGCACTTCGGCACAATGGATCACAAAGAAGCCGAACCATACCGAGGCCAAATTGTGATGAATACCGAGGAGGAGATTTTCTTTCCCACTTTGACAGTCGGTGACACCATGGACTTCGCAACCAAGAACAAGGTTTCGTTCAACCGGCCTTCGGATCTACCTACCGCCAAAGATTACCGATTGGATATGAAAGATTTCCTCCTTGAGTCTCTGGGTATCTCTCACACAGCCAACACGAAAGTCGGGAATGAGTATGTGCGGGGTGTATCCGGTGGAGAAAGAAAGCGTGTCTCCATTCTTGAGTGTATGGCAGCCCGCGGTTCAGTCGCCTGCTGGGACAACAGCACTCGTGGCTTGGATGCAAGCTCAGCACTCGACTGGGCAAAGTGCCTCCGTTCATTAACCGACACCCTTGGTCTGGCAACCATCGTTACCCTCTACCAAGCGGGAAATGGTATCTATGATCTATTCGACAAGGTCTTGGTGTTGGACGAGGGCGAGCAAATCTACTATGGCCCTATGACTGAGGCCCGACCTTTCTTTGAAAGCATTGGATTTGTGTGCCGTGAAGGTGCAAACGTGGGAGACTACCTCACTGGTGTCACGGTACCCACAGAACGTGAGATTAAACCTGGTCATGAAGACTCCTTCCCTCGATCCGCCTGTGAAATTCGTAATCTATACGAATCATCACCCATTTTCCAGCAAATGATCCAAGAGGAGGAAGAATATCCAACCACAACTGCCACTAAGGAATGCACGGAAGCTTTTCAAGAAACCATTGCCCTCGAGAAGCACAAATCCCTCGGCAACGGTAGCGTTTTCACCGTTAGTCTATACCAGCAAGTCCTGGCCTGTATTGTTCGGCAATATCAGATCATCTGGAACGACAAAGCCACCTTTGCGATTCAGCAGATATCATCCCTTATCCAAGCCCTCGTTGCCGGATCCTTATTTTATAACGCCCCAGAGACCAGCGCAGGACTGTTCCTCAAGGGCGGATCTATATTCTTTGCCGTCCTCTACAACGGAATTTTGATTCCCATGTCTGAAGTTGTTGATTCTTTCACCGGTCGCCCCGTTCTTATCAAGCATAAACACTTCGCGTTTTTCCACCCTGCCACATTCTGCTTCGCCCAGATTGTCATCGATATCCCCATTATTCTGTTCCAGGTCTCCATCTTTTCGTTGATCCTATACTTCATGACAGGACTTACCATGAATGCCGCCAACTTTTTTACCTACTGGATTGTTCTATTCGCCTCTTCTATGTGCCTGACCCAAATGTTCCGCGGAATTGGAGCGCTTTTCTCATCCTTCGATGGTGCTTCTAAAATTTCAGGCTTCCTCACCACAGTGCTATGCGTTTACGCGGGTTATATGATCTCGAGGCCCGAGATGCACATGTGGTTTGGCTGGATCTTCTACGTCAACCCTATGGCTTATGCCGTTGAGGCCCTTGTTGCCAATGAGTTTCATGGCAAGACTATCGACTGTATTGGCACCAGTCTGATCCCGAATGGGCCGGGGTACAATGACTCCAGCTATCAGGCATGCTCAGGTATTCCGGGCGCCTTAACCGGTGCCTCTTCTGTCACAGGCGACCTATACCTTTCTGCTCTCGCCTACTCCCACGATCACATTTGGCGCAACTTTGGTATTCTCTGGGCCTTCTGGGCGTTCAATGTCTTTATCACTGTGGGCTCTACTATGCTATGGAGCGATAGCTCGGAATCTGGATCCTCGATGCTTATCCCTTACGAAAAGCGACACCACCACGCTCGAGCATCGGATGAAGAAGCGCAGGCCGGCCCCCAGGGAGCCATCAAATCCGACAAAGATGAAAACCCTAGAAGTTTACAGCGGAACTCCTCAATCTTTACCTGGAAAAACCTTACTTACACGGTCAATACACCTACGGGAGACCGAGTTCTTTTGGATAATGTTTATGGTTTTGTTCAACCTGGATCCCTAACCGCACTGATGGGATCTAGCGGAGCCGGAAAAACCACCTTGCTGGATGTGCTTGCTCAGCGCAAGACTGAGGGTACAATCAAAGGATCTATTTTGGTTGACGGCCGCCCCCTTCCTGTCTCATTCCAGCGATCTTCTGGATACTGTGAACAACTTGATGTCCATGAGCCGTATGCCACGGTTAGGGAAGCTCTCGAATTTTCTGCTCTACTCAGACAACCAAAAGAGCTCTCACAGGAAGAAAAGCTGGCTTACGTTGACACCATCATCGACCTGCTCGAGCTTCATGATATTTCAGATACTCTGATTGGTTCAGTTGGTGCCGGACTAAGCATTGAGCAACGGAAACGAGTGACTATTGGAGTCGAGCTGGTTTCGAAGCCTAAAATTCTGATTTTCCTTGACGAACCGACGTCTGGTCTAGACGGTCAATCTGCATTCAATACTGTCCGATTCTTGCGAAGACTTGCCGATCATGGTCAAGCGGTTTTGGTCACGATTCACCAGCCCTCTGCGCAACTTTTCTCACAATTCGATAATCTTTTGTTGCTGGCTAAGGGTGGAAAGATGGTATATTTCGGCGAGATTGGCCAAGATGGTCGCTGCATCAAGGATTATTTCAGAAATCTCGGAGCACCATGTCCCGCTGGGGTCAACCCAGCAGAATTCATGATCGATGTTGTCTCCGGCCATCTTCTCCCTGGGGTCGAATGGCACCAGAAGTGGCTAGAATCATCTCAGCATGCAGATATGGGTGGTTATCTAGATAATCTTATTTCCGATGCGGCTGCCAAGCCTCCTGGGTTTGACGATGATAATGCTGAATTCGCGACCAGCCTATGGACTCAAACAAGACTGGTTACCAAGAGAATGAGCATATCCTTATACAGAAACACCCCCTACACGAACAACAAATTTGTCTTGCATATCATTTTGGGTCTTTTCAACGGTTTCACTTTCTGGAAGATTGGACATTCTATCGGTGATTTACAGCTACGGCTTTTCACAGTCTTCAACATTCTTTTTATTTCGCCTGGTGTTATCGCTCAACTCCAACCGCTTTTCATTGCACGTCGCGAAATTTATGATGCTCGTGAGAAAAAGAGCCGCATTTACTCATGGAAGGCATTCGTTACCGGGCTTATCGTTTCAGAATTCCCCTACCTCTGCGTCTGCGCCGTCCTTTACTTCGTTTGCTTTTACTACACAGTGGGATTCCCCAAGTCCTCAATGCGCTCTGGAGCGATCTTTTTCGTTATCTGGCTGTACGAATTTATCTATACTGGAATGGGTCAGGCAATTGCTGCCTACGCGCCAAATGCGACCTTTGCTGCTTTGGCGAATCCTTTGATCCTTGGTACTATCGTTGCTTGCTGTGGTATACTCGTTCCTTATAGTCAAATCACGGTTTTCTGGCGGTACTGGCTTTACTATCTCAACCCGTTCACCTACGTCAGTGGCTCTCTCCTTGTTTTCAGTACTTGGGGTGTGGATGTCAAATGCAAGGAGACCGAATTCGCCATTTTCAATCCTCCCAGTGGTGAAACCTGTGAATCTTACCTCAGCTCTTACCTGCAAGGGGAGGGGTCTCGTGCCAACCTTGTCAATCCCGCCGCCACATCGGACTGTCGAGTCTGTGAGTATACCACTGGAAATGACTACCTGCACACCTTGAACTTGTCTCATTACTATGACGGCTGGCGTGATGCGGGAATTTGTGTGATCTTTCTCCTCAGCTCTTACGGCATGGTCTACATGATGATGAAGCTCAAGACGAAGGCCTCCAAGAAGGCAGAATAGTCAATTCAGATCTGGAGTTGGGTGTGCATCATCCATTTTCCTTTCCCTGTTTTCGGTTTTCATCTTGACTCACATTGGACTACAACCTCCCCTGAACTCCTCTCATTCATCCTTTTCACTTGATTTCCTTATCCTTTCCTTTTACTTTCCTTTCCTCTGTTTTTCGTGTTTTCTTTTGCTCAAATAGACTGCATGTGCTTTCAAATCTCTGTCTTCTTGCACATGCTTACTCTCTCCTTTTTCATTTCTTTTGTGTTTGAAGTTGTGCTTCTCATATGGGAGTTTTAGCATTCAAGCCACACCTTTTCTGGCTTTATCTAATATGTATAGATATTCACAGCCAAATGTATTCGCAATACATTCTCTATTGATATTCAGCACGATGCAGTTAACACAGTGCTGAATTCCAATTCCTCCCTCCGACACATCAGCCCCAAAGTGATCGAAAATTAGGATTTCTCACTCATTAAATAGAGCCAATTTCGACTTGGCTTTATCAAGTAACTTGCTTTCCATGCTTATCCTAGTGGTTGGAGGATCAACCCTTTCTTGTAGCCAGGATGAAACATTGAACTGGACATTTTAGTTTTCAAGATTTGCTAGTCAGTCATACCAAGATATTGCTCATTGTGTTTTCATATCTATAAATACTGTTACGCCAGAATTGTAGTTGTGAGGTCAATTGATTTCATGTAGGTGACAATATCATCACCATCTTCGTTTCAATTCAATTTTTGATAGCTTCCCAATGAACGAGAATTCCTTCGAATAGCAAGAGTAAAAGTCAGAATTTGAGACAGATTAATTGACTATGATCTGAGTCAAATATCCCCCAATTAGCATTGACATTTAGGATTATTTGGATGAACCGATTGATTTTGGCAAGTTCACAATGATAACTAATCTTCTTGATCAATGTCAATATGGTCAGAGCCTGGCGATGAGGGTGTAGATGGCGTTTCATTTCTCATGCTCGATGTGGCACGCTCTGCAGCATGGAGCAGTTCCATTACAAATGATTCTAACTGACTTCTATGAAGACGCTCTTCAGACTCGAGATTGTGCATCGACATATGAGACATGAGCCTTGGAACCTTCATCAGAAGCTCATGATCATGGACAGCAGATGGGAGAGCAGGATTATCGAGGATGTTGCATGTTATAGTAACGGACGCGGCGAGGGCATAAAAAACGATCACCCTGATAGATATCGCATTCCGGATTAATCTAAATGATCAAATAACGAAATAAGATGTACTCACCAGTAACTCCCTTCGTTGAGAATGTGATGAGCAGTCTGCAAATATCTCAAGGTGGAACGACTAGCCTCGACCGCCAGGGCAATGCTAGTGGCAATGACAGTTTCCATGCCATCAACGCTCATAGCGGTTCCAAGACATCTGTTGCTAACACGATGGATGACTGTCACACAGTAAAGATAATCAAGTCGAAGTATTAGACTGCGCAAGTCAGTACTTCCTGGGTCCACTTCGATATCATAGGAAAACGAAAGACTCGGGCGGTATTTCTCAGGAACAGCCAAGCGCCATGTCTCCAAAGAATTGTCAAGGTTCCGGATATCCATGAGAAGCTCCGTATTAGGTTTCTTAAAGGCAGCTATTGAGTGTAGACACTCATATGCTCGGGATTTGATCTGGCTTAGTTTAATATCGGCGGGGAACATGATCGATGGATGGAATCGTTCGAATGGAAGGTCCATGGCAAAATCCTTCGAGATTTTGTCCAAGTATTGTAACGAAAGATTGAGATCACAGTAATTATCCCCGAGAGCAGGCGGTTGGAGAACGCGAAAGCAGAGGTCTTTATCGATCGTATAGCAAGCCCAGAATAGATTCCGCAGGTGTGTTCTGGTATGTTCTAATATATTTGGTTGCCTCTCGATGAAAGACTCCGTCGCCCAATCGTTATGAGCTCTCAGATAGAAGACAAAATGCGCTGCTATTGAGTTTGTGACTGCAGCTGATTTCAACTTTCCAGTGAAGAATTGCGTCAACATCTAAATACCGATTATTTGCATAAGCTTATTACCGTAAACACTGGAGAGTTTATGAATGAAAAGAGGTGGTGCCATACCAAAAGTATGCAGGCCTGGAAGCCATCAATTGTCGCTGCCTCGGTGATTGCAGGTAACACTTGCTGAAGAAGAGCAGTATAGCCATTGAACTTTGAAGTGGAACACAATCGAATACCGAAAGGGACCAGATAGGTGAAAATGGCAAAGGCGATGACACATGCTTTGGCACTCATTATGTCAGATGGCTTATGATCAGTTGACTCATAAGCTATCCTCACTGTTTCTTCAAATAGAAAAGGGTCAAGAATTGGGAATGCTGCCCGTATTTTGGACTTCTTGTATAAGCCCATACATTTTTCTACCAGTGGTCGATCTGGTAAAATGGTGGTATCATTAATATTGGATTCGGGATAATGTCTAAAAGACGGGAAGAGGGGTAATGACGATAAGCTTCTTTGAGCAAATAGATCTCTACACAACCTTTCGGTGGAGACAAGTTGTCCTGACTTGAAACGAGTCCATTCCTGGTGCACAGCTGAGGATTCAGGAATGCAGATCAATGCGCTGAGGGGCAAGTCTGACCGCAATTCAAAATGCGACCCACTGCCCTCGAGTTGTCTGGTGCTATGGGTGATCTCATTGTGAGCACTTGAAGGGACTTCACAGAGCGGCGAGTTAGAACTCATTGATGGGTAAAGGGACAAAAAGCCTCACTTGATTCACTTTGAGGAACCCGCCGCGCTCGAAAAGTCTGTATACCATCTCTTTCATAGACGCATGGGGTTTGGTAGTGTTCACACCAGAAGCATTTTGGTACAGCCGCAGTACATTTGATCTGAACAAAGTCAGTGGCTTTTATACGAATGAAACCTCCTGAAATCAGTTTCTACCTTGCGTTTCCAGCAGGAGTCACAGGCCGAAATCTTTTGACCCCGTCGACCACGACGTCCACTCATAGTTTCTTTTCAGGCTGGCCAGGGAGTATTTGATTTGGATAACCCATAAAACTTTGTCTCTAAATTGACCGGAAGATTCTTGAAAATTGATGAGTCATTCTTGGAAAAGTGGATCAGGCAACTTAAGGTTAAACCTCAGCGGCTGAACCAAACAGTTGATTTACAAAACTTCAAGGTTGTGGTTTCTCCTGAAAGCCTAATATCACTAGCCTAGTGGAATAATAGCTTGGTCTAATTTTTGCCACATGTAATCCATCCATTTAATCCAATTCCTTCTAATATGATTGGTTTTTCGGTTACAGTTGGCATCGAAGATTCTCAAAGAATTGCATATCCGTCCACCCGGATGTATCCCTCCAAGGTTCCGGGCCTACGGTTGAAGCAGCGTATAAGAGGAAGTGCCGTATACCCGGATAAAATGAGCCCGGATATAGTGTAACCGGGTATGTCGGACCCGGGTATGTCGGACCCGGATCTGATGGATCTGGATATACGGAGTAATGGCGGACATAATTGGAAGTTTCAACATTTGTCTTTCTTGGTTAATTGGTGTTAATTAGGACTTGCTATCAATTAGGACCAGATGTCACAAGTTACTACAGACGCATGTCAAAAATATTTGAAACTCACATCCACTTTAGTAGACTAGTAGAAGATATACCTAACACTAGACTAGAAATCTATAACCGAAACAACATACCTATAAGGGAATATTAGTATACGGAGGGGAAGGCCATGTTAGCGCTTCAGGGATCAATAGGATATTCAGATGCAAAATAGTGATGTTCAGGTGAAGGTGCCTAAATGGACTATAGAGTAGACTGGTAAGATCACTTGACTCAAGTAAAATAATAAAAATAAAAACATGCCATAGTATTTGTATGACGGTAGCCACCTAGCGCCCAGGCTTCAGGCGTGGGCGGCTCGCCGCTTTATTCAGCCCTCTTCAGGGTAACCTGGGCGGACCTTGACCCACTTGAATATTCATTCACCCTAGGCGGAAAAATGTGCTTTCCAAAGTTCTGGACGGAATGACCAAAACTGGAATCGCCGTGGCCTTTTTGATGCCGTTTTGATCTTCCACCTTCTGACATACTCGCGATCCAGTGTACCAGGAATGCAAAAGGCGTACGGTGCACGATCCAATATTGAACTATACAGGCTACGCGGTGAACTTTTTAGAGCATAACAACACGAAAATCAAACGGAAGACTCCATCTCGAATAATAAGGAAGTCTAGTCGCACTTTAGTTATTTTCGATACATAGGTCATATCTAATTAGGTTAATTGTTCTTAAAGATGACTAGTGGGGTTTTTTTACCAGATTGGCTTAATAATTATACGCTCCTTAAGTATCTCCACACAGAATATATTCTCCAAATTCATAAAAAGTACTCCTCGTTAAATAGAGGTATAGTATTGTGAATATTTAAGCGCGGGAAATAGAAGCCCTTAGAGAATAGATATAGTGATAAGCTTCTAAAGCTCCACTATTATATTCAAGCCTCTCTATTTCAGAATATTATATATTACTATAGGTGAAAGTTATAAAGACTTAATAGTCGTAGGCTATCGCTTCTTAGAGGGATCTTAGAGTAACTAGATATAATAGCTTGTAATATTTAAGCAGTATCTAGAATATCAGAAGGATAGAATTTGCCTTTAGGCTAAGAAGATTGCGTAGGTGGTATTAGAGAGTGGAGTAAGTAGAGTTTAATATACGGATAAAGTAAAGTATAGTATATTTTAGTTCGTGTTAATATTAGCATTAGATAAGCTTTATTACGTTAATACTACTTATTTACCTAAATCATATATACATTTAGTACTACTGGCGCCTCGGTCATATTACTTAGCTAACTCGATTCATATAATAGAATCATTTACCATTTCGCCCGGGACTTACATATAGCAAGAAAGGTTCTTCGTTTACTTCGATATAAGGTATCAAATTGTCGAATCTTAGCAAACCCATTTTATAACGCTGTTATACCAATTCGAACACGGGTAACGCAGCAGAATCCTAGAACAAAAGCTTAATCATTAACTTCGAAGTCAGTCAAGATTGGCTTAGAAGAAAAATCCGTATTATTAAGAAAAAGCTAAAGCCGCTATATGATACACTTCAGGTAAGCGAATTAGGAAAGATTTTAGCGAAACTTCGATAGTACCTTACGAAAGATAATATTCGACTTCTATAGCTACATCATGAGGTTCAAATACTAATCTTGATTTAATAACTCTTGTAATGCTTGAAATTGGAATTACGACTATGATTATTCTTTAGAATGTGATGCCCAGTAAAAGGCCGAAATTGTGTATACGCTATCAATGCTATCTCCAGATATTCCTCTATTCTCAGCAGGGTACCTAGTGAAGAGGGGAACGCTCGTTGGCTGTACGCTCTGACGACGCACGAATCGGATATACTCAGCAAAGCCCACCACGACCGAAGGTCGCCCTCGGCGAGCAGTGGATCCCTCGACAAAGGTCAAAAGTGAGAGATGTGTAAGAGCGTGTATTCTCTAGCTAGTGCTAAACCCGTATTAATATGACCTTTTCCTTACGGGACGGAATGTGACGTGTGACAGTATGGCAATCCGCAGTAGTGATCGGGTCTCCCCACTACACTAGGTAGGGATCAATCACGGAACCATAGTTCTGCCACAGAGTAGGTAACAATATCCATAACCCAGGTCGAATTTACTGACAACTATCTTCTTGTTCAATAGCACACACAGGATTTTTCCATAAATTCGGGTAAAGGCTATGAATTACTACATCCCAACGCTAGTTGACGGTAAACTAGGCGCCGAAAATAGCTATCTGGGACGCCGTTTTTGGCGCCCCTTTTACCGGGATCTGAGTCATCGGTGAGTCACGTGGTATAACTTGACCTATTCTTCCAGTCTACAATGGGGGAGACAAAGCTCGAAGCTGACTATAATAGCTCTAACTTCATGGGAAAACTAATAATTGATTAACCGAATCGGTGACTATTTACTAGAAATGCTCATAATACATTTTGTTTTCAGCCTTGGGGACACACCCCGCAACATCGAACCACCAAACATGCATGCGTACACAACCAAGCCACGCCATTACATGTCAGTCAATTAAACAACCCATAAAATGAATTCCAAATAAGCCCCCTCTAATTGTCCACCACCGCCCACAACCACCCATCATACCCCTTCTCCCCCACCAACTGTAACACCACCGCATCCACCCCCTCCAACTCCCCTACCCGCTCCACTACCTCCCTCGACCCCCTCACACTCGCATCTGCACTCCCCGCATCCACCAACTCCCCATCCCTCACCACATTATCCACGCAAATAACCCCCCTTGGAAGGACCATCTCCCTTGCAGCCGAGAAATACGCCCAATTGCTCCTCTTATCCGCATCAATAAACACAAACCCGAAACGCGGCCTTGCACCACTGTGTACCTCCTCGCGCAGTCGTGGCAGGATACTCAGTGCCGTACCCTCGAGGACCTCAATGCGCGACGACACGGAAGGGCCCGCCTGCAGGATGTTGTGCCGCGCGACGGCAGCGTGGTGCGCGTTGGCTTCGATCGTCGTGACGTATAGGTCTGGATTAAGTGTTGCGAGCCATAGCGCGGTGTAGCCACCCAGGGTGCCGATTTCGAGAGCGTGGGTGACGTGCGCGGTGCGGAGGTGCAGGGCGAGGAATTTGGCTTGCGGGGCGGAGAGGGCGTAGGGGGGTAGGGAAGAGTTGGAGCTGGTGGTGAAGGTGGATTCGAGGAGGGAGGTGTTTGGGCGCGAGGGTGGGTGCGTGTGCTTCATGGTATAGGTGTCGACGGTGGTCCACAGGGGATTGTCTTGTGTGTAGCGCCAGCGAGTGGAGGACATTGCGGCGGTTGTTAAAGGATTAATGCTTCCAGAGGTGCTGGCTTTGGGAGATAGATGGTCGGTAGCCTCCGCGTAGTATACAAGGGCTCTTCATTGAGAGAGATTTGATTCGCAAGAAGTGGTTCATGATCGTCCTACTCATCCTACTAGTCCAAGTCGCTGCTAGCAGTGTCCGCGTCTTGTCTCCGGGTATTCGTTTATCTCCGAGGCTCGGGCATGTGGCTTTGTCTGGGAGTGGAGATCGGGAATCAAAGCTAGCTAGTGATTGGGTAAAAATTTGGGGCTAGTCTGGTTCGGATGGGGTTGTTCTCCACTCGTGAAAGGGAAGGAGTATACGAGTGGACCTCTACATTGTGTGTAACGCCGATTGCTTTATACTTGCTTGGACAGCTGTCTTAAACAAGAAGTTGATTCTTTTAGAATCAATCTGGCTTAGCTCTAGGTCACAAAGGAAAATTTCAGTGGGAGAGTCGAATCATGAGGTTCGTCATTATGGGTTATTGCAGCTCTATGTAGTCATCCAGATTGGTCAACACTATTGCCATGTTCAAGCAATGCATCCATCTGTATGTATCGAATCCTGGAGCTGGTAAATATCTATCACTGGTGCTATCAAGCAATCTCCACACCAGATCATCCATCAACTCCAGATACCCCCCTCCGCTTACGGCTTCGCGTTGAGCTTCTGGTCCATCATCACCCGCCACTGCGGGCCCCACGTCCGCAGCGCAAAGATCGCCGCAGTGCCCGTCACAAACGCAATCAGCGCCACCATCGTACACGTCCAGCCCGTCCCGATCGCATCAATCAGCGGCTGTGTGATAAGAGCACCTGTAAACGACAGCAAATTCCGCAGGAAATTGGCCAGCGCTATGCCGCTGGAGGACTTCTTCGGCGTGAACTCCGTCAGCACCGTGTTGATGGCGCCCATGACGAGCATCACACCCAGACCGAAGAAGATACAGGCCACGCACCCGACTGCCCAGTGCAGGCCCTTGTCGACCGACCAGCCGTACCAGATGAGGGCGGCGGGATACAGGAAGAGCGCGATCCAGATGTTCTCTTTCATGCGGTCTTCGGGGACGTATTTGAGCTTGCCGTTGTCATCGTAGCGGTTGGCTTTGCGGGCTTCGCGCGCCATGATGTAGTCAATCCAGCGGCCGCCTAAGATAGAGGAGAAGGCGTATCCGATTGTCGGGGCGAGATAGACCAAGCCTACGAGGATGGTGCTGAAATTGTATGGGGCTTTCTCGAAGGTCGCCTGGATAGACACATTCAGGACGAACATGGTGAAGAAGGAGATTGCGCCGGTCCAGACAGCCACGATGATAGGTGGGTATCTTAGTAGCGCAAGAACCGAGAATGGACCGAAGATTTTCTTCAATACCACCAGAGTAATATTTTCTCTAATCTCGTTGTCAGAAGTGGTAGCGGGGGCACGCTTTTTCACTGTCTCGGGCAAACAGAACAAGATCAGGAGCAGCATCACACCACCGAAGATGGTCAGGAACCAGAGTGTGCTGCGCCAGCGCAGGCCCTGTGTCAGGGCGCCGCCAATAACTGGGGCGAGACCTGGTCCACAGAGAGGTCCCAAGTAGAAAATTCCCATTGCCTTGCCGCGTTCTTTCGGCTCCCAGATGTCGGCCACGGTGCCGGCACCGACCGACTGAACAGATGCTGCGGCGCCGCCACTGAGAACTCGAAAGACTAGAAGCATGGCGATATTGACACTGACAGCGCTGATACAGGAGAAGACCAGGAAGAGGGAGAAGGAGAGGAGATAGATGGTGCGGCGGCCGTGTTTCTCAGAAAGCGCAGACCTAGTACGATATCCTGGTTAAGTTGATCCATACTGTAATTATGGGAATGGGGGTACTTACCACCACATAGGCGTAAATGCCATTGCCAGCATGTACAACGCCAACGACAAGTTCGCGACTGTGGGCGTGGTATGAAGGGCGCGGGCGACCTCAGAAAGAGCCGCTGCAGCAGATCACGGGTCAGTGAAAATCCAAATGTACGAATTTTCCAAATGAGGAACTCACGGTAGAAAATAGACGATCCTGTTGAGGATGTGATGGCCGCAAAACTAACAATAACTGTCATCCACCACTTCGTTCCTTTGCCGTAAGTGTACGGATTCGTGACTTCGGGGATGACTGAGAGCCGGCCCAGCAAGCCTCGTCGCTCAGACAGAGGCACGACTTCTCTCTCACGAATTGACTGCCCCTTGGACGGTGTCTTCTTTAATGTCGAATCTGGCTGCGGTGTCGTCGTCTCGCCAGCTACCTTTTCCACATCTTGGTCGGCGCCATTGGCGACCGCGCCATTCGTCTTTTCACTGCTGGAGGACATCGCGGCGGTGGATGTACCCAATCACCTTCACTTTTGCACGTATGGGCAAGCAAGGAGCACGCGGTGTAACTAGCAAACAACGAGACAAGCCCTATTTATCGCAGTTGCGGACCCGGGGATAATGCCTCGGGCTGTGCCGTTCTGGGAAAGAGTCCGAGCCAGGCAAATTCAGGCATGGTCTTAGCATGCACCTTGCACAGCTAAATCCAAAGAGACGGAGATTAGGGACTTTAAAGGCTTAAAATCGTGACAAAGCCCGGCGCTGAGAGCTGGGAAGTGCGCTCAGAATGCTTGAAGCGTGACTGGCCAATGGGGGTTGCTTTTTGATCCCCGATACGCGCCACCGAGATGTGCGTTAAGACGGCGCTAGCCCAGACGGGGATCGGTAATGGGTCTTGTACTGTAGTGGGACACATGTCGATCGGTCGATCATGCGGTGAGGCTGGCGTGGGACGGTGTGAAAGGAATTTTCAACGAACTGAGAAGGCGATGGCGGGGTGGTATAGATCGGATCGGGTGAACAGGGAGGATTAATCTATCCCATGGGTAGCTACTGTATGCCCGAGAAGGGATCTCATGTTCTTCGAGTAACATTGAAAGCGCTAGATCAAGATATCGAACCTACTTAAATTTGCACTAGGTGGCTGGCTACAGATTGACAACTACTACGACTTTACATCGGGCACATGTCGCCATGCATTCGGCAATCCGCCATAAAACACCCATCGCGTCATGTTGGCAACCACCATATCCCCTCCACGTCCGACACGCTTCACCACCCCGGCAGTCATCTCTTTCGAGACATGATTCCCCTCGTCCGGGTCCATAGCCCGTTCAATCGAGTCCATGCCCATGTGCGCAATCAGGAAGAAATCCTGCTTCGCGATCGGGAAGCCCGGGGGCAAGTCCAGCTGCTCCAGCGCATACAGCGAGCGGATGAGCTTGACTGCGTGGCCCTCATCACGGTATACGTTTGCCCGATGGAACAGCTCCGTCCATCCATCGCTGGGCCGGCGAGGTGTGTAGTTCATTACCCGGTCGGCATATAGTGGGGGGCACCCCGTGCCTGCGTACATGACTCCGCCGACACGCACTGTCGCCTCGAGCAGGCGCGCCTTCTCGGCGTTGGACAGCCAGGGCTGCGCGAGGATGGCTGGGAAGAAAACTGCCAGCGTGACGGCGTGCAGTGTGACGAAGTCCATTGCGGCGTGCTTTCCGGGTCGCTGCGCCGCGGCCAGCATGTATGCGTTTGTGTGCATCATTTCTGACATTTTGTCCTGCAGGTCTGTCGGATCGGGCTGGACTTGGAACCGGGCGAGGTAGGGGACCAGTTGGGCTGGGGTGACGCGCTTCAGAAACCCGTCGGGGATTTTGTTAAATGGGTCGGTCTCTTTTGTGCCGCCGACGATGTCGGGATTCTCGCTCAGGCTTTCAAGAAGTTGCAGCATAGATTGGGAGGGCTCGTTGGGGTGGGTGCGCGCGTATTCTTCCGTGGGGATAAGGAATGTCTTTGGCCAGTTTTCGTGAACGCAGGCGCCAGCGAGTGCTTCGGCCACTAGACTTGGCTGGTGGAACTCGATTCCGCATCCTAGATGGATGATCGGATGCACTAGGTCTGAGAAGAGGAATCTGGTCAGCGAAACCTTGATCTTTGTAAGGAATAAGGATAGATCAATGCTGGGAGCTTTCGAACCGGCAAACATGCGACCCAAGATATCGTTGGCTCGCTCGTCGCCCTGGAGTAGATACTCTCTGATGACGGCTTCCATTCCATTCTCCTCAATCTCGTTTTCAAAGAACTGCAAGAAGTCTGGGTAGCAGTCATTAATGCCCAGACATTGTTGGAAAGTAGCAGGGTCTTTCAGGCGAATTTCAGATGCATTGGCGGCGGGATGTCCCTCGTTCATGGGGTCTTGATAGCGCGCGTTGTAGTGCCACATATCCTGGATCTCGGTTGGAGTGGCTCCGAGTGCCCACATAGCTAAAAGATGGTGCACAAGGTGATCTAGATGGAGATTATCAGATTATCACCATGATGAGCGACACTCGGCTTCCTGGAGTGGTCCGCATACTGTGCAGGGTATCCTTCCATCGCGTCTTGTATAGAGTATGGTTCTGAGTGAGCAGTTCTGACACGAGCTGTGCACTTGCCTGCATGAGGCCCTGAACATGAACGTATCCGGGTGTGTCCAGCGAAAGAAGGACTTTTGAGACGGCCGGAGTTACTTGCTTCGTCTGTTTAGCAGCCATGATGGATATAATGACTTGGGTAAAGTTGATTTTTGAAAATCAAAGGAAGGCAAGGTTGGACACAACGCGTAACATCGCAGATATCAGTTCGCAAATATTCCCATCTAGAATCAATAGACGCAGCGATTCTGACCTTAGTCATTTCATCTAGTTCCCCGATCGCCAGCCGCTGCCAAAATGGTTCGGGGGCCGAATACGACGCATGTACGCGGACTCGGGGACCGATCGGCCTGCACCCACGCCTCGCGGATCGACCCAGTAAGCCCGATGTAGGGTCTCCCGCCAGATATCGCCAGCTCTTCTTGGTGTTAGAGTTAGAGAGTCAATCTCAGCTGCCCCCTCTACCTGCGTGCATCGCTATTGTGATCCGAACTTCGATCCCTCTCCAAGCGTACAGCGGCTGACTCTCTCTGCAGCCATGCCGCGAATCCTTTGCCTGCACGGCCACGGCACCAGCGCCTCCATCTTCAAGTCCCAAACCGCCGCCTTCCGATCGAAGCTCAGCAGCGACTTTGAATTTTATTTCGTGGATGCGCCCTTCTCCAGCACCGGTGCTCCAGGTATCCATGCCATCTACTCATGTCCAACATATACATGGTGGCGGCAGTCCACGCCGGAGGACATCCGCGCCGCCCACTGCTGGGTAACCGAATACGCCCGCCAACACGGCCCTTATGATGCCGTCTGTTGCTTCTCGCAAGGTTGCTCGCTCGCCTCGACCATGGCGCTCTATCGTTCCGTTGAACAGGCCTCATCTCCCGACCAAGAACAACCCCTACTGCCCTTCCGCGCCGCCATCTTCATCTGCGGCGGCGTCCCGCTCCCCGCCCTCGAAGACATGGGCCTTCCCGTCTCTGCGCGCACCCATGAAATCAACCAATGCACTGGTGTAATGCTGAATAGCACAGCTGGTCGCTTGGCTGAGCTAGCTGCAGACCTCAAGCTGATCAAGCGCGGCGTGAGCCTGTGGGACGGCAATGCGGGGACGCTGGTGCATGACCCTGCGCGCAAGCCTGCGCGGAACGACGTCTTCGGTCTTGATTTCACGGCTTTCCCGGACTCTGCGCGCATTGGCATTCCCACAGTGCATGTTTATGGGTCGAAGGATCCCAGATGGCCGGCTGCCATTCAGTTGGCGGAGTTTTGTGATGATAGGGACGAGTTCGATCATGGCGGGGGGCACGATATTCCAAGGTCAACGGAGGTGTCGGTGAAAATTGCGGAGATGGTGAGGAGGGTGGTGTTGAGAGTCATGCCGAAGGAGGATAGGATTGAGTAGAATGGCTTGAGGAGGCTTAGAGGTTGGTGGGAAAGTTGGGCGGTTCGATGCGCAGGAATATCAGGTCGGCATTATTTGGGTAATTATTGGATAGAATTTTGAAAGAATTCGTTCAGCTTTGAACTGAAAGCTAATCCCAGAGAGTTGTAGTTAATTGTGATATATTTAAGATAGTCGACTAGTGTCTTCGGGTGTTGGAACACCGGAAAGATCTCGTTTTTCTTTGACATAGTACATTATAAGAAGTAGGACTACGCAAATGAATATCCAAGTGACCCCAAGATTTTTTTATATTTGTAGGCGGCATGTATATACTTGCCACGGAACGATACAGTATGTAGAAAATAAACTGTCTTTTCTAATCAAATTTTTGGACAGACCAAAAATGGAAATAAAGTCAATTCCCGCTTATGATACACATCCGCTTATAGTACAGGTTTTGCGTGGATGGAACCACTTTTAGGGTAATTACCAATGAAGAACCATAGAGTTCATGCCTTTGAAAGCTAACTTTATGTTATCTATATATGATATACAAGGCATTCAAAATGGTATTTTACACCTCTATGACCAATTTTTCTGCATAGTTTGTGAAAAATACACATAACTTTGAACCCATAAAAATGGGATCAAATATGGCCCCATCAATGGGCCCGGGCCCATTTCAGCCCCAACCCAATATGCCGCAGCCTAATTAGACTGCGGATTTGAGCCCCGTAAGCACGAAAATTCAGAGTCGTGGGCCTAATTCTCGTCCGCCTGGTTCTTACTCTCTATCTTCATCATAGGACACCCCGTGGCTCTTGATGCCCCTATTAAATAGAATTAGAGATTATGAAACATCGACCAGATAGAATCTGATCGAGACGAGTGATACATGCAACTCAATCTGTTTCCTCTAAGTATTTCCAGACAGTGCGGCATTGCTGTTGGTTTTCTGCCCCCAAACCGTATCCAGCATCTTCCATGAACTTCCTAGTTGTAGCTTTTTCCGCCATAGTGAATCCATCTGCAGGTCTTTTTGCGGACGGTAGCTGTGTATGATCGATCGACGCAGCACCCTTAAGGATGATTTTCCAGATAATTGTTTCGTTGTATCGATTTTGCAGACCCTTGCCTGTGGCCAAAGTCTTGACCTCAATTGCCTTTTCATAATAGTATTCCGAAGTTCCATCATCATATTTCCAGATCTTGTCAGGCTTGGTGGTTGTCGGAGTACTGCTTGTTCGAAGCCCGTATAGACCAATGGCAAAATTGACCTTCGCACACTCGAAGAATATTGACGACATTGCTTTCACAGTATACGCGGAGTCTGCTTGATAGGATGAGGAAATGTCGACGGGGAGACCTACATGGTAGGCACCTCTCACGTGGTCATCGTCAGGCTAGATCAAAGGACGTTAGCTTCGGATGAAGTACGTGAAACAATTTTGGTAGATAGCAGAAGTTGTAAACCTGTTGAGTGACATTCTGACAGTTGACCTGGATTGATTCATTGACAATTCGGTCGGAGGGAGACTCATGACCACATTTTCCTGACCTCTTTGTAATATATCGCTTTCTTCTCTTCCTTAGTTCTACGCCCGCTAAATTTACATCGTCCCTTTCTTGTTGCATCTAGAATCTAGTACAGCCCAGGCCCTCTATATAGTAAGGCTGGAGGTATTTAGAAAGCTTTCCTACTAGAATATACTATCTCTATTAATTGTTGGTGTTAGGAGAATTTAAAAACATACTTCCTTATTATAAATTTTTTCAAATCTCTATACTCTAACCATAGATCTCTAATAAGAGATATGAGTCTAGTGTATTGTCTAAAGCCTAAGAATACTATCTAAAATATCTACTTATTCTATTTTCTTTTTTAAGATAATCCTTCAACTTAACCCTCGTTTATTTAATCTTTGTATTAAGTAAAAGTCCATTTTAATAGACTCTAATTCTATACTTAATAAAATACTTATCGAATTAATAAAACTAGGCCGAGTCCCTAGACGTAGAATATTAATATTAAAAATTCTATCAGAGTTACGTTATCACTTTCCTTAGTTAAGATTATTCAGAATATCCTTATATCTTATACTTTACTATGGATGGTAAGGTGTACTATAAGCGGGAGTTGACTGCATATAATCGGGCATATACAATTCTCTTGGTCAATTTAGATATAGAAACAAGAACAACCAAAAGTAAGAAAATTAAACAACAAATGAGGTCTATGCAATCACTCCCACAAAATTCATCAATCAATTCAAGAAATGAATTTCTTTCCAAATATGAATATACTTCCGAACCACCTCCTCACTCACTGGCCCAACAGCTGCGAGAGTTTTGGAGTGCTCCAGGGTATGCTTCACATCCAAAACGAGCCCTCCGCACGACATGCGAAGATAATTGCTATCCAGGAACTCCAGCAGCGTGGAGGCAGGATTGTTGCGCTGCGGAGCGGCCTTCACGCGCTCCACCCACTCCTCGAAGGGAATCAGGTTCTTGATGCCCAGGGCGTCGGCCAGGATGGCATTCGTCTCCTTCCACGACTGACCAACCGGATTCTCAATGTGGTAGATTGGGTAAGGGGTATTGTCGGCCAAAACCAGATCAGAGAGGGTGCCTGCAATGTCATTCACAGGTGTCCAGTACACGGTGCCAGGAACATCGGGCAGGGCATTCAGGGTCTGCGACGACTTGATCAGGAAGCCGAAGTGCTCCATTGGGTTCCAGTACCCGCTCGTCTTGGATCCGGCGATCTGGCCTAGGCGTACCACCATGGTTCGGAATCGGTTTGGGTGCTGCTTGAGCGTCTGATCGAGCATTCGTTCGCAGCCCCACTTGGCTTCGCCGTAGCCGTTAGTAAGGACGCTGTCAATGTCGACGCTTTGTTCTGGGACCAGGGTCCTTTCCTGCCCATTGCCAAGCCCGTAGTGGCCGACCACACCGACTGAGGATATCATCTGGAAGCTAAACTTGAATGACTCGGGTCGTGTGGCACTGACGGCACAGGCAAAGTCGATGAGGTTGCGAACAACCTGGAACTGCGATTCGAACCCAGCCAAGGCTCGCTTCGCGCTCATCGGCCAGGCATTGTGAATCAGATGCGTGACCGAGCCGACCAGACTGTCGTATTCGCTCTTCGCCAATCCAAACATAGGCTTCGAGCTGTCGGTCTGCAGACAGAGCAGCTTTGGCTTAAGTGCCTCAGGGAATCGAATGCCCTTCTCTCTCATAGCCTTTTGCTGGCGGGTGTATGGCTCAGCGCGGTTTTCGCGGTTCAAACAGACAACCGTCTTCACGTCTGGGAGCTGAGCGAGGTGGTAAACCACGTGTCCACCCAAGCTGCCGGAAGCTCCAGTCACGAGGACGACTTTCTCGTTGGTATTTGATGCAGTCGCTGATGGGAACAATATAGGGACAGCAAATCCAGCGGTGTATTTCTCCACATACTCGGTGACTGCATCCCGTCGCGCTGCAAGAGCAACTGGGTCCAACACCGGAATCTCCTTGAGGGGGTCTTCCTCCAGAGTCTCTGGCCCAGCAGTAACAGGAAGCTCAGACAAGGCAGGAGCAACATCACCAGCAACGGAGCCGCCCACCAAGAATTGCTTCAAGTCAGCGACGGTCGGGCACTCTAGGAACAACGATTCGTGCTGGATGTCCAACTGGAGCTCGTCTCGGAGCCGACTGACGATAACGAGAGACAGCAGTGAGTCGACTCCGGAGTCACCAAAGTTGGTATCTTCGGTAAGCTCCTCGACGGCGACACCACTCTCCTCGGAGATGATCTCCAATGCCCTTTTGAAATCAACGCTAGAGGACAGGCCGTGCTCATCCATCGTCGGCGTAGTAGCCCCCGTGCCAGAACTGAAAGGCGTCGCTTCACCGGAATCACTCGACGCCGAGTAGGTAGCTGATGAGGTGGATCCACTTGCACCACCCATGAGTCTCTTCAAGTCTCCAACGGTGGGGTACTCGAAGAAGAATGCCTCGAAGTCAAGGTCGAGATCGAGTTCTTCCTTGAAGCGCGCCGAAATAGTCAGGCCCAGGAGGGAGTCGATACCAACGTCGCCAAAAACCGTGCTATCGCTTAGGTCGCCCACAGCAAGGCCGCTCTCGTCTGTAATGATGGACAAAGCTTCTGTGAATCTAGAAGAATTCAGCGGTTGAGCGAGAGCAGCAGGAATCGAGGCGGATGAAGGAGCTCTGGGTGCAATAGTTTGCTTCGCTTTGACAGACTGCTGCTTCTGCGACTTGGCACCACTCTCAATCGAAAGAATGACCTTCAAAACTCGCCGCGGGACCCCTTGGATCTGCCATTCGTTAGCCTTACGGGTTCCGACTTAAACATAAGAAAACATACCGCGATCTGGCCGAAGGCCGCCACGACCTTATCCCCATCAAAAACCACAACATCGCCATGCCAAAGCTTGTCAGAACCCTCTTCCATGCGCGTGTATGTTGTATACACTTTTTCAAAGTCAATGGGCTCGAAGATCTGGAAGGAGCCCCAGCCGTGATTCATGAAGACCTCATTATCCAAGTCTGTGCCATCATTGCAGTTCATGGTGAACCCACAAGACTGTGTGAGAGAATCGATGATAGCTGGATGCGTGTGGAAATCGCCTCCTCTCTTCACATTACCGTAGCTCAGACGGCTAGAAGCCTCAAGGGTGTTGCTGTTCAACACAATCTCATCAATTGCTCTGTAGTCGTCGTGGAATCGGGCAAGGGGGCGAATTGCCCGGTAAACCATCGGCCTGTTGAAACGGGCGGACGTTTCCTTGGCGATTCCATCGCGAAGAGCTTGCATCTTTGCTTTGAGTTGACTTGCATTATTTTGGAGAGCCTTTTGCAAGTTGTGGTCCTTGAATCTAACCACACAGCGCGCGTGCTCTTGAAGTTTCTGCTTGGTCTGTTTCTTGGTTAGAAGGTGATCGAATGAACAGTGATTGTAAAAGGATCTCACTCACATCAAAGGACATAAACTTGATTGAAGTTGCCTGTGACGACCAATCCACGTCGGCATGAGCTTGGAGAAGCTGAGATGTCGCTCCCTCGCGCAGGATCAGCGCCTTTGAAATCGTCATATCAGATACGTCCACGAGATTCTCCTCCTGTGTTGGAAGATAGCGTTTGAGGAGGTATGTGCCCAGGCTCAACGCAATATCGGCATAAATCGAGGGAGTGCAGAGCGGGATTCCGTCCACTTCATGACCCTGGACAAGAGGGCTCATATCTTGGCGAGCGATGTTAGCCTCGACCACCATATGGGTTTTGCTCGAGTCGCCGGACTCCTCGACGATGCGGTGGATGGTGGTGGTCTCCAGCTTCGGACCGGCGCTGACTGTCAGCGGCGGGTCACCCTTACGCAAGGACCAGTCGTTGACGTATTGCATCCAGTATTCCTTGAGATCCCAGCTGTAAGCAGGCAGCGGAAGCACTGTGTGAGAGCCTTCGAAGTCACGCTGATACTCGGCCCAGTTGATATCGGCTCCCACAGTATAGAGCGACTTCAATGCAGCGGTAAGCATCTGCCAGATGGATCGAGCCCGCTGGGCAGTGGCGAGAGTAACCATGTGCGATCCAAGCACCGCCTTCAGCATACCGGAGATTGCGGGGTGCGGGCCGATCTCGATGGTAGGAGTGTGCTCCGTGATGACCTGTGCATCGTATCCGGCTTTCAGTGCAGAGAACATGTTGACCGGCTCCCTGGCGTGACGCGCGAGATACGCAGGATCGAACTCCCCGCTTCGAACGATTGACCCATTCAAAGGGCACAGAACAGGAATGTTCGGATTAGAGAACGAAACGCCAGCGGCAATGGCCTCAAAATCGGACATAATTGGGTCGACCTGGGAGGAGTGAAAAGCATAGGGAACTTTCAGCAGGGTGCATTTCATGCCAGCTGCCGTCAGGATCTCCTTGTAGGACGCGATATCATCGTTCGATCCCGCCAGCACTGTTTCCATTGGGGAGTTGATGCAAGCTGTCTCGTATTGCTTCTCCTTGAGGACACTAGCAATCTCGCTCACTGAGCTCCGGACGACAAGCATGGAGTGAGTGTCGTGAGTGCACTTGGCTTGAAGCAGCTCAGCCCGCTTGCCGACCAAGTAGACGGTATCGGTATCTGACAGCACGCCTGCCACGTTCAATGCAGCATATTCACCAAGACTGTGTCCAACGACAGCTGTGGGTGCAACATTCCAAGAGGCCCAGAGCTTGCTCAGCGCGATTTGCATGCAAACACTAGCCAGCTGCACAGCTGTGGGGGCAAAAGCGCCAATGTCGGACTCATCAGACTGAATGACAGGCATGAATGAAGGGAAGCCTAGACTTTGGGAGATCATATCCAGTCGGATCATCTCATTTCGGAAGAGCGAGAAGTGCTCGAACATTTCTTTGCCCATTCCCGGGTATTGGGCCCCCTGGCCAGTAAATGTGAACACGACCTTCGGGACGCTCTTGGGTCGCGTCATGCCAGCGTTATCCTGAAGCGCAGTCTCGATTTGACGGCAAAGATCCTCAACGCTCGACCCACTAAGCATAACGCGATGTTGGTGATGAATTCGACGGGCGGTTGTTGTGTAAGATAGCTGTCCGAGTGGAACAGTGGACTCTCCTTTGAGGAAAGCAAGAAGCGATCGGAGATTTCCCTGCAATGAAGCACCAACCTTGCCCGAAACTGCAATGAGATGAATGGTGCGCGGGTCGACACTTGTCGTAGTGGGTTGATCCCGAACGGGGGCATCTTCGATCAATAAGGCCGAGTTACCGCCGGCCGCACTGAAGTTGTTCACGAACGCGCGACGTGGCTTTGACAAATCATCACTTCGCTCCCATTTCGTCGCCTGCAAGGCAATATTGACATTTCGCTGCTGCAGATCGGTTGGGAACTTGCGATTGATCTTGGTCTTGATGCCACAATGTGGGACGATCATGTTCTTCTGCATCATCAGGAGCACCTTAATAAGCGCAGACACGCCCGAGGCAGCTTCACCGTGGCCAATGTTTGCCTTTGCTGAGCCGAGATAGAGGGCTTGTGCATCTGTTCGAGCCTTATTTACCTTGTCTATTGCAGGTGCAAAAGTGTCAAGCACACTGGTCATCTCTCCCGCGTCACCGGCTTGAGTGCCACTACACAGTCATGAGATGATTAGCCAAATATATTTTGGAAGTCATTGGAAGATTCGTTATGACTCACGTTCCATGCATTTCCACATAGCTCACACTGTAAGGATCCACGGCGGCTTGGTTCAAAATCTTATTGAAGATTGCCCGCTGAGCCCCGGAGTGCGGCCGGGTGATCGACTCCGACTCGGCAGAGTGGTTGGTGTAGGCACCAAGAATCAGACCCAAGATGGGATCTTTATCGGCAATTGCATCGTCGAGTCGCTTGATAATAATCGTCCCGATACCTTCACCACGACAGTATCCATCCGCACTATCGTCGAACGTCTTGCAATTACCGGTTCGCGACAAGAAATGGCCCCGGTCGAGCCCGGCTGTGAAGTCCGGGTTTGTCAAGACGTTGGTACCACCCGCGATCGCGGTGTCGATGTCACCTCGCCAAAGCGAGTTGCAGGCCAGGTGAATACCGGCAAGACTGGACGAGCAGGCTGTATCAACTGCATAGCTGGGACCACTGAACTTGAAGCAATAGTTGATACGCCCGGGGATGAATGCACGATTCCCGCCGGGAATGAAGTACGTGTCGATGTTTTGGGCGCTATTTGTCTCCATCCAGTCATTGCTGGTTACGCCGTAGAAAACTCCCACCCGGTCGCGTCTGGTGGATGGAGTGGCATCGGGAACAAGACCGGCCTGTTCAATTGCTTCGTATGCGGTCATCAGGGCCAGTCTTTGCGCAGGGTCGATCTGCGGGGCTTCGCGCGGAGAGATGTTGAAAAAGCGAGCATCAAATGCGGCCGGATCATCTAGCCAGCAGCCAAACGGCGTAGCACTGGTGTTTTTGCGGCTTCCGGTGGGATCGACGTGCGTTTTGACGTCCCAGTGAAGGGCAGGAGCGGGCTTGTGAACATCCAACCCCTGATAGAGGAGGTTCCAGAAGGCCTCATTGTCTTTGGCGCCAGGAAAGCGCCCCGACATGGCAATGATAGCCAGCTTTGGCTTCTTCGGCGGCGCAGCAGAGGTGATGGGTGTTCTGGTGGATGATAGATTGGCAATTGTCGGTGGTAACAGGGGTCGTAGATCTGATTGCTTGAGGGCAGTGTATATCAGGTTGTGAGCCGTCGTACCGATTGGAACCACGGTGAACAACTGCGGGCTGACACTCTGAATGCAACCTTGGAGCTCGTCAAGCAGGTCATTCCAGCGAATTGGGTGCATCAATATCTGCCCAATGGCTGCTTTCAACAAAGATCCAAATGTGCGCCCGCTGGTTGTGCCTGTGCTCGAAAGCACAGGGACGTGTTCAATGCGCATAAAGTCATCATTGGCCGCTATTTGATCAGCTATAGCGCTAATGTCGAACTCGGAGTATAGATGCTGAGCATGGTAAGGCCCAAATATCGGAATTAACTTAGATCTAACATCTTTACAGAACTCGGAGTTGAAGAGTTTAGTCAGTGACTTGGGTGGTCCACTAACAGTGATACCATTCGGCGCGTAGGCACTGATATAAGGCTTGCTAGTCAATGGTAGGGTCTAGTATGAAATTATCAGATCGTGTTATTCTGTATTTGACCTTGATATTCATTAACTCACAGTGTTTTCACAGAATTGATGAATAGCCTCCACACTTGATGGACCCGGGATAATTGCCGACCAGCTCAGTTTGGGCTCATTTGAAGAGGTGACTCGATGTGCGACGTCCTTGACTCGGACTCCCACGCGAAAGGCGACCATAACAGCTTTGACAGCCAGTGGAACAAGGTCAATAACGCTGCGACTGCAAGCTACCGCAACAGCAGCTAGTGCACCGGTGCAAAGACCAACTACGCGAGACTTCTGGGCGGAAAAGTCATCGGGTTGGACTTGAGTAATGAACAGTCCAAGTTGATAAAGACAGGTCGTAGCCATGTCTAGTGGAATAAGGCCATTTCCGCTCTGGCCCCAGAGCAGCAGATCATCCACGCAAGTGAATCGGGGATAGGTCTCTCGAGTGGACGGAGGCAGGTTGTAGATTTCGACACGAACGGCATCGTACGACCTCACAAGGAAGTCCTCCAAGACAGGGTTGCTCCTGCTCTGAAGGAGCTCCTGAATGTGTGGCTGAAGATCATATGTCTGATCTCCAAAGAGATATAACTTCAGATGGTTGGCCATGATGCAAGAATTGTAGAACATCAAGCCCAGAACATGGAATGGTGATTCTGAGGCTGGGCTCTCTCACTATAGTGATCAAGTCGATTTGACGAGCTCTTTCTATTCATATTTCAACTCTTCGCTCGGGCTTCGAGATATCATCAAATGTACATCTGAGTCAAAAGCTGCTTACTCTCCAAATATGCCAAGGCATCACCACAATACGCACGGGAAACGAAGATATCACAGCCCTCTGCCAACATGCGACCTCCGGGTCCATTGCGAGCCTATAGAACGCTATCATTATTACGGATGTATGTATCGGGTATTGTTTCTCTGGAAAATGTAGACTATTCTCCGGGTCATCATCGAATCATAACCCGAGGAGCATTATCGTCTCGGAAGTCCAGAGTCGGTGGTCATGTCGGGTCTATGAACGGCATATCGCGAGGCTGAAACTCAATATCTTTATCTCTCGTGCTCATGTCTGCCGAATTCATATTTGCTTGACATCTATATTGCAACTCCGAAACAATCCCGAAATCAACGCCCGACTCAGTCCCGATGGAAGGCGTGATTGACGAGGCATGGCCCTTTCTTCCCGTTTCTGTCTTCCCATCCCCACGTGTAAGTTCATGGAAGATGACAGACCAATAGAGAGATACAAGTCTCCTCCCTGTATCTTGCCTCTTCGATTCACTACAGACCTGATGCTGTCTTCGTATTGTACATCAGGTATTCTCGAATTTGGGAAAAGCCCAGGTTAAAGAACGCGTAGGTGTACAGTATACTTGAGTGTGTTTTGATCATGATATCGTCCTCGCTAGTATAATTCATTCCAATAGTCCTAATACAGAGATAACACTACTCCCTCATCTACTTTGCAAGAGCAGAGACGCCCCGCACTTGATTTAGTAGCCCTTGGACGTCTTCTGGAAGAACGTCTCCGCGCCAAGCAACCATCCCATCCGGACGCACCAGAACCAGCCGACGATCGTAGAGCTTTGCGACATCGGAATTCTTGATTGAAGCAGTCTCAAAAGGAATGGAAAGTTTCTTCGCAAGCACTTCAATCTCCGCATCCCCTTCGGTCTCATCTCCAAAGCATAGAAGAACGAAACCACCACCGAAAAGATCGATAGTCGACCGGCCTTCGCTAAGCCAGTAATGCGGCGCACGATGGCCAGGTCTGGCAGTCTGGATATAGATCTCTGGGTCATCCAGTGGTGCAGGCGACCCATCGGGCACAATCAATGGAGATTCGGAGTAATTATAGCCCAAAGCAAGTCCCAAGGACTGGAACTCTTGTCGCATGTTCGCAGCCATGTTTTCACCTAGGGCCTGCCTCTGCTCATCCGCTTCGGGCCCAGAGTCAAGAACTCTGTCCCGACCGTTGCTGTTGATCCAGATGGAGAAGTTGCGGGTTGAACCTGCTCCATTGCGCAGCGCGACGGGGCGTCGTTCAGTGGTGTAAGCATCCACTAGGCCGGGGCCGCCCCATCCTTCAAGCAGGCTCTGCAACACCCAACTCAGACCCATCACATCACCCACACCGGTGTTTAAGCCATGTCCACCGGTGGGAGACATGGTATGCGCTGCATCGCCGGCAAGGAAGATCCGACCTTGATGATACTTCTCGGCCGTGTACTGGCTGCGCCGCCACTGCACGGTCTTGATGACTTCGTACTCGACGTCGTCTCTTCCAAGAGCCTTACGGAGCAAACCATCTATATCGAACGTCGACAAGTCTTTCTTTTCCTTGCCGCCAACCACCGAGAAACGCCACAGCGCGCGGCCGTCAATCGTTGTGAAGTTCCCCCATGTTCCATCGGGTCCGATGAACATGAACCGCTCCGCGGGGATCCAGTTATGGTGCTTCTGGAGGTGCACGCGCACGATCGAGCTGATCGCGTATCCTAGGTCTTTCCCGTCGAACGAGATGCCCAGCGATTTCCGCACGATGCTGCTCGCTCCATCGCAGGCCACCACGTACCGCGCGCGCACGGCATCAGAGGCGTTGTCGGACACACGTCGCAGGTGACAGACCACCCCGTCGGCGTCCTGGTCGCACCGGACGAGTTCCGTGCTGTAGCGGATTTCCGCCATGCCCTGGCGCTGGACGGCCCGCGCGATCACCGGATCGAACCAGATCTGCGGGCAGCGCCGGAGCACTTCGGCGGACTGCTTGGGGACTTCGCGCGTCGCGGCGGAAGGCATCACCAACCGTCCGATGAAGTGGCCGTTCATGGCCGTGCAGAAAACAGTGTCGCCGGGTAGATCGTCCGGGTATCCTGCGTGAGCGACATCATCGCGAATTCCCAGGAGTCGGCAGAACTCCATCGTGCGCTCGTCGATGACGCTGGCCTTGGCGTGCAGCTCGGACTCGGTGCTGGCGTCGCGCTCGACGATGGTAGACCGAATCCCACGACGACCAAGGTCGAGGGCGAGGGTGAGGCCGACGGGGCCTGCGCCCACGATGAGGATATCTACTGTCTCGACGCTGCCCATGGTTGAAAAGTCCCCTTTGGGGATCAAATAGAAGCACTAAAAGACTGAGATTTCGATTTGGAATGAAAGAGCTAGCTCAAATTTAAGATGGCCCAAAAATGCAATTGACCACCGATCTCATGTGCGCTGTTTAGGCGGGCACGCGTGGGCTGGCCATATTTCTGCTTCCTGATATACGAATATCGCCAGCTTCCTGATTGATCGCCCGATGCTCTCGGCCGGGGTTTCAAATCTGCATGCCTGTATGCATCTCCAGAGACCGCCGAGGCCGAGGCGGGCTTAGCGGGTAATACTAGCTGAATTACATTTTGAAACCCGAATGTACCCCGGGCAGGCCACCCATGACCCGACGTCGGCCAGCAAGTCCTGTTGCAGTCGGATGCTGCAAGAAACGTAGCCCGATCATGCTAGTAATATTCTCTTGTCGTTGTCCGTAAAGCTTGTATGTGGGCGGGGGTGGTGAAGGTTGAAACATATATTACCAGCCAATCTATACTGTGCATCCCGCGTAGTCAAACCATACACGGACCCTTCGGTTCGGTCAAGCCCCACCATGGATCACCTTCTCGATCTATACCAGACCCATCGAGCACTACTCCTCCCTACAGTGCTCAGCTGTGCAATTCTCCTAGCCCACTGGCTCCGTCGCGACCGCCGCCTCGAAACCATCCCAGGCCCCAAAACCACTCCTTTCATCGGCGTAGGCTACAAACTGCCCCCCAAAGCCCCGTTGCTATTTCGCCAATGGGCCCAAGAATATGGCGACGTCTTCCGCATCCGCGTCGGCTGGTACAACTGGGTCGTCATCAACAGCCCCGATGCTGTCCGCGAGATCCTGGAGAAACAAGCCGTGAAAACCTCCTCGAAAGCGCCTTCCCCCATGGGCCATGACATCGTCACCGCCGCCAAGCGCATGCCGACCATGGCGTACGGCCCGCAGTGGCGCGCGCAGCGCTCCGTTGTGCGCCAGGTCACCACCGTCCCGATCACGGCGACCTTCGTGCCCAGCCAGGAGTTTGAGGCGAAGCAGCTGCTCTTCGACCTTGCGAGTGATAACGCCAATCAGCGCAATTTCTACCAGCACATGCGCCGGTACGCGTTTAGTATCATCATGACCAATACGTTCGGTACCCGCGTTAAGAGCTGGGACCACCCCGATGCGCAAAACGCGGTGCGCAGCCAGGCCATCCTGCGTCGCACGTCTCGACCCGGCGCATTTCTGGTCGACGAGTTCCCCCCGCTGGCGCGTCTGCCGGAATGGCTCCAGCCCGGGCGCAAGGACGCGCTCGCGGCCGCCGCAGAGGTCCGCGAAATCAAGATGGGCCTCTGGCACCGGCTGGAGAAGCAGTACGAGGCGGGCGCCGCGCCACACTGCTTCGCGAAAACCATCCTCGAAAACAAAGAGGCGTGGTACGCACAGGGCCTCAACGAGGAGGATCTCGCCTGGGTAGCCGGCGGGCTAGTCGAAGCCGGCTTCGAGACCTCCGCCGCCACCCTGAACAGCCTGGTGCTGCACCTCGCCGCGAACCCGCGCGTCCAGCAAGCTGCCCACGACGAGCTCGCTCGCGTCGTCGGCCCCAACCGCCCGCCCGCTTTCACGGACCTGCCCCGTCTGCCGTACCTGCGCGCCTGCGTCAAGGAGATGCTGCGCATGAACCCCATCCTCGCGCCGGGTATCCGCCACTACGCGGACCAGGACGTCATATACAAGAACCACGTCATCCCCAAGGGCACTGTGCTGGTCGCTAACACGGCCTTCTTGCACTATGACCCTGCGCGCTTCGAGCAACCCTTCGAGTTCCGCCCGGAGCGCTACCTCGAGCATAAACTCTACAGCGCCGAGTACGCGGCCATGAGCGATCCGTACATGCGCGACCACTTCACGTTTAGCACGGGCCGGCGCACGTGCCCCGGTGCGCGGCTCGCGGAGAACTCATTGAATATCGCGCTGGGCAATATGCTGTGGGCGTTTGAGATTCGGCCCCCGCTGGGCGAGGATGGCGTAGAGGGGGTAATGGATCTGAGTGACAATGCGTACCCGGATGGTGGGTTTACCATCCCGAAGCCCTTTGCGGCACGGTTTGTGCCGAGGAGCGAGGAGATGCTGGAATTGGTGAAGAGCCAGTGGGAGGTCGCGGCGCAGGAAGGGTATGAGCTGCGGGGTGTGACAGTTGACATGGATGGGATGGTGCGGGAATAAAGGGGGAGATAGAGATTCAGCCTGTAGCACGTGTATTTGTGGCAGGAAGGAATGTTGGAGATAAGCGAAATTTTGGAAACTCGGGTATATAGACTGCATCGGTCATGTTGACTATTCTATGGGATCTGGGCTTCGAGCCAAACAAGACTGATCTTGGGATCTTCGTCCGGAGCAATATGTACATCGCGGTGTACGCCGACGACCTCCTGATCGTGGGGCCAAGCATTACGGAAATAAAGATCAAGCGGAGCCTCAGAACCCGTTATCACATGACAGGTTTAGGACCGTGCAGCTACCTTCTCGGGATGTGCATCCAGCGAGACCGTATCTGAGTCAAGAAGCGTATATTGATAAAGTTGATTTGCGGTAGCCCGCATATCGCTTCGGCGGTGGATTCTTTTACACAGATACCACCAATTTCTCTCCGCTAACGCCTTTGCGCATCAATTCTAGACCCCTTTCTAGCTTGTCAAACCCACGACCCACCTCGTGCACTGGAAGTGGCAGTTTGTATTTCTCTTCCTCCAACAATCTCTCCAAAGATTTCATTATATTCTCATTTCCAGACAATTTAGGCAGATCCCGTCCCCTGAATAAGACTGATTCGATGCCACTTGGGACCTTGATCTCGTTGTCACCGGTCCACACTTGTGCATATTTCTTTGGCCCTTGGGCATCAAATGTCTCAAAGATATGGCTCTGTAAGCCACCGGCGCCGACGGCATCGATGATCGCGTCCACGCCTCGATATTCTAGAGTTTGCGATTTGACGTGTGTGACTAATGTCTCAGACCCTCTATCGATTACGCTATCGGCACCAAGTGTATCCTTAATGTAAGCATGGTGCCGAGGAGAGCTTGTGGTCAGGATTCTACAGCCAGGGACTGCAAGACGAAGAAGTTGAATGGTGGCAGCGCCGACTGCTGAGCTTCCACCGAGTATGAGGACAGAACAGGGATTGAATCCTGCCGTCTCTCCGCCTTCGAGAAAAGGCAGTGGAGTCTTTAACCCAATGCCAAGTGCCATGATGCCCGTGAGAAAGCATACCCTAAATGATTCCTGAGTCAGCCTAAAATTCTAAGTACTTCGAATAAGGCGTAAGTGAGTGGGTGGGTGGGTGGGCGAGTGAGTGTTTCTGAGAGAAAGGGAGAGGGAGGGAGAGGTACCCAAGAGTTGAGGCTTGTTCAAGTGTCCATGATTCAGGAATCCTAGCCACGTCCGCTTCCTTTAGGACCGCATATTGCTGGTACGATGCGGCACGATCGCCGGGTGTGAACAGAGCCAGGACTTTGTCACCCAGGCCTACTCTTTTCACGCTGCTTCCGATTTCCTCCACAATGCCTGCTCCGTCCAAGCCTGGTACAAATGGCCAGTCCTTGACTCTATGGCCCTGGTCAACCATTTTGTAGTCTGCAGGGTTGATTGCGATGGCTTTGAGGCGAATCAGAATTTCATCTGCGTCTCGTATCATTGGCTTTGTAGTGATTAGAGCTTCCAAGGGCCGACCTTTGTCTCTGGCCACATATCTGAGCATTCGCGTGGCCATATTGTCAACTTCTATAGGTTTTTAGGTTTTTCCCCGATCGAGTTTCTCTATTCAAGATAGCAGAATGTAAGGGCTGATCGCAGATACTCGTGTTCAATGGATGACAGCTTACCTCGGCATGTACTAATCCTGGTATTGAGAACCCTTAATTGTGGAGGGCGGTCTGTATAGTAGGATGTGAGAACATCTGTTTCTGATTCCTGTCCGATATATAAACGCCTTGGGAATTTGGGGTGTGAGTTATCTCTTTGTATCCGACGTCATTTAGACGGTGAGAACGGACTTACGAAAAGGGGCCGAATTTAAATCCGGGTTGCCCTTTTCGGTCGGCAGCCGAGGCGAGTCCTGGATTCATGGGCAGCACGTTCAAAACAATCGTAGACCTGGGCTTGCTTAAGTATGGGAAATGCACTGGTCTGAGGCTACCGCTTAGCTCCTTGAAACCTGGATTGCCCTCGGAAACCCAGCTGTGTCGGTAGTCGCTCAGGTATTGGCTGTAGCAAGTCCCAAACAGGTGATAAATTGGTCGGTGTTCCGAGAAGTCATGTCTGCCCGTCAGAGGACAGCGAAATACGTTCAAAAAAGCCATCTCGAAGCACTTAGTCAATTGCATCTCGAGTAGCTTTTGTTGGCAAGGAATGTTGCCGTGTTGCGTGGCTATGATTCACAAATAGACTCTTGGTGCATCTCTGACCCCTCTCTTGCTCCAGACTAGCAATTACTCATGAAGCTTGTGCTATACCTGCTACCTTAGGTTAGTATACTCCTAGAATATCATACGGTCATTTTGGAGGCTTAATAGAGTCCGGTAACAATAACCAGGGAACGAAAAATGAGCTGTCAAATTGCATTACTTGAATCATTTCGCGGAAAGCTTTCATGATTTACGGCGCAAAAGTGACACGGCCATTGCATACAGTCACAGTATCGGAATGCGCAGCTTCAAGCTTCATTATGTCATACGGTGAAAGTCTGCCAAGCAAAGGCTCGGGCTCTTGGCTTAAAGGTAAAGCTTGATTCCCGTCTCAATGAGTTATGCGCAACTATTGATCCATGGGTTCGGCAATTGACTCATGAACTGGATGTGTCGATGAGAATGGCATACCGGGTGGAAACCACCGGCAGAGAGAGTCAAAATGTGGGCTTCGGACTCACCCTCCATCTACGCGAAGAGACCATACAAGAGCTCAGGGATACTCTTGACCAGTTGGCGCAAGGACTATCCGCAGAAAAAAAACTTGAGACGGGAGAACCCTCGCATCACAGAGCGCTATCATCTAGTACCTTAAGTGATACTTCCCCGTAGGGGACTAGTATATGTGACGAACTACTCGTTTTCCAGGGAAGAAGATGAGACAGCCATAATCTGTATCTCCGAAACTTCTCGCCCCAGTGGCACTAGGTTCACTTTTAGATCTGATTGCCTTAGATCTCGGGGAAAACCGGCCCAATTCCTCTTAAAATACTAATTTACTTGCTATTGTTGGGATCCTGGCGAGTCTCCTTCACTTTGGAAAGAACCTCTCATGGGCTAGAGGCACAGTTAACACAAATGGCGTGCACTTCATTGGCGACGATCGTCCGGACGGACCTCTCCATTGCTCAAGCCTGCTTACATAGTGCAGGGTATTTCTGATCAAGGCGAGATAGCACCGCACTATTGCTTGTCAATATGGATCGACCGTCAGATATTCTCATTTAAACTTCGAGGCGTGCTGACCGCGTTCTTTGACGTGTCGCTATCGTTTCTCGTTGCCACATTGATTTCCTTCCTATAGCGGAATCAGCCAATTGCAGCCCTTGGACTCCTTGCGCGAGAAATTGCAATCATTCCTCAGCTTATCAGAAAATAATATTGCATATCTGCACGACATTAGGAACATTGCGAGGCGTCAAGGCAGCTAAACACTAACGGCCCAGACTATTCCCATCAATTATTGGGCGGTCCTAGAAACTGATAAATTAGAGCTGCGCGTCCTATGTTATTTTTCTACGCTAATTTATTCAATCAAAGGCCTGCTTTGAACACTATTTTTTAATTAGATTAATTTTCTTTCTATTTTTTTTTCCTTCACAGTAACAGTCCTGATTCCCTAGAAGGAAAGGCGTAGCCGAACTACGGCGGACCGGCTCGCCTAGCGTGTTTTACTGAGGGGGGGGGCGGCATGCGGCCAGCCACCAAACACTGATTACTCCCGTTTGCGTATTAGCGCAATCAAATTCATTTTGCCAGTAAACTCGTACGGCTAATTAGAACATGGTGTTTTGCTACTTCGCCTTAGCCAAAATCATTGGCAGTAAAATTGACCGAATACTGTCTCGTTTGAACACCAATTGTCTGACTCAAGAATACACTAGACGAGACTGCGGCGACGATGTGCAGACGAGTCTGCAGCGACGATGTGACAGCAGTGGGAGATTTGAGATAAGCGAACCATACTCCTTCCGACTCATGCAACTACTCATGCAACTACTCATGCAACTACTCATGCAACTACTCATGCATATAAAGGAGAAGGGTCCCGCGATTTTCATGAGAGATCAGCAACTCAACTTGAGATCAAATCACCGCAATGGGCGAAAATCTGCCGCGATACCCCGGACCGCCGAAATTGCGATCTAGCTGTGATCAATGCGGCAGCTCTAAAGTGAAATGTGATAAAGGACAACCTGAATGTGGGCGATGCATCTCACATGGCCTGCCATGCGCCTATGGGGTATCGCGCAAGATGGGAAAACCTCCGCGCCGTTCGAGTGTGTCGCGAAGTATGAGCAGTCCTGCCGCCGCCAATGAAAGCAACGGCAGCAATAACAGCACCAGCACCAGCAGCTCTGGTAGGACTGAGATGTTACTCGAGCTCGAACAGTCCGCTTGGACCACCTGTCTTGGTCCTACATGGGATCCAATGGACGAGGATAGTCACAGTAACTCGATTATGAACTTCTTCAATGCCGTAGGATTGGATTCCGAGCTTTCGATGCCAAGTTTTGCAAATTTTGCTGGTAGTTTCAATGATGAGGCTACGATGGAGCAACCCAACATCAGTCTGAACTCTTCTCACTTTCCGTCCGCTGCATCATCCCCGAGACCTGGAAGTTATCCGTCGCCTGGGGCCTATCTGCTCTCTAAAAACGAGACCACAGACCACTGGCGAGGCTCGGTAACCTCAAATAGAGTTGGCGACCATGTATGTCTGCAGAGACTGCATGAAATCCTTGAGTGTCTACCTGCCCTCGATTCTAGACAGGCTGAGTATGAGGCATCGCCACCAACAGCCTCCACAGCTACAAAAGAGAGCCCTCCCCAGGTAATGCCGCTTGACCTGATACTCCAACTCAACCGCAAAGCGACTGAGGGACTTTTTCCCCTTGTCACTTGTTCATGTACGAGATTACCTCATGTTGCTTTACTTTATGCGTCCATCATCTCCCAAATCCTGGCATGGTACCAGCGTGCTGCTGGCTGCACACAAACGAAGTCTCCCTCGAGTGCCAGTACAACGGCAACAGAGAAGCTCACTTTTGAGGGTAACGGCAACGGCACACCTGCGATAACAAGCCAGTCTGTTGAGATTACTGTCGTCCCATCAACAATGAAAATCGGAACCTTTAATGTCGATGATCAGCGCCTGCAAACTGCCATGAAGATCTGCTTGCTTTTAGGAGAGATGAAGCAGGTAAAGTGTTTGATGGACCAGCTTCGCTCACAAACCGATGCTTTGGAGTCTATGATTACTGGTGTCGAGGAAGTTTTTCGGAGCGTAAACTCATGGCTTGGACGGGATTATTTGAGAATATACGACATGATGCAGTTGAAGCTGAGAGAACTGAATACTTGAAACAGGACTAGTTATACCATCAAGATGAAGTTTCTACACCCATACCAAACATTAAACTAGTCTCATTCATTGCTTTAGATCTTGACCATACCGTCCATACCAACAGCTTTACCGCGCAGCTCATAACATTATTGGGCCGCAATTTCCTACTGTTCCTTGACCATCTCAATTTTTCCCTTACTTCTCGACAGAAATATGGCGGGAAATGGTTGGGAAGAGCAAATCAGCCTTCGGGATACGCATCATCATCCAGGTCCATCTCCCCCTCGAGACGGTCTACTACGGGCGGAGGGATCTCCAAGTCCACAGCACGTTGCAAAGAGCAATAATGAGCAATTTCTCCGCTAAGCTTACGCCAGGATGAATCCACCGACAGGTAAGGATGGTGCAATGGTCTCGCTTGCATGTTCCAAATGCCATCAGAGTAAGACTAGCGTTGCAATCCCCTAAAACAAGGGGTCGGGTCTCCCCGAAGGCGAGCCTACCTCCTGGATGATATCATGTCTACATCCTGTCTTGTCAGTCACATTATCTACATATAGTGACCTGCATAAAGCAGAGCTTTCCATAGATTGCTTTTCTTCTTCTTCCAACCACCAGAATCAAGATTGTTCTGCTTGACCTATCTTCCTCTTTCTTCCATCAGTACGCTGACAAGTTTGTATTGAAATATTCCGATGCAAAGCCCCATTGTGATACACAATGCTTCAAAATCAGTTTCTAGCTAATACCTCAGGCTTGACACGATGTGAACTTGCTTTCAATTCTGCTTTAAATTGCACTCACTGGGTGATGAATTCAGTCTGTCAATATACTAGCTCAACCCGCACGTCAATACAGTAAAAAGCCTTCAAAGTGGCGGTGACATCAATGGACTTGAGAAATTATTACATGAAATCTTGTCCCTACACTAACCTAGGACCATGTGTCGGGACCGAAGTATCCCTTCGCAGGCAGTTCGGTAATTAAAGCCAGCTGGCCAGAACCGCCGTCGAGCGTCGCGTCAAGCACGTTGTTACCCCACCAGCTAATCGCTTTCGGATGATACTGTACGGCGAAGAAGATAATAATGCCGGAGAATGCGACACCGCCAGTGAGAGCCGCCGAGAGGACATAGTTATACTTTTCCCACCATGTAGTCTTGTACCTCCGGAGGTAGAACATGAAAGCAGCAGAAAAGTAGAGACCGCCCCAGAAGTAAGTAAGGTTGATGGGGGCCCACCACAAGAATCCATTGAAGACGAGTGATGGATGGACGTGCTTGAGCCACGAAATTGGTGTGAAAATCAACACATTGATCGGGGTGAAAATAGCGGCAGGCAATTTAGACTTGCACGCGGCCCGGACATGCGATCCAAATCGTTTAGTGACCCACCACACAATCGCAAGGAGGAATCCCAGCAGGAAAGTATATTTCATAGTTGGATAGATCTGGCCGAAGATTCTCTTCGGACCAATAGCACCCTAAAGTGATGTTAGCTTCATGATCTGGCTTAGAAGAAATACAGGAAATTTCTTACCCAGATAACCGATGATGAATAGTAAACTTCTGAGCCATTTTCACAATTGAATGAGGAAGCCTGGTCCGCAGTACAAATTCCCGGAATGTCGTTATCGGCGAATTGCACAACACCATAGGCGACAAGGGCCGTAATGATAGCGCTCATTACTTGACCACGGTACATGGCTCGGGGAGGCACTTTGGCATAGAAACCCATTTTTTGATCAGAAATGTAGTTATCCGCTTGGCCGGCGATATTGTATCCGAAAGCCTTCACGAACATCAATGCTTCCGGGTGTCCAGGCAGAGCATATCCAACGATGAGCTCTGTAACGACGTTCAACCCTTCCGTTGTACCCGAGATTGCGTAGAGGTACGACATCGGGATCAGGAATACCAAATTGAGACCAATCACAAAAAAGATAGTCCAGACAGGAGCCCCAAGCTCAGGCCAGTTTGTACAAATAATTATGGAGAAGATGAAAGCGATCAGAGCGATAATCAAGAACCACCAGTCAGGAACTTCAGGATAATTGCGCATCAGCTTAGTGAATGGGTCGTCAAAATCGTCATAAATCGAGCCGTCCGCATTGAAAGCGTTGGACAAATGTCGACCTGCCTCACGCACATTGCCCTTGACAAGAGATTTGGTTGCATTCTTAACGCCGAGAATGAGGGTCCTAAGGGATGAGATAGCAGCCCTCGACACGGACTTATAAGCTCTGAGAAGTGGTCTCCAGGAATCCAGGAGAATGAAAACCATCGTAAGTGGGTAGAAAGCAAAGAATGCGCCATACAAGAGTAAATTTCCCGCGCTGTAGAACGCAGGAGAGTATGCTTTGTAGGCATCTTCATTGAGAGTTCCGGTGCGGGTATTCATCACTTTTGTAATGTTATAAGAGTTGCCAGTGTTGTCGAATATACCAGACGAGTTGATGGGGAGATAGGCTGCCCAGTTGGTGTTGGACCAGTACAATGCGATGATAATCAAACCACCCAAAAATGTGCCCATGAACTGCTGGGTGTATGAAAAGAACGGATAGGTGAGCGGGTATGAATAGACGGAGATGACATTCCAATCGAACGACGAAATGGGATTGAACCCGAGGCCGTTAATGGAGCCTGTTATCATGTTCAAGTTGAAGTTGTTTGGTGCGATCCAGGTCATCCATCCGAAGTAGCTCAGAGCTTGGAAAATGTAGTCTGGGAACCAAAAGTAGACGAACATGCTGGAAAAGACCAAGAAGAAGAATTTATACCGGGAGATACTCCACCCATGAATGACTTCCTTCTTCTCGGGGACCAGTAGCGCTCTGTTCAGGGCCAAAGTAGGCAAGATGTTGGGCCAAATGGCTTCGATTGGGTAAACCACGAAGCGACGAAGTAATCCGGAAAACCCAAGTCCCATGAGCTGGGTTGACAGCAAGAGTAGAATTTCGTATCCCGGAGTAAGCCATGTGTCCTTGTAGTAGACGGTCTGAGTCTGAATGTTCCAGAAGCAATAGGCAGAAGTCAGACCAACGTCGATGATGATGGTCGAAAGAACCTGTTCTTTGTACGTCCAGGGACCAGGATTGAGAGAAACTCTCTTGCCGCCCAAATTGAAGCCCCAGTCCGGAAGAACCATTGCAAGAAATAGACCACATGGATATAGTAGGATTTGCGCCACAGCAGATGATAGAGTGATGGTAGGATAACGCGAATTGAAAAGAGAGTTGGTGAATTGAGCAATAACGGCCCACATGTAGCCGAGCAAGTGAGCGCGAATGGTCTCGCAAGGAATGTTCGGATCATCCGTGGGTGTAGAAACGGCTCGCACCTCAGGGTATGGCGAGTAAAAGTGATTCAACGCAGTCTCGGTCTTCAGCTGCAGCTCCCATTCCTCCAGATCTTGCCCCTCAGAAGGTCCCTCAAGCAGGCGAGAAAGCTTATCTCTCACGGCGTTAGAGAGGTTATAGTCATACTCATGGTGCTTGAGAAGTCTTGTGAGGATATCTTTGCACTCGTCAATGGTCAAAGTGTTGACCTTGTCCATCACGTACTCGATATCTTCAATCGGTGCCATTTCATCACCACTGCCCACAAGTTTCTCGGCTAGGCCGTGCACTTTTTCATCGACATTGTCCACAGTGACCGGCACGTTGTCCTTCTCATTTTTCTCAGAGACGGCCGGCTCTGATGATTCCTCGTCCATTCTGTCGACAGAGGACATGGTGGGTTGCTTCCTCAGCTGGAGTAAAGTGATGGTCTAGCGGAGGATGGAGGTAATGGCCAAAGCCAACCAATATTTGCAATGATGCAAGAATGGTATACTTCTAGCTCGAGAGGAAGCAGAAGTCGCATGGAATGAAAGTATGGTAAGGCAGACTAAGGAAATGCAGCGCAGATCGGCACTTTATAGACCATGTTGCAGAGCTTCACCAGGTTATTACGCACATCTGTGTTACGATTCTAAATTGCACCATATCCTTAGAGTATGAAAGTATGATAAGGAAAATAATAAGTAGCCTATCAACGGGCTTTTCTTTCCCAGAAACATCGCGCCACCAAAATGGTTTGGCCTTGTACCGTACGAAGGCTAGCTTCCCCGTTAACCGAGTACGTGCCGCCTTCGCTGGCTCGAACTCAAGCTAATATGCAGGCGCTATCCTTCAGGCCAAATATTGATGAGCACCTTCTGAAAATCTTTACCAGGACTGCTCTGGTATCTTCCCGGTGTGAGTGTACTTGCGTGAATAATTGGGATGGGAGTCAAAAAGGTCGTATCAAATGATAGCGACATTCTCCTAGGCCTCTAGTGCCCAGTACAAATCAAAGGCCCAAGCGAGGCTAAGGTACACGTACGTGTAATTCTCGAATATTACCACCTAAGAGGCGACCTGAATGTCGCTTCACGGGTCCTGATCGTGCAATCAGCTGGCTTAAGCCTAAATCGTCGTATATCTAGGCCTTCCGTCGGTCCTCCGCCAAGCCGGGACTGACAGACTATCTGGGGTACGCGTTGAATCTACAAAGAGCGTTTTGACCGTCCAATCAGCTGGCTTTGCTTGTTTAAGCCTAAATCTTCGTATCTCTGGGCCGCCCGTCGGTTCTCCGCCAGTGCATGCATTACTGAGGGGAAGCCCGACATGAACCATTAATTGTGTAAATTACCGGTTAGATATTGATGTTATAACATATTACTTAGCTATCTCGTGAGATTGACCTCTGGCACGTACACGGACGGGCAAGCTGGTATTGTGGGTTACGTATCTTCTGGGAGTCGGCGCGGAACCGGACCACGGGATAGATAGGGTACTCGATCAAGATACCTGATTTTGCGATTTCACCCGGCATTTGTTTTCGACTCCTTCATCCACTACCAAAGCTAGCCCTCGTTGTATTTGTTTAGAGATAACCTGAATCACAATTGGTAAAGGTAGAAGGGCGGGGTTAGATAAGACAAAGTGTGCAGGGCGTTCGAGGGAAGAATAGGGGCGGGGTCTACACGTGGAGGACCAAAGGGAAGGGCGGCAAGGGAAATTTCCAGAACGAATCAAGAAAATAAAAAATAAAAACATACAACAGTCAGGATTCGCATGTGGTCACCCACCATACTACTAACTAACCGGCGTGTGGCTTAAGTACGGCTGAGCGGACGGGAAGCCCTGTTCTCCACACCCTATGGTCGTATGTATTTTCCTTGTGTTTAAAGAGAACTCAATGGTGCAATATGTAGATGTAACAATGTCGCATTGCGTGATTGGGGGTAGGAATGGTGGGTGCGTAAAAGACAGGGTAAGAAGCAGGGTGAGAGTGGCAGCAATATCAAAGCAGTTGTTAAATAGTCGCAAATATGTAGATTTGATAAGTTTCTAGGGACATGGCCCCTGGGTGAAGGTACAGTATCCGCTAGCAAAAATATGGCCCCAACCAGTCAAGGTAATATCTCCGGATTCTTCGTAAAGTTTCGCCACTTCCCAAATATTGATAACCATACCATCATGAGAGAATGATATAAGTTATGTTTGTCGATAAATTAATTTGCAATTTAGCGTACTTCTTAGAACGTTTAGTCGCGACCACCAAACATAAATAGAGCAATATAAGAAGAGAGAAGAAAGAAAACAAGCTTCTCACCAACTTGTCCTTGGGTGGAGATCTGCAGGGTTGGGTCTGCTGACCATGAAATAAAGGGAAATACAGCCGATAGGCTTGAGACGGACTCGTATTGCTAAAATACCAGACTCGGCTCAGATGATCAGAGTTTAAGCCCTATCAACCCCCGGTAAATAGTTGCCTTTTTTGACCACGCCGACGCTTTTCAGCCCCTAAAGATATGACACCTCTTGCTGATTTCACGCTCCAGTTCGCATCAACATTGTATTCCTCCAAGACCAAGAGGCTCGAGTCCTCAAGCTCGAAACAACCTGCCACTTATCATGATCCCATCGCGCGCCAAACATCTCGCAGATTACACGGTCGGATAGATACATGTTTAACCGGCCGAGATAGCAGCCGCCAGGCAATGATAGATGATTTTCATAAGGACTCTCCCGCCCCAAGTTCAGAATACATACACCCTTGTAGGATTTGGAGACATGATGTTGTTATTGCATATCTACCAAATGGGTCATACGGAATCGCACAAGCTACTACTGTCGCTATGCAATTATTGACCACTTTTCACTCCATCCGCTTTGGTTTGCTTGTTGGCGTCGGAGTAAGGTCCCCAATAAAGATGCAGATATACGTCTGGGCGGTGCGGTGGTTAGCAACCAAGGTGGCTCCCACAATGGACTCTGTTCAAAATGATATTGCCAAGTGTTGCCAAGGCACTAAGTGGTGGGCGATTTGAGCAAACTGGCACGCTCAACCGCCCGCCGGTTCTCCTAACTGCACTCACGAAGTTGCAAATCACAGCTCCGTAAATCCCCTATTCATCGGATATATTCGTGACATGGAACACACTCGACCTTCAATAGCCTCGAGTTTTGTTCATCATGCCCAGGAAGACCGCCTTTTTCGCCCCAAAGTACCATCCTTATTTCAATAGCTAAAATTTACATTTTTTCATTAGTGTGTATTGTTCGCTTGTATTTGACACCTACCTAATTGGAAATACAGCATAGTTTCCATTCATTATATGCAGGGTAGTGTGATGAGATCATCAGATCCAGAAGAAAAAGGTTCATTTGATCAAGAGATCGAGTCTTAGGGGAAAAAAAGAAGAGAAAAGAGAAACAACAGGGCGGGCACGCTTTGACCCTGCGAAGCGCATTCAGTGTCACAGTCCATTGGTTGAAGTACACGTGCGCGCATACTCTGGCGCGCATCTCCGCAGCGGGCCGGCACCGCTGCTCGATCCACTCGATATCATCTTCCCTCCAAATGAAGGCAATGGACGTATTTGATGATTTGAAAAAGTGACCAGATTTTGCAAAACATTATAGAATTATCATCATCGTAGAGGATAGGGCTTTCCTGGCGAGATAGGAGAAGACTGTCCACGATGGAATGAATTGGGCCGCCACAAGAATGTAGGAAGCTAGACAGGGATTATAGACCAAGTGGATTCCAGTATTGATCCATGTACATGGGCTTCCAGTGAAATGAAGCCAGCCCCGCTCGCACTGCCTCTCCAGCTAAGCACTGGCGTGAAACGTTGGAAAGAACCTACTCCAGCCTGCTTCATTATGATCAGCTCTTCCCATTTTCCTCACAACATCGCCCCTCGAACCAACTTTTTCACCCAACAAAATGTCTGAACCAAATGTGGATGGAGAGGCTCTGAACCAGCTACAGGTCGAACAGGGCTGGCTTCTTGACACCATCGATGACTTGCGCAACATCGGTATTAGCGGTCTTGTCGACCTGCCACAGTTGATAGTTTGTGGTAACCAATCCAGTGGGAAAAGCTCTGTTCTTGAAGCTATATCTCGTGTGCGCTTTCCTGTCAAAAGCAACATTTGTACTCGATTTGCCACTGAGGTCAGCCTGCGACGCCATCCAGTAACCCGCTTCAAGGTTTCCATCGAGCCTGGAGCTTCACGGGTATCTGAGGCCGACCGAGAGAAAGTCCGAGAGTTTGCTCCAGAAGCGTTCACCAACAGCGACCAGTTGCCAGCCTTGATCGAGCAAGCCAAAGAATGCATGGGTATTCAAAGTGAAAAAGGGGTCAGCGACGACGTTCTCAAGATTGAGATATCTGGCCCCGACAAACCGGAACTGACGCTTGTCGATCTCCCTGGGCTTTACTACTCAAAAAGTGCCAACCAAGGAGCCGAAGGAATCAGTATTGCACGAGGCCTCACAGAGCAGTATATGAAAAGCCCGCGCAGTATCATCTTAGCTACTGTATCAGCCAAGGCCGATTATCACCTTCAGGAGGTTCTCGATATTGCAGCCAAATTCGATCCTACCCGTGACAGAACTATTGGCATTATCACTCAGCCTGATAGAGTGGAACAACACTCCGAAGAGGAAGATACTTGGCTGGAAATCGCGAAAAACGAAAAGATACGGCTGCGACTCGGGTGGCATACGTTGCGGAATCGGTCATTTGAAACTCGCGACACGTCCGATGAAGAGAGAGATAATCTTGAGAGACAATTCTTCAATCAAGGACGGTGGAGCACGGTGGCAAGAGACAGCGTTGGAATTGATAGCTTGAGACGTCGGCTCAGCGGCATATTGTTGGAACATATCCGTCACAGCTTGCCAGAGCTTATCCAAGACATCGAAAAGAAGTTGCTCGATCGGCAGACAAAGTTTGCCAAAATAGGTGCTCCTCGGTCGACCCTTCAACAGCAGAAGGGATTTCTGCTTGCCCTCAGCAGCAACTTTGAGCGCATCACCAATCAGGCTTTAAATGGAATGTATACAGATGGCTTTTTTGCCGAGTCTGACAACTCCCATTCATTCGCTATCTCTGACACTCGCCGTCTTCGTGCCACCATTCGTCAGTTGAACGAATATTTTGCAGAAGCCATGGAGAGATATGGTTGCAAGATAAGGATCATCGGGGTCAACGAAGACACTCTCCCCACCTCCACCTTCTTTGCCAATCCTTATACTCAAATCAGACTTCCTCTGAGTAAGCATCGGCAAGACGTTGAAAAAGAGATAGATCAACAGGCTCGCCGAAACCGTGGAATCGAGCTACCAGGAGCTGCAAATCAGCTTTTGGTCGGAAGTGTCTTTCGAGACCAGTCACAACCCTGGGAACAAATTGCGAGGGTTCACCTGGTCAGAACGTGGGAGGCAGTGGAGAGTTTTGTCAACTTGGTCTTGCAATACCTCACGGATGAACGTACCTACCAACTCTTGATGGGCAGTATTCTTGCTCCACAACTTCAAAACATGAAGGACGGCCTGCTTTCAAAGCTTGATGAATTGACAGCGTACAATAAGCGAGGGCATCCCCTCCCTCTTGGAAAAAGCTTTCTTCAGCGAGTCCATAAGTCCCGAGCTGATCGGCAGAGCAAGTTATTGGAGAATGTTCTGGGACAAAAGCTGCCAAAAAAGGACGGAGGATATTCATTATCGCATATAAAGGCAGCCGTTAGCACCTTGGAAGAAACCGAAGATCAATTCGCCGCCGCCGAGATTATCGAGCAGATGCAAGCATACTACGAAGTGAGTCGATAAATTTGGCTTTAGTTTTCGAAGTCAAGAATATTGATAAGTTTACTATAGACTGCGATTGTAACATTCATTGATAATGTTACAACACTGGGAATTGAGAATTGTCTTCTTGACCCCTTGAGTGGCATTTTGACAAGCCAAACTATCAACAATATGGAAGACAAACAAGTCCAAGACTTGGCTGGGGAGGCGTCCTACATAACAGAGGAGCGTGACCGTCTAATCCGAGAACAGGAAAAGCTGCAAAACAGCTTAAGTGTTCTAAACAAATGCAAAATTCAAAAGAAATTCACCCTCAAGCCCTTCACCGATCAACCCGGACCATCAAAGTCTACAAAGATTCCTGAACGACCAGTCACTGCCAAGCCTTTTCAATGGCCAAAATCAAAAGGAGATTCTATCTTCGCCTCACAAGACAGTATTTTTGCCACTGCTCACGCTTCCCAGCCACCAGTATCTTCTGGCGGACGCCTGTCTGGGGGCCCAAGTATCACAGATATGTCGACCCCGAAAGAAGCAGGACTTTTTGGATCACCACTAGCTAGCGGCCCATTTGGCAGTGGAGGCTCAACCTTGGCCCGTGGTACCAATGCTCCTGGTCCACAGCAAAGTCAGCTGTTTCCTGCGACGCGGTCTGGGTCACCCTTTATGCCCTCTGAACGTAATCCTGGTGCCTGGGTTTTTTGGACTCCTAATAAATAGAATAGATCGCTCTTTAGAGGAAGCCTAAATGCGCTGAAGAGGTAGTATTTTAGAGAAAATGATGATTGTAATCTTTGGCTATAAGTCATACAAGCTTAGTAATCTTATTATTTCTTAGCGTATCAGCCAAGTCAGCTGGATCGTACTCTCTTATGGGTATCAGTTAATTATTCTAATCTGATAGTATGTGTGATATATAATACGGAAAATAGCGTGGAATTAGTACGAAATGGAAAGGCCGCAAACAAAGTAATGGGAATAATTTTAAAATAGAGTTATGCGCTACATGCATGTAGATAGATAGCCTTCCATTTGAAGATATATATACTAATATCATCATAGAATATTCATGTACTCTCCCTCTCCGCTTCATTCGTCCACTAGAAACCTCGAGTTCTGGTAAAGGAGGAATTTTCAGGAGCCACTCACTACAGCTACCGACTAAGTAGAGATAGAAACTAAATAACATCTTTAAGAGCGTAAAACGCCGGTCATACTTATTAATAGCTCTTGGCGCTATGAGCCACCAAGAGGGGAAGAAGACTTTGATACTATAGGATGAAGAGCATAGATAGTATGTTAGATAGCTGCTAGGGGAGAAAAAAGAGGGAATGGTAGAAGGTCCTAAGGATATACCGCACAAAATGGGACAAGAGCGCTGCACTAGGTCATATTACCCTGGCCATTCTTTATATGATATTCCTTACAACGCTTCGCGGTTTGTGCCGCAATGTCTTCTCTGTTACCCTCTTTATAATCCCCTTCTCCACCAGCGTTATTAATTTCAAAGTCTGGAATATATACCTCATATTACAACATGTTCACACCACGTTAAAATCCCGGACGTGTGACGTGTTACCTATCATATGTACACAGCGAAAGTCTATCTATCGTTCGTTCTTCAACAAGAATCCGGAGCTCGCAGTATGTCCATCCATATGTGCAATACTTGCTCTGATTCCAATCTCGTTGCGATGTAACATCAGATCACATCGTAGAACCAAAAGAGATCCGCAGGGAGTTGAAAAGTTAATCAAGACGTTAAGATCGCTTTTTCGGGTCCAGCCGGTCTGGAATTTAGGTTTAAAGCGGGGCAGTACATGTGCTTCCGTGTTGAAAACCACTTCAGTGAGAGGGAGAAACTCCCTGGGAGAAAACAGCAGATATAAATATTTCAAGGTTTCAGCCTAATTTGAAATCCAGGTTAGCTTAGAACTGTTGAAAGAATAAAATCAGGGAACATGGAGAAGTGTATGTCTCACCAGCCAAAAGCTCTCCATATTGTCACGTTGGGACGGCGTAGTTTGAGTCACATCGTGCAAAGACGTATATCCCTCTCCATCGGGAACCAGGGTGTGTTTCTGGAACGCCTTGAAGATCTCCCAGCCCCATTTTCGGTAGATGGGGTCATTCGTAACTCTGAACATTAAGAAGAGACTCTCCACAGTCTCCGGACGTTGCAGGTTGTGGGCATCGGCAGGTCTGATATTGAAGTCTTGTTTCCAAGAATCCTTCTTGTTGCTGCTTCGCGGCCAAGGTCGACTTGATGACCTGGAATTTGGCTTGAGCTCGTCGGAATCGGCCTCGAACCAAGAGATCTCCGGAGCGAGACCGGATTCAGTGACAGCGTACATCGCCCAGCAAGTCTTCATCAATTCTCTTGCCAGTTCCATCTGTCTCTCCTTCTGCGCACTCCAGGACGGCAGCTTACAAGCCTCAGCTTCTGTTCGTCCTTCCGTAGCACCAATTGCGATCGAACCGGGCAAGTAACAAACAAGATGGTCCATTTTTGGCGATAGCTTACCACCAATTCCCTAAGGAAGCTCGGCAATGGCCCATAGATAGGAGTGTTTAGTGGTGATGACAAGCTGTTTCTGAATCCCCGCGAGAGCCTCTTCCCACATATCGCTATAAATGGGCTCCTCGCCGTAGGTTTGGAGATATTGTTTCACCAGATATTCTTCCAAAGAGTCAGCTTGACATTGTGCATTATTCGAAGAGAATCAAGAAGTACCATAGTAGGAGTCACCGCGACTACCGAGGCGGATTTCTTAGTATGGAAACTGCCTGTGTGCGGATTGACGAAGATAGGCAACAGGCCATCTTGCATGCGGTGGCCATCGAGCACCTTTTGACCGATCCATTAGCCTCAAATCTAATGGTCAATTAGAGCCCACCATGGTAGGCCACAGGAAAGGGGGTTGATTACCTCCATAATGTGCTCGGCTTTGCGCCAATAGACCTCCTGTCCCGTCAGTTGCGCGAGGTACTTCATCTCCAACTGCAGAGTGGCCGCCTCGGCTGTCGACGAAGCCCCACCATCCGTGTGAGATGGAAGACCTTTTCGGGTCCCAATGTTGACACTGGCATAGGGAATTCCCGTTTTGGTGTCATAGGCGCTCAAAAGCCTATCAGCCAAGTCGAGTGCTTTGGCCATATAAATGTAGTCCCGGCGGGAGGATACGTCTGGAAGTTGGGTCGATAGGTAGTGTGCCGATAGTAGCCCGCCGAGCATACGAATGGTGGTCTCAAAGGTATTCACATCTTGGTCCTGATCATAGCTCAAGCCGCGATTCAACCATTTCCGGGCATCGGAGAGCTGTGTCGTAAGATTCATGATCATCAACGTGTCTAAACTGTCCACAATGATCCATCCCAGGCCGCTGGGGCTCATTTGTCCACCAGTTTTGGAAACGGGGTGGAAAACATCGGTTCCTACACGCCGGCCGGGGTTAACTTTGCCAGGCTGATACGTGGAATGTAGCACTGTCTGTTGACTTTGGACCCTGGCGCTCGGCACGCTCTGAACTTACCTCACGAATATTTGGCATAGGCATCCCAACTGGTGGTAAATGCTTCTTTTACTTCCTCGCGATGGCCATCCCAATAGCTATCCTGGTCGATGGGACGAAAGTAATCCAAATCAATTTCTGTACTAGGCGTGTACAGGTGAGTCCCGACCCCAAAGGCCAATCCACCGATCAGCAGAGTGCTAATCACCCTCTTACGCGAGTGACGATGCCGAGGCTTTGGCTGTTTGGGGCGTGTTGATGGCATAGCCGATTGAGATGTCGGCCAAATTCGTGCGGGGGGCCCTGGCTAGGGGCCAAATCCACACGGCATATCCCGTCCGTCTTTTTTGTCAATTTTAGCGTGGTTTCGAAATTGGTGTCATGAATGTAAGGTACTAGCCAGTCTTGGCTAGTATTGGATTATCAATTATAATTCAAAAATCCCCCACCAATTGGCTTTCCTTGTTTCACTCTACAGACTTGAAAATGGCGTCGGAGATTCGAATGTGAATTAAGCAACGCGATTAAACTCAGAAACTCAATCTTGGATGAATACGAGTTATTGAGATACACTTTCTGGCCACATGCGAGGAGACACGCTAAGGCTGCCTTAGCGCGACGCTAGTAAACTTGTGTATGCGATTACCTAAAACTAGCATTATGTCCACTTGCTTCGTCGTGTTTACCAATCAGAAGGTAAGATTAGTGTTATTGTAATCTGAGCTGGTAATATCACTTCGGTGAGTTAAATTATGACCTGGGCGGTATTGTCTCCTCGGATGTGGCCAGAGAGTGTAATAGAGAAACAAAAAGTATATCAATTTGACCACATTGAAAGTAACATGATCAAGTAAATATATTCAAATGTTCAAGCGGTAAACGCCATGGTCAACGATTTGGGAGAACATTCACAAGGGTGGTGAATGGTCCTATTTTGATGCCCTAAGGAGCCAGGAGAGGCGAGTAAAATTTGAGATATCTCTAGTTCAATTACGGTGATCGCTTGCATAAGTCCGCGCGCAGGTGGATCCTATTGTACTATTTACTAAACTAGCTCGGTTGTGATCTTGTAAGAGTAGTCAGATGTCTAAATTGTCCTATTTACCACATCATCTTGTCAAACTATGCCTACCGATATTGCCAAGCGAAAATTCGTAGGCATAGTCGTCCGATTAAGTCTTTTAGAAAAAGAGTACGTACGTCAAGGTGGAAGTATATTAAAAACCGCTTTTTCTTCTTAGATTGAGATCGTTGGTCACTAAGGTAACAGAGTAATTTATTTAAGATCAATGCCGAAGTGGGATTCGTTTATCCGCAGTAATTGAAGATGAGGGTAGTAACCGAGTATCAGGTGATTGAAGTAGTGAAAAAAAAAATAGTGACATGAACGGCCCTGTCTCCGTGGATATAGCCAGAGAGTGTAGTAAGACTTCTATATTGCAACTTCCGACATAAACAGTACAAGGAAACTGCGGTGCCGCATCAGCGTCAACGGCCGACATGCGGCACCAAAACAGACCTGTCATCAATGCAATCTATTGATTGGTCGATATCACCAGACTAGTCGCCGCCGGTTTGTGTGTGTGTGCTGGAGAGTAACTTACATTAGCACGAAATCCTCCGGCGCATAGGCGTGGGGGCGAGGGGCAATCTGGAGAGATATCCAGTTAGAGCACAAGGACGATCTTTATAACCACACGTAAATCCTGCTCTCCCGGTCGGCATTGGCCACATTCTCCAACAAGCTAGAACCTCATGTGCAGCAAGTGAAACGATATTTGCCGTCATCCCTAGCAATCATTCACCGCAGCGAGGTCCACGCCGTTCCTCGGCGATACTTGCAACCATTCTTGAATTTCCGGTAAGCGACCAGTCCCTGTGAGCCCAATGTCGTGAGCTTATAACCCTGCGGGCCGACTCGAAGCTAAATATCATACTTTCCAAGCGATTGCAGCATTGACCGTTTTCTCAATGTTTTCGTACTCTAGTGCAGCTACACTCTCGGCGCAGACGGATGGAAGTACCATCACATCGTTTGTCCCTCTCACCACAGTATATACGTTCCCAAGTTCATGTTCAACAAAATACCGCCTGGATGGACCGAGTCTCATGGCGTTCGACCCGGCCTACGGAATGGACGTGCAAACGGGAGTAGTCTGTGTTCCTCCAGCCCAAACCACATGGTGGGAAAGCGAAGTGGTCACTGGTACTGGCGACTATACAAGAAAAGAGCATTGGGCCCATCGAGTGCCCTTCAGATTGGTCGACGCTCGCGACTTCCATCAAGGACTCTACCAGCACCGCTGTGATGTGCTGTCCCTCGTAAGTGGGATTCCCCAGCTACTGCTCATGCGAGGCTTAATTGAGGGCCACTGATCTAATAACCATAAAAATCAGTGGTTACTACTTATATGGTGCTACCGCGGGACAAATTACAGGGGCTTGCCATTCCAATGTTACCTCAGGGATGACCATGACATATGGATCCACCTCAGATGACTCGGACTCCTTCACAATGGCCACATCGACCATGTCCTCGAGCTCTACCGTGGGCGCAATAGCCATCGTCGGGTGGAACGTCCAGTACGTAGTCTCAGTCACGGTCAGTGCAACGTCCACGTCAACTGCCATTTCCATTGCTACTTCAACTGCCACTTTCACCTCCACTACCTCAACCAATTCCTCTACAACACATTCTACTTCTTCAACCGCATCGGAAACATCCGGCTCGAGCACGGGCGGGGGCCTGATTGTAGGAGCGAAGACGGGAATTGGCGTGGGTGTTGTTGTGATGGCCTTGATAGCTGCCCTGTAGATTTTTGCTCGACGATGGAAGGCACCGAAGGGTCGAGCCGTATCCGAGCTGCCGGGTTCTACCCAACAGGTACACTTCCCCGGCGCGAGGCAAGGCAGCTCGGCGGTGCTGAGGGAATTGGATGGATCCAGCTATTTCTCCAGCCAGAATGCCCACTCCCCAGTCGAGTTGGGTTGATGGCCTGTTGCGCTATACATCCCGCAACTTTCCAAGGTGGGAAGCCGATATCAATTGATCGATGATGAGTCCAAAGTCTCAAGGTTGGAAATACTAATTGGGGGGGGAGAAGGCCTCCTAGGATGCATTTTCTTTTCTTCTCTTCGCTGGTAATAGCTAGGCCCTGCCTTTTAATGTTTTAAGGCGCTTTACTTATCAAACACCTAATTAATCTCATTTGTTCCTTTGAATTACCTGAGCATAGAATCATGATATTCCCGGCTCACTATGTCAACTACTACTATGTCACAACGATCACAACGGAATAGTGAGTAGTAGGAGGCCAGAATCGGTCGCCTAATCATATATACCGATTGTTCACCAAAATGACATAGTATTTTCGGCACCACCATATGATATACCAGGGCGGTGAAAGAAAACAAGAGTCGGGAATGCGAATCGGATAAAAATTCGAAAAAGAATGGACTCGCGGGGAATCGAACCCCGGACCACTCCCATGCTAAGGGAGTATTATACCACTAAACCACAAGCCCATTTGATGAAAGCGATATAGCTTTTTTGCTATATGATTCAAAATTGTTAATAAGCCTGTCGAAACCCACTACCGGTTTACCAACATGTGATTTCACATCAGTGTCCAATTAATTTTCGTCTAATGTGAGAATCAAACACCTGTTTAACAGTATTTCTGAATCTAGATGTTTGCTTTTAACTTTGAAGTATACAGGTGTGCGTGTGTGCCTGAAGTCGATACAGTCAGGAATATATATAATGTCTCAGAGTTCTCACCTCAATGAATGTATGTAAGTGCTGGATTTTATTCTAAGGGTTGAATCCACGAATGCTCTGGCTTAAGATACACCGAAAAATACAAATCTTGGTTTGAAGCCTGGAAATACATAACTCACAAGGTATTAGCACCATGTGTTCTCTGCTTCCAAGGTTTACGTATACATGCATATGGCCGGAAGCGGAGTTACCCCATGCTGGTTATTCCGATACGATATGATTTGTCGAACTCCTGCAGCTACTGGGAATACCCTGCGCAAGAAAAGCGTAAAGTTTCCGAGGATCTAAGTCTACCCAACCCAACACCTGTAGGATAAATCAATGTTGCCCAATTTGCCCTATAGTGCAATTACTTAACCGGTTGAATACCACATGGCGGGTGACCCACCTGAGCACACCCGCTAACCAATCGCCACGCGCAATGTAAAAAATTAAACCTTCTGAATGGAGTCTAGAAGACCCTCTTGAACCTCTGAGAACCAATAAGACCGAACACCCACCATGAACACACTTTCCAAGTCTTGGCTTACATGACTCCGACTTTTCAATTGCTAATAGTACCTCCTCCCCGGCCTTTCAAGACTCCTCTTTTCTCAACGTATATAATCCACAAACGCAAACCATATCACAATCAAAAATTTTTTACTCAGCGCCGCGTGAAAAAGACCGGAAAAATTCAACGGCAAAATTCGCGCTTAGAATGTCTACTGAGGCCGGGCCTACCAGCACATCATATGTCGCTGTCGACCATCAACCCGGCCTCCTTTCGCACTCCCAGGATGCTGTGATCACATCCACTGATGAGAGGGCGACTGCTCTGGCAAAGGAAGAGAAGCCTGCGGCTCACGTAGGCGACTTTGAGAAGCAGGCCCGAGCGGAATCTGCCGATCTGGAGCATGAATCTACCCAAGATGATACGTTCCATCGAACGGCATCCACTGTAGCCCCTTCGCATCGTTCTGTTCATAGAGACCCTATGAGTCGGGTAACGACAGATGCGGAGGGGAACGTTTATCCTGAGGGTGGAAGAGAGGCATGGCTTGTGGTGTTTGGAAGCTTTCTCGGCCTTTTTGGATCACTTGGATTGATCAATACCATTGGTACTTTCCAGGCCTATATTGAGGAACACCAGCTGAAAGACTACAGCTCCGGCGATGTCGGCTGGATTTTTGGCATGTTCGCCTTCTTGACATTCTTCTGTGGTGTCCAGATTGGCCCTATATTCGATGCCCGTGGTCCGCGGGCTCTCATTTTCGCGGGCTCGGTCTGTGAAATGGCGTTTGTTATTCTTCTTGGGTTTTGTACCAAGTACTGGCATTTTATGCTGGTTGTCGGCGTACTCGGTGGTGTGGGGGCATCTCTCATTTTCACTCCGGCGATCTCGGCAGTTGGCCATTTCTTCTACGAGAAACGTGGTGTTGCAACCGGTCTCGCAGCTACCGGTGGCTCGATTGGAGGCATCGTGTTTCCACTTGTTCTCGAAGCTCTTTTTCCCAAGATAGGATGGGCATGGGCAACTCGTGTAGTTGCTTTGATCTGTCTGGTTGTTCTGTCCGTAGCAAACCTCCTGATCAAGTCCCGACTTCCGCAAAAGCCCTTCTCCAAAGAGAACATTCTTCCCGATTTCCGCATTTTCAGTGATCCTCGATTTGCACTGACCACGGCGAGCGTCTTCTTCATCGAATGGGGTCTTTTCATTCCCATCAGCTACATCTCATCTTATGCACTCGACCAGGGATTCTCCAGCAAATTCTCATACCAGATCCTTGCCATTCTGAATGTGGGCTCCTTCTTTGGACGTTGGCTACCCGGGTTCTTTGCTGACTTCTTGGGTCGCTTCAACACTCTAATCGCTACCGTGGCTCTTTGCCTACTCTGCAATGCATGCTTATGGCTTCCCGCGGGAAACAGTCTGGCTCTACTTGTGATATATGCACTACTTTTTGGATTCGCTAGTGGTAGCAACATCAGCTTGACGCCCGTCTGTGTCGGCCAACTCTGCAAGACCGAGCACTACGGTCGGTATTACGCTACCGCTTACACCATCGTAAGCTTTGGGTGAGTTCTTTTATCCACTTGCGTGGAAATCCTTCCTGACATAATGTGCACTTCGAACTGACATACTTTGCTACCAGTACCTTGACCGGTATGCCCATAGCTGGTGAAATCCTGGCGCGGTGCAACGGGCAATACTGGGGTGTTATTACGTTCACTACCGTCTGCTATGCAGCAGGGTTGATCTGCTGCACATCTGTGAAGGTCATTCAAGTCGGATGGCGTAAGCCATTGTCGATTTACTAGAGCCTTGACACTCCTACATTCCATGATCGCAACATGACTTGACGACAGAAAAAGGTTTCGGATCAAAAGTTACCTATCTTATTTTGACGACATTGAGAAGCGTGGTTCTAATTTTAATTATGGCTTTGCTATAGCAACTAACAGAAAGCCCTTTGCATATACATGATGTGAATATTAAAGATAGCCTGATCTTGCTAATAAAATTTATTTTCTTCCATTGATCCCATCTGGCAATACTGAAGAAGCCGGATGACGAGTCCGAAGATCATCTCTCGAAAATTTCACAATTAAAGTCGATTCTCACTGAGATCTCCGATCCGAAAATTGCTCTCGCATGTATTTTCCGACAGGAAAACATACCCCCAGGCACTTCAAAACCGATCTATGTAACCACATAGTCACGATGATGGTGCATGGGATCCAATACTCAAGAAACGAAGCCTCCGAGCATTTCCAATAGGGCGGCCAGAACCTACGGGCATCCACGGAACCAGAGATCTATAGGGCCGGTAAAATCCAAGCCTAAGAAACTTGGAGAGTCGAGGCTCCGAGTCCCGAAATGGTATCTCGATGACATCGAGCGTTCATCACTCTTTCGAAGAGTTTTCATTGCTCTATATTATGCCTCCTTGCTCGTGCGCTCTCTCTCCTTTTCCTTTTATCATCCTCGCTTGATACTAGAGATATTGCTTGATGTATAAGATCTATATCCAAGATCAATATCGACCTTCCGTTTACTTCCCGAAGTTAGAAGTTGCAGGCGCCTGTGTTCCGATCTGTCTTTTCGCAATCGGCGGCTGTTTTCTTCTTTTCAGATTCCTTTTGGGCTCCTTGTTATCAAATACCTTTCGTGGACCTACCTGCTTCTTCGGTTCAATCGGTCTTCAGCGAGTCAAAGCCGTGGTTAAGAAAGATTGAGACTTGGAGCATCCGCTTCTGAATACGTCTCGACCAAGGCTACCGTCTGATCATGTACCCGAAGAGCCGCCTGGCCTTGTTGGCTGCTTCTTGGGTATTCCTAGGCAGTGTCATCGGTGCAGATCAGATCGTTGCCGCTCGTGGTGCGGGCAAGTTGGAAGAGCGTGACGCTGCTTGTCAACGCACCAAACCTCCTACTCTTGCCGCCACTGCATCCTCAGCAGGCATCTGTCCCATTGCAAGCGCACTGTGTGCTGCGTGCCCTGGCTCCACCACAACGGTGACAGTACGATTCTGTCCGAGTGCAGGTGCAAGCACGGGTGGAGGATCGAGATCAGCATCGGGATCAGGGGAAGGAGGAAGCAGCAGCGCTCCAAGCAGCAGTGCTCCAAGCAGCAGTGCTCCAAGCAGTAGCGCGCCAAGCAGCAGCTCCGGCCTAATTTACAACAATAGCCCGGCTTCACCCTCCCAAACAATCAAGCCTAGCTCTACACCCTTGGGACCCTCCCGAAGCTCCACACCTCTGATATCCGGCAGCCGCAGCGGCACCCCACCCAGAGGAGGTATTTTGCAGACACTACCGGCGGTACCTGCGACACCAGCCGGGCTTGGGGCTGGAGCTGGAGCAGGCAGCTCTTTTACTCCGCGAGCGGTGATTACACCCGGTATAGTGCGACGCCAGATGATGAGGGTGATGAATATGACTGCGCCGTTCGCTAACACGAGCAGTGTTCACACAAATGCGACGAGTACTTTAAACATGACAAGGCTACTAACCAGCTCAACTATCACTGAGGCAACTGGGTTTCGGTTTCATTTGAGGAACCAGGTGTAATAGGAGGAAATTGTGTTGAAAAATGGAAATTCGATCTATTTCGTTTGTTACTGTGATCAATTTGATGTAATGATATAAATTTGCTGGAATGTTAAAGGAAAAGAATAGAGAAAGACTTGTCACGAGATAAGAACCTGATATTCCAGGCACATATCAGGTGTGTTGTTCATGATGATTAAACCCCGTGTTACCCCGCCAAGTTGATAGCAGATATGCGGATCTCATGACCCGATGACCTGGATTACATTTTGTTGGTTATGCAGCTTATCTCGAGGAGACCCTTTATGGACCTTGATTCCATGAGATGACCACATGTTGAGCATATCTGGTTATCCGTGCAGCCATACATGGATGACTCTTCTACACGTAATTGCTTATCGATAGGTCGGTGCTCAGTGCTTAGGCCTTGGATACTGTGTACATCATGTACATGGCATATTTCGTGAACCACATTTCTGCAGGTATGACGCCTCAGTTAAGTGAGGAAATTGTGAGTTGTCTCGGACAGTTTCATAGATTATCTTGCGGTGAAGCGGAAATGTCGAATCTCCGGTTCTCTGTTCCTTAGTCACATGGCTTGATCAGGCACCGCTGAACGTTAAAAAACTAAGGGCAATTTCCACCGGGACCGGAGCCAATGATAGTGTATGCCTTTGCCTTTTGCATGAGAGACTGACAACACCGTTTGCGAGAGACAACGAAAAAAGGGCTGAGTCCGCAGTCCACTTTTCTGAGTGGACGAGACTTAAGGTTCGGACTGGATCTATCCACAAATGCGCTATGATTGGCGGACAGACCGAATCACCCACGGATTTCCCTCTTTTCATTTTCTTTCTTTCTGATGGGGGCTTTGACCTTGGGGACCGAATTTCGGGAGAGGTTTGGATTGAGAGTGGGGGAGGGAAATCACCGAGAACTCACAAGGAAAAAAACCCGCAAGATTGGAGAAAAGTACGGGATCGACCAGGCTTGGGCGATCATCACGCTTTTGAGCCCGCGTTCGTTCGATAACCCTTTCTTGAGATGAAACGAGCCTTCTCTGATCCTATACTCTATATATGAATCAGTCCGTGCGTTCATTCTCGTTTAATTTTGATGGATTCAATAAACCATTTTGTGATGTTTATAAACCCATAAAGAAAATAAAGAATTATATGTAGTGATTGCTATGCTTGTACGGAGTACATAGCCCCTTTTGAAATACCCTTTTTTTTAAAACCATTTTCCCCTCTTACGCCTTTTTAATCGGTCAACTTCGTTTATATTTAACTGTCTAAGATCAGCTTTTGCTCCTTCTGGTGTTTTTGTAAAATAAAATTCATCTTGTCCTTCTTATTATCACTTGAAAATCCTATAAGCTCCTTTCCCCCGCAAAAGAAATATCAAAAAAAAAAAGAAAAGAACGATCTGCTTACCTAACGCCCCTTATCCGTTCCTTCTCCCCCCTCCCCTTCCCGACCTTCAACAAACGTTCTTTCATCCCCCGAACGACTCGGGTTCTATTGTATTGGTCTGCGAAGTATTTGCAATCACCTCATGTCGCCTTAAACCGATTTTCTTGGAACTTGTGTGTCAGGAACTCGTCCCGTAAGTCGTCTGTTCTGGGTCCGCCCATAATATCGAATCAATTCTCCCAAACTCCCTTTTTCCACCCAAATGGCCGTTTGATATGGCTATCCCTGATGCATCGACTTGTTTTGAAAATTCCTTTCGTCCGAGGATTTCCTTCCTTATCTGCAAAGCGCCCTTTCAGATAAACGCGGTTGCTCGTGTTTTCTTCAACTGCTGATCTGGACCTAGGGCACAATGGCTGGCGCGGACGAGACTCTCGCGGCCGCGACTGCCGTGCTGCAGTCTTTGGCGAGAGATGAGCCCACAACCGGCTCTGCCTCGCCCCCTTTCAATTTTGAATTCCCTCCAACCAACGGCGCGAAAGGGTCCAAACTGCCCGGAGAACCTACCGCTGCAAAGGCCGCCTTCGAAACTGAGTTGGAGGCCTTGGTGCGTCGCGTGCATCACCTGGAATTCCAAGCTGTCAGTCATCACAAGTTCCCCGACGACCCCAAGCAGGCCACACCGTCTGCTCTCGGATCCATTGAGAAGGACCCTGATTTTCTGTGGACCTTTGGGCTCGATCGCTTGTCGTCCGGTCAAGGTTCTGACTCTTCTTCTTGCCTCACACAGCAGCAAAAACTGAATCAACCCGATCGGCGACAACGGACCCCTTCGGGCCCCGAGGAACATCCCCCCGGAGACCTTGACGACGACGAAACCGACGACGAGGATGAGAATGGGTCCGCGACCCGCGTGGTTCGAGAGGAGGATATCAGTATTCTGCGCAACCACGTCCAGAAGCAGGCCGAAGAAATCAGTTTCCAGAAGGACATTATCGCCCAGGTTCGGGATGAGCTACAGAAACAGGAGGAACACACCCGCCGCGCCCTCACTAAGGTCGAGAATGAAGACGTCGTTCTCCTGGAACGCGAACTACGCAAGCATCAGCAAGCCAACGAGGCTTTCCAGAAAGCCTTGCGGGAAATCGGCGGCATCATCACCCAGGTCGCTAACGGTGACCTCTCGATGAAGGTGCAGATTCACCCCTTGGAAATGGACCCGGAAATCGCCACATTCAAACGTACGATCAACACTATGATGGATCAATTGCAGGTATTTGGTAGCGAGGTGTCTCGTGTCGCCCGTGAAGTCGGCACAGAGGGAATACTAGGTGGACAAGCTCAAATTACTGGCGTCCATGGAATCTGGAAGGAACTCACTGAAAATGTGAACATTATGGCCAAGAATCTAACGGATCAGGTGCGAGAAATCGCTACTGTCACAACGGCTGTCGCCCACGGTGATCTCTCTCAGAAGATTGAGAGCCGTGCTCAGGGTGAAATTCTGGAACTGCAACAAACAATCAATACCATGGTGGACCAACTGCGAACATTTGCAACGGAGGTGACGCGAGTCGCGCGTGATGTCGGTACAGAAGGTGTCCTAGGAGGTCAAGCTCAAATTGAAGGAGTACAAGGAATGTGGAACGAACTGACTGTCAATGTTAACGCCATGGCCAATAATTTGACTACCCAGGTGCGTGATATCGCAACCGTCACCAAGGCTGTCGCCAAGGGTGACCTGACGCAGAAGGTGCAAGCCAACTGCCGAGGTGAAATAGCCGAGCTTAAGGACATTATCAATTCCATGGTGGACCAGCTACGACAATTTGCCCAAGAGGTCACGAAGATCGCCAAGGAGGTCGGTACTGATGGTGTACTGGGAGGTCAAGCCACTGTGAATGATGTCGAAGGCACATGGAAGGATCTCACCGAAAATGTAAACCGGATGGCCAACAACCTGACCACCCAGGTGCGTGAGATTGCCGATGTCACCACAGCCGTTGCCAAGGGTGATTTGACGAAGAAGGTCACCGCCAACGTCCAAGGCGAGATACTTGATCTCAAGAGCACCATTAACGGCATGGTGGATCGTCTGAATACGTTTGCCTTCGAGGTCAGCAAGGTCGCCCGTGAGGTCGGTACCGACGGGACCCTTGGTGGTCAAGCCAAGGTAGATAACGTGGAAGGAAAATGGAAAGACCTGACCGACAATGTCAACACCATGGCGCAAAATCTGACATCGCAAGTGCGAAGTATCTCAGACGTCACACAGGCTATTGCCAAGGGTGACCTGAGTAAGAAGATCGAGGTCCACGCACAGGGAGAAATTCTCACCTTGAAGGTCACCATCAACCACATGGTGGGTCGACTGGCCAAGTTCGCCACGGAGCTCAAGAAGGTCGCCCGTGATGTCGGTGTCGATGGTAAGATGGGTGGACAAGCCAACGTCGAGGGAATTGCCGGAACATGGAAGGAAATCACCGAGGATGTCAATACCATGGCTGAGAACCTCACATCTCAAGTGCGTGCATTCGGCGAGATCACAGATGCCGCAACCGATGGTGATTTCACCAAACTTATTACGGTCAACGCCTCTGGGGAGATGGACGAGCTCAAGCGCAAGATCAATAAAATGGTGTCCAACCTGCGAGACAGTATTCAGCGAAACACTGCCGCCAGGGAGGCTGCCGAACTTGCCAATCGCACAAAATCCGAGTTCCTAGCCAACATGTCCCACGAGATTCGAACTCCGATGAACGGTATTATTGGAATGACCCAGTTGACACTGGACACCGATGACTTGAAGCCCTACACCCGTGAAATGTTGAACGTGGTGCACAACCTAGCCAACAGCTTACTCACCATCATTGATGACATACTCGATATCTCTAAGATTGAAGCGAACCGGATGGTGATTGAAAGCATCCCCTTCACCGTGCGGGGCACCGTCTTCAACGCCCTGAAGACCTTGGCTGTCAAGGCAAATGAGAAGTTCCTGAGCCTGACCTACCAAGTGGATAACACCGTACCGGATTATGTGATTGGTGATCCATTCCGTCTACGTCAAATTATCCTGAACTTGGTTGGCAATGCCATCAAGTTCACTGAGCATGGAGAGGTCAAACTCACCATTCGGAAATCAGACCGAGAGCAGTGCACGACCAACGAGTATGCCTTTGAATTCTCCGTGTCTGACACTGGTATCGGTATCGAGGAGGACAAGTTGGACCTGATCTTCGACACTTTCCAGCAGGCCGACGGCTCCACTACCCGCCGTTTCGGTGGTACCGGTCTTGGTCTGTCCATTTCCAAGCGACTTGTCAACCTGATGGGTGGTGATGTGTGGGTCACATCTGATTATGGACAAGGTAGTACCTTCCATTTCACGTGTGTGGTCAAGCTCGCCGATCAATCCATCAACGTTATTGCATCGCAACTTCTGCCCTACCGGAACCACCGCGTTTTGTTCATCGACAAGGGCCAGAACGGCACTCAGGCTTCTAACGTTATGAAAATGCTCAAGCAAATCGAGTTGGAGCCATTAGTCGTGCGCAACGAAGAGCATGTTCCCCCGCCGGAGATCCAAGACCCGTCTGGAAAGGA